TTAGACATGGCAGTTGATAAGTAGGGCTGCAACTAATGATTATTTTAGTAGTCGACTAATCTGACGATTATTTTTTCGATGAGTCGATTAGTCAATGATTATTAATAAATATATAATAAATATATTATTATATATTAAATATATTAATAGCAGGTAATTTATCTGAGGTTAACAGTTGATTTACCTGATTGTTATGATGAGAAATAAGTCCAAATGCAATAATAATTGTCAGTAGAGTTTGTATAAAATCGTACGTAATGTTAAAGGGGACATATTATGCTTTTCCCGTTTTTTTCCTTTCCTTCTGTGTGTTTTATAGCTTTTTGTGCGTACAAACGTTCTGCAAAGTCACAAAGCTCAAAGTTCACACCAGAGGGAGAAACTCTCTCCCACTGAAACCACTTTTCTCAGCTGCCTGAAACTCCTCGTTGGAATTCCAGCCCTTTTCCTTTGTTACAAGATGACACAATCTCATAACACGGTCCTTATTGCACACCTACCAGCAAGCTTGGCACGGCCTCACACAGCGCATAGCAGCTACTAGAGGCTGGGAAGAGGTTGTTCAGTTTTGTAGCCATGTCGAGAAGACGCTGACTGGACTTTAAGGATCAGACTCTGGCTCAAACAGACAAAGCAGAACTGACGCCATTGGAAAAATAGCCACACCAGTGTTTACAGCTACTCAGAAGAGAAGGATCTGTCTGTAGACTGCAAGACAGGGGTGGAACATGTAGAGGTGGAAATCATCTGACTAGTCAGAACAGAGTGAGTGAGCTGACCAATCAGAGCACACTCGGCTCATCTGGAGTGGGGGTGTGTAAAGACACAGGAGCTCTAATAGAGCATTTCAGAGGAAGGGGGCAGGTGGTGGGAGCAGAGATGAACTTTAAAAATGAGCATAGTCTTTCTGTTTAGTTTTAAAACATTTGTGCATAAATATGCTACATAGAACAAAAAAATAATGGGCCTTATTCATCACCGTTTCCACAAAGATCCTGACATCCAATGTTTTCTTGTTTAGGATTTGTTCTCAGGTAAGAACAGAATCTACACACACTCAAGAGCACAAAGGTGTGAAGAACACGTCATGAATCTGACGTAGACTTTTCGTAGGACATTTCTCAAGAACAAAATTAGGAAAAACTTAGGAAGATATTCGTGAATGAGTCGCAATGTTATTAACGAGTAGCAGAGATTTCCAATTAGAGGGGCTTTTCAGCCTGAAACCAGCATTTAATGTTGAAACATGAATTTTTGTCATGTGATGTACTGCAGTGCAGCATTGTATCCCTCATCCCCTTCGGTTTGACAGAATTCAAGATTTCATTTCGTTTTTGTGTTTTTGTCCATCAATGTTCTTTCACTACAATACCCAGCACGCATTAGGAAACCCCCCCACCCCCCACCACCCAGCTGTGATATAGAAGCTACTAACTACAAATGTGATATTCAGTGTATTCAGCAGTGATGTGAGCTCTCTGGCCAGGTTGTGGAAAGAAAATAACAACACACTCTCAAGTATCTGCCTCAGAGTGCTTGTAGTTTTTCAGAAGTTCCTCCCACCTTCAAGATGCATCATCGGAAGGTCCTCTGGTCTTTTGTGCTGGAAGATCTCGCACCACATTTTACTGCATCTTTACCGCAGGATGAAACTAGTCATGTCTACAACATGTGTAGCGATGGATGAATTTTTCCTTTGGCCAGAGTACCCGGATACGTTTCTGTTATGGTTTGTTATGTTTTTGATTGTGTTTTTGTAACTAACGCTAATCTTTGGTCTTGTCTAATCTTCGTTTTTTCCCTCAAACCAGCTCCGAGCCCTGGTCAGAACAAATTTAAAATATCGCTGCTGTCGGAAGAAAACCTTGTATCTCCATTTTTGTCGTTTTTCAGTTTTTGACATAATCTGAAAATACCTGTTGCACTTTATATTATGTGCATATTTCATGATAAATGGACCAAAAGAAACGGGCCAGAATGACTTGGAGAAAAGTCTGGTTCCATTGACATTGAAAGTAAAGTATGTTTTTTCCTTCTCCTGTAAAGTTGTCAGTTCCTCTGACAACAGCGATATGATATCAGTCTTTAATATGCACAACTATAACTAAAATGTTTGAAAATGACCGTTTCAACACAGTTTTGGTCAGTTAAAAACATGCCCCTCAAATAAACGTGCACACAATAGCAGGGCGTAGAGCAGAGTCATTAAGAAGGAAGACTCCAGTGTCTGAGGATGTTTTTTCTCTTGCCGTGATTAGTTGCTTCCACCACCCTACAATATCTCTGCCTGTTTTGTCTGGTATTTGTGTATATCTGCTGACCTTTATTTTTCCCTTATCACTGATATCAGTACCAAAGGCTTAATACATCTGAGGATGGAGCATAAACCAGAGTGATATACATTACAGTTACACTGTTGACTTTCTGAATGCTCGAGGCTTTTATTTTGCATGCTGTGTTTACTCACTTCTGAACCACAGAGGATTGTGACATCTGAGTGTGAGTGTGAGTTTGTGTATGTGTGTGAGTGGCAGGATGCTCCTCTCCCACGAGGGCGTCATCCTGTTTGGAATGTAGACAGTATCAGCTCGGAGTTCTCGGCCAATGGGAGCCACGGACAGAGTTCTGTGGTTCTAGTCTGCGTATGTAGCTATGAGGTCACAAAGGGCCCTGTCATGGAAACGGTTCCCTGGGGTCCTATTGGCCAGCAGTGGCTACCGCTGCTGGTTGTAGCCAATCACAGAGCACAACAGGAAGCATACACGCACACTGTGCCTGGTACAATTAAACACAATACTCATTCATGTATCTCTCTCTGTATCTCCCTCTCTGAGCCAGAGTCTCTCCAAGTTCCTCACACATATAACATCCGCACACACACACACACACACACACACACACACACAATGTGAGTTCAGTTATCTGGATGCAGTCATACAGGCTTGTCGGCCCGGTTACACTTGCGTTTGCCAGTGAATTTTAACGAGCAAAATTACATTCATTTCATTGCAGACTGTAGACTTCTGGGACAATTACCTTTTGCGTCATGTTCAACTTTGGTGAACTTAGAGACACAAATTTGCATCTTCTACCAAGAGTGCTGCGGCTTTTGTTGTGTTGACCTCTAAAGTTGTGGCCCTTCAGATAGCAGTGAACCTCCAAAATGGAGGAAATGCTGATTAAATAAGTGTCTAAGCATGAACCTTTTTCTGTTTCTGCCCCACTGGCAATTAACCCTCTACTGCACTCGTTATGAGAGCGATTAAAAAAATATTTCATTCACTTTTGTTGCATAAAATTGACATGATTTTTAAATTCAAAAACATTTTTAAATAATAATGTGTGCAGGGGTCCTTTTGGGGTATGTTACCCCGAAGCAACATTGTGCGACAATGGGAAGAAATGATATAAAGCTGTGTTCCCTGAAGTGGTGAGATCTGGCTTGTGACTGGCTGAATCCATTCTACTGCCCTACAATGTTGCTTCAAGGCAACAAACATACTTCTGCAAATTCTCATAATGAAAAAACAAACTGATACTTGTTAAAATGTTTAAAAAAAGTTTGAGTTTCCACCAAGAGATAGTATGACCAAATACATGCTTTTTATTTTTTTTTGTCATTGTCGTTAAATATGTATAATGTTAGTGTAAAGTGAGGAAAATGGGTTTGTTGCCTGGAGGCAACATCGTGCAGTAGAGGGTTAATATACACGTAAGAAACACTGCATGACCCGTATTGTTATCTTTTGTAGTTTTACCTCTTTAAAAGAGTTCACAAGGACATTTTTGTATCAGTAAAAAAACACACACCTCAATCCATTCATTTCAGGGATGTGACAGCAGATGGTAACGCATGGCATGGCTTGAAAATTACACTCTGTTGTCTGTTAAAAAGTTTACCAGAGCTGCATTTTTGACAGAGCGAACTCTGGTGTATGCCATTTGTCAGCCAGTAGGATATGGTGTGGTGCAGGAGTTCAGTCAGTCACATCGATTGTAAAGAAAGTGGAGGAAAAACTAATCATTGTAGTGACCTCACTGTGATGTCCAGCTTTAAACATATAGTAGGAGAGTGACTGGTTTAACTAAAACACAGTTCTTTTTGGCTTGTTTTTATAGAAAGACCAATGACTGGCCGCAGTTTTCACGTGTGAGCTTTCGTGTTTGAACGAGCTTTCCATTCACATCTGTGTCCACCCAAAACAGACCAGCAGGGTGTTTTTTTTTACGGATATCAAAAAATCTTGTGAATAGAGCCAAAGTCCTTAAGTCTGTTGACTGGGTGGCTATCTTTGCAACATCAGTGGGCAGTTATTCTCCACACGTGCGTAACCAGCAAGCTGATTAGCTCTTTTTCTTGAATATTGGAACTTTCTAAGCAAACAGACACCATATTGAGCATTACGAGCTTTCCCATTCATATTTCAACCAGTGACCGGGATCCATTATAACATCTCTGATACAGCCTTAGGTAGCTTGCTAACTGCGATGTTAGCTCCTTGGCTAACTGCAGCTGCATACCCACACTGCTGGCAACCATGGTGATCATCTACACTTTTTGTTACAAATTAATGTGTAGAACTATGTTGTGGTGAGTTTTTAGTTATCTGACATTTTTAATGTTTATGGTAGGTGAGTTAGCCAACCTGCTAGCTGATGTTTTAGCTACTGCTACCAAACATGTTATCTACACTTTCTGGGCACGTCTAGTATAAAATTGTCTGATATAATAATGTTTACTTTTGTGTTGTTACTGTTTTGATTGCACCAACGTGAAGGATTTTTATGTCACTGATCTTCCTGACCAGCTCGCCGCCGTGCATTACCCAATTACTAATATAATCAGTAATGACGGCCCTACAAGCATTTCCTTCTCCGAAAGTGTTATTATCTCTTGCACATGGAGAAATGTAAGGCTAACCAGTGTGTGTGTGTGTGTGTGTGTGTGTGTGTGTGTGGGTGTGTGTGTGTGTGTGTGTCTGTGTGGGTGTTCTTGTCAGGTGAAGCCGAAGGTGATTGAGCCGCTGGACTATGAGAGTGTTTTGGTGCAGAGAAAGACTCAGATCCTCAGCGATGTTCTGCGGGACATGCTGCAGTTCCCCATCGACGACTTTCAGGTGAGCATTCCTTCTTTTGCTCCATCCATTCCATCTCTTTGTCACTCCATTCATTCATTCATTCATTTGTTCATGTATTCCTTCATCCTCCTAGGCCTCTATCCCTCTATCCATTCATCCATCCCTGCATTCATCCATCAACTTGTCTGTCCCTTATATCATCCCTTTATGCATTATATCTACATCTGTGCAGCCTTACCTCCATTCATCTATCTCTGTAACCGCCTCTTCATTGTTTGATCCATGCATCTGTCCGTTCATCCATTCCTCCTATCATCCTTAAATGCTTACATCCCTCCCCTCCTTTCTTGTTTTGTTAATTAGAGGTGGGTAATGTGATGCTAATTTAACAATTTTCATGACAGATTTTGTTATTGGCATGAAAAGTAGGCTTTTGTAAGCTTATTGTGGATATTGCCCATCCTTCAATAAGACTGACCAACTGCATGTTTCGTTAAGATCCATGTTTAGTCCTGTTTTGTTTGGTTTAGTCCAGTATATTATGTGAAATGTTGAATAAATATTATTGTACACATTGTTTTGATAGTGGCCGTTAAATAAGGCTCTGCTACTGCATCGTGTCCGCATGCCAAAATATCATGATACATATTGTGTCCTTGAGTATCGTGATATGATATTTTTGTCATATCGCCCATCCCTATCGTCCATTCTATCCATTCCTGCATTCTTCCATTCGGCATTCATTTGTCCATCTATCCATTCCTTCATTTATCCCTGTATGCGTCCAGTCCTCCACCAATTTATCCACCCATTCCATCTATCCATCACGGCCTATGCATCCTTTCCTTCTGTCCATTCATCTTTTTACTTACTATACTGGATTAAGTACAGAAAGGCAAGTAGTGCTAGTGCAGTAGAGAGTAAACAAAAACACCAGACAGGCAGATGGATGCTTAGATGGATGAAAGAAGGAACTAATAGGTAGACCAATGCAAGAATGGATAAAAGCATATAAGGATGAAGGGAAAAAGGGATGATCAGATGGATAAAGAGATTGAGGGATGGGTATAGAGACAGATGAGGATCTATTCCTCTGTTTACTCTTCTAACACTTAACCCTTGTGTGGTGTTGATGTGTTTGTTACTCAGTGGTCTGGTGGACCCACCGCATTGTTTTTTAAAAGCAAAACAGCCACAACAATTTATGTAAAAATAACAGATGTTTAAAATGTCACAAGTGGTCAGCGTAGGGTTCTCCTTTAGCAGCTGTAGCCAGTCAGCAGCCTGTCCATGTTGTCCACCCTCACACACACACACACACACACACATATACAAACACATACACACACAGATACATACACACACTAACTGCAGGCCATGTAGGAGGAGAACAGAGTGAAGCTGGTAAACATGGTAAACACTGAAAATGGGTCCCACAGACCTGAACACCACACAAGGGTTAAACCATGTGCCAGTTCACACAGTTCACACTGTCGTATTTCTCTGTCTACGCACTGCAGGTCCATCCACTTGTTTGATCACGTCTTCTTTGCACAGAGTATTTAATCAGATGTTTCAGGCCCAGAGCATTGAGTAACCTGTTAGCACAGCTGCTAGAGCACAGGATGGCCTCTCGCTGATCACTGTAAGCTTTGGCTCATTCTCACAGAGACAGAATTCGTGCTCCAGCAGAGATCTCCACACTGTCTGAACTTACAGGGGCCAAATTTCCCCTCAAACTGTCATGCAGCCTTCAAACAATGCTATTTCCTTATGAGAGATCATCAAATGCTTTTCTCAGACTCAAGTTTTCCACTCTTTCTTACTTTCATTTGGATGTGTGTGTGTGTGTGTGCGTGTGTGTGTGTGTGTGGAGCTGGACAGAACCTAAAATGAAAGCTTATGGTCCAAATTGCGATGATCTGCTGTTGTCATCATGCTTTCTGTTCACAGAAGAACTCTTAAAGCTCTTCTGTGCTGCAGACCCAGGTGGAGTTATTACTGGACGTATTCTACTCACTGTAATACGTTACTGCTTTTGGACACCTTTACATTCCTTTAGAGTGAGCGCTGTTATATGAGCTAGTGTCTGTTTTGTGAGTTGTGCAGAGAACCACTGAACCACTGAGGCCAAGGGCAGCACCCAGAATGAGACGTATCACCTCTCTCATGCATTAAAATTCATAATACATTATCAGAATTGGGCAGAATACTGAATACATTGTATTAAAAATATTCAGTAACATATTTCATTGTAGTACACAAAAAGTAGCACATTCAGAAAATACGTATTATACATCCTGAAAAGACACACTGTGGAAATCCATGCTGTTGTATTTTTCCTTAATTCACACTGTTTTTCACTGTTATCTGGTTAATATGTTTCATGAAAAAATCTTTCTGAAATTCTCAAAAGTCCACTGGTCCTCCTACAGCACCAGTACAGCACCACTACCGAGCTTCATAAACATGTCCACTACTAGAGATTCTCCAGTTCAGTCGTCCCTCAAAAGAGCTCAGTAACACTGAGATAAATAACTGATCATCTCATTGATTTATCAGTCTACTCAGGCTTTAGCAGAGCTCAGTAACACTGAGATAAATAACTGATCATCTCATTGATTTATCAGTCTACTCAGGCTTTAGCAGAGCTCAGTATCACTGAGATTAATAACTGATCACATTGATTTATCAGTCTACTCAGTCTTTAGCAGAGCTCAGTAACACTGAGATTAATAACTGATCATCACATTGATTTATCAGTCTACTCAGGCTTTAGCAGAGCTCAGTATCACTGAGATTAATAACTGATCACATTGATTTATCAGTCTACTCAGTCTTTAGCAGAGCTCAGTAACACTGAGATTAATAACTGATCATCACATTGATTTATCAGTCTACTCAGGCTTTAGCAGAGCTCAGTAACACTGAGATAAATAACTGATCACATTGATTTATCAGTCTACTCAGTCTTTAACAGAGCTCAGTAACACTGAGATTAATAACTGATCACATTGATTTATCAGTCTACTCAGGCTTTAGCAGAGCTCAGTATCACTGAGATTAATAACTGATCATCTCATTGATTTATCAGTCTACTCAGGCTTTAGCAGAGCTCAGTAACACTGAGATTAATAACTGATGATCTTACAGGAGAATGAGCTCACAGGAGAAGGAAAAAACATGCTTTACTTTTAATGTAAGTCGATGGAACCTTGATGTGCCGTTTGTCGTTTGTTTTAGTCCATTCATCATACAATTTACATACAGTGTAAAGGTCAACAGGCATTTTCAAATTATGCCAAAAACTGAAAACGACCAAAATGGAGGTTTTGTTCCCACAGCAGCGATATGTATTAATAAACATGTTAGGGATACCAGAAATACCAGCACTGATGGTGTTTAAAGATCATTTAACGACTGTCTGTTTTTTAAGTTGATAAGTATTCTAAAGGCTTTCTCCTAAAAATGTAAAGGTGACTGTATTCTGAATATGGCCTCTTCAAAATGCTGCTTCATTTCTGTATTCCGAATATGTATTCCCACTACTGTATTCTGTTTCATCCCAACCCTGATCGTTAGTCACACACATACATACACACGCTCTCGCTCTCCCACTGTCTCTCTCTTCAAACACACACATGCACACACACACACACACTCTGCACCCACCCACCCCCAGCCTCCTGTTAACACAGTTCATACCACCCATAAATGGAGCAGTGGAGAACCTCCTTAGGGTCTTGGTACAGTTCAGTGTTCATTTCCAGTACGTTTGCTTTAACCGTCAACACACAAGCCCACACACGCACAAGGTTGTTGAGCTGATGGTGAACAGGGTGAATTTTTATGGCTATTTCAGATTTCTTTAATGGCTGATGGCTGATTTTTTTAACCATTTTTCAGACATTTTTTATCAAGAGTCATTCTATGGAAACGTCCTTTTTTGTGTCCCTAGCGTTTACATATATATTACACTTGAAGACCATGTTAGGGCTACATACACACATGCATACATACATCATCTAAACCGCTTATCCTTCTGGGTCGCGGTGGGGTGCTGGAGCCTATCCCAGCTGTCATTGGGCGGAAGGCAGGATACACCCTGGACAGGTCGCCAGTCCATCGCAGGGCATGTTAGGGCTACAATTTATTTATATTTTAAAATAAAACAGTAAGGTATTTCAACAATTACACCTTCTTGAGCCTCAATTTAACAATATTGGTTTTTAAATCAATCATACAGAATTCCAAGCAACACAGAAGAGCTCGTCCTCACAGTCATGTGTAAAGGCGGAGGCCATATTTTGAGGTAAAAAACATGTTTTTCTGCAATTTTAATTAAAATAATCTATACATGACTATGAAATATATGATTTAAATGTCATAAAGAAAACAAATACCAAATAAATCTTATAAAATATATTTTGATCGTTGTGGTCACCAGGAGTCGTGTCACTGGTGTTACTGCTTAACAAAAAAAATCTCTTATTTTGAAATAAAAATCACACTGATGACATCACGACTTCCTTTTACCTGTTTTCTGAGGATCTATGAAGAAAAGCTCATGGTGAGTCCACTGTGTCTTTCAGTTATCAGAGATTTTCTCATTTAGCTCATGATTTCATATGAAGCTTTACTTGAAGTCACTGGTGAAGCAGTGACCTACTTTATTCTGAGGTAACTGTAAAAAAAGAATACAAATTGATTAAATTACATATTTTAGTGGATAATCCATGATTGACAACACGGGGTTTGATGCTCTGTAGCAGTCATTTTGTAAAATACATTTTTCACTGAAAATGTCTCTGGTGTTACCTTTCTTATGTGTAACACCAGTGACGATCAGTAACACCAGTGACTCCTATGGATAGATGGATAAAAAAAGTGGACATTTCTGTAGAATGACCCATAAACAATGTTGTTGTGTTTTTGTACTCTTTACACACTTGTGTTTTGTTTGTTTAACCTTATCAAACCAAGCGTCTCTGCAGTGATCCATTCTGAAATTACATTATGTGTAAGTTTCATGATGAATTGACCAAAAGAAACAGCCCAGAATGACTTGGAAAAACGTCTGGTTCCATTGAATTACATTAAAAGTAAATCATGTTTTTTCTTTCTCCTGTAGAAATGAATATTTTGGAGTTACAAGGTTTTGTTCTGACAACAGCAAAATGCAACAACAGCAATGAAATTATGCAGATAAATTAACGTCAGAAGTAGCAACGTTTTTGCGTCGGCCAGAAAACATTAGGGTTAATGTATGCACTGATATGAAGCACATAGGCTGGTGCAAGTACTTGATTGGCACACATTATTTACATCAAAAAATCTTAAAAGAATAAAAAATTAGTTGCTCAATTGTGGTACTAGACAATTTCAGACAGGCGTCCCTATTGGTGAAGCTTACTCAGGTGTCACTGCAAGCTCCAGTAGTTTGGTTGCCCTCGTGTAAAGCTTGCAGCCATTCTCACATACCTGCATACTGAGCAGCTACAACCTCAACCCCATTCTAAGTGACTTTAGACTGATAAAGGCCCCATATAAAAACATTTGAGGCTGACAGATTTGGTAAAGCATTCTCTTCACAGTTTGTTCAAGATCCTTCATCATCTAGTGAAATAGCTCACTGAGAAGGTAATTTTTTGTTGTGATCTCTCTTTAAAGACCTATTTAGAAGCAGTGGACCGAGTGGTGCTGGCTAATTCACTGTATGACAGGCTTTCTAGTGGACTAGTGTCAAAGTGCCTGAAGCTGTGTGGGCATACGCATGCAGGGTTTCATTAATTTGATGTGGAGACATGGCCTAGCGTGGCCCATTTAGGTGTTTTTATTATGACAAGGACGACAGGTTGGACATCCTATTATGTCATAAAATACACCAATATGTCTGAAATTACAAACAAAGAGACAGTAGATGGGCAAAACCAACTGGTATCATTAGTATCAAGTCCTGACATTGGCAACACACAAGCCAAGCATTTTTCATTTATCTTCAGGGTAAATCTTTTCTTTTCTTTATTAACCCCTACATCTGCAGACTTATTCAGTTCATTTTCAATGCTTTTCAGGCTTGCTCAGTAACTAAAAGTGGGAGCGCATGCGGCTCAGTTGAAGCAGTTAGGTGCACTCATATGTGCATCGCTCTCTTTAAGTCCGATGAAGATGCTCTGTCTGAAACCTTTGAATACTGTGTGTGTGCAGATGTCGACTCTGAAGCGGCAAGGAAGGACTCTGCACCCCACCGTCCCTGAGGGAGCGGAGAAGAGGGCCACCAGCCTGTTCGTCCAGGAGGTGAGAGACTCACTTGCTCTGTATAACACCTAACACATACAAATGAGACTGAGATCAAACAGCATTGACAGACAGACAGACAGAAAGGCAGACAGACAGATACGTAGATAGACAGATAGATAGATAGATAGATAGATAGATAGATAGATGGTAAATGGATATATATATGTATGGATAGATAGATGGTCGATGGATAGATGGATGAATGGATAAAAGCATACAAGCTACCTGGACAAACAGATGGATGGATGGATGGATGGGTAGATTGATGGGTAGATGAATAGATAGATAGATGGATGGTAAATGGATGGATGAATGGATGTATAGTAGGGGTGGGAATCTCTAGGCATCTCACGATTCGATTCGATTACGATTCAGAGGGCTGCGTTTCGATTGTAAAACGATTATCGATGCATCTTTTTTTCTATATAGCATTTATATTTTCTCACTGTGAGCTCAAGTTTCGAGTTCACGTTTCAAGTTTATTTGTCATTTGCACAACATGTCAGGACATTTATGCATTGAAATGCTTGTGGTGAGGCTCAGCTAATCACTCTACAGAAAGTAAATAAGTAAAAATAAAAACCAACTGAAATTAAATATACACAAATTATATATACAGAATGTAGAGACAATAAACATTTTAAAGTGACTAAGTGACTCTGTTATTGTTAATTAAAGTGACTTGGTACTTTTAAAGCAAAGTATTTGTAATGATCCATAATGAATTTACTTCCAATATCTCTTATTAATAAATCAAATGGAAGTAAACTAGACGGCTCTCATTCAGTGCTCTTGTTTGGAGCACGAGAAGCTGCTGCCACTCATCTGCGATAAAATGCGCAGTTACGGTGAAATAAGATCCAGTGGTGATGGATGTCCACGCAGCATGTTACAGCTATTCTACCCGTTTTCTTTAGTGATTTTATAACTTCGGTTTTGGTCTCGTTGTAGAGACGGTGGGGGGGGGGTCGCTGTGTCAGTGAAGTATCCCTGAGATGGGTCGTGTGCAACAAAGCGCGAAAGCCCTGTTTCGCAACGACTGAGAACCGGCGTGCAGACTGCAGGTCACATAGCAGCGATGCGTCATTCGCATTTATTAGCAGCGCAGTTGGTTTCCTGGTTCGTTAAATCTGCAACGAGAGACTGTCACACACTAAAAAGCTTTCGATTTCTCCCGTTCCACCTTAAATGGTGCCGCATTTACATTCGGCGCCTCAGTCAGAATTTAAGGTGGAACGGGTAAATTCGAACAAGAAGCTGGAGAATAAGAAGAGACTTCAGCCTCGTAAAACAGTCGAACGCTGAGAGACATTTAACTGATCAACTTCTGAGGAAAGGTTTTCTGGCGGAGATGGGAGGAAAGCGGCTAAAGCTAAAGCTTAAAGCAGAGCAAAGTAAATCTGCGCTCTCGTTTATATTGTTTAGCCTATACTAGGACATTAATACATACTGAGACATACTGGACGTTAAATGTTGTGGCTCCCAAGGTGGTTTGATTTTTTGTTGAAAGGTCAAAATGGCTCTTCTTATCATTTGTGTTGTGACTCCTGATCTAACCTGGCTTTAATGCAGAGGGAGCCGGTCGGATTTCTCACTCATCCAGTTGTGTTTTTGTTGTATGCCGTCACAGACTGTCCGGGCGCCGCACTTACCCACTTCCAGTTCCGCCTTTTGCGTTCCGTCAACATTACGTTATAAATTAAATATTTAGAAAATCGATTTTTCACGTTTGTGAATCGATTCAGAATCGTTCATGTCCGCATCGTGATGCATCTAAGAATCGATTTTTTCCCGCACCCCTAATGTATAGATAGATAGATAGATAGATAGATAGATAGATGCACAGACCGAGAGACAGAGACGAGTTCTGTGGCTCTAGGAACTGTGCTTTGCCTCACACATTCTTTCTTGTATGAGTTTCTGAGCGTGTGTGGGCTCTGGGGTCATGCCTGGTCAATAAGGAAACATGTAATGGTCCTTGGCTGTTGTCAGAACGAAGCATAAAATGATATTTCCCCTCACTTATGAGCTTGATGACATCAGTAGAAGCAGCTGCAGGCATGCTGGCCTGAAGCCAAAAAACTTTCCAGTTTTCACGAGTCCACACATCTGCCCGGAACCTACGCTGTGCGCACCGTCCGCCTCCGTAATCCCATGACACTAACCTTTTGAAATATGGTCCTTATCACTTGGCCCTAAGCACATAAAATATTGCGCTCATTTGGTCAGTTGAGTAAACATTAAACATTACTCTCCATATTTACATAGTGATGATGTGATAGCCTGGAATTAGTGCGGTTGAATCTGGGCAGCAGCAAAAAAGCAAACAACATCAGTCACATAAATGTTTGCCCAACACACATGATTTAAAGCCAGTCATTGTGGTTGGTTGTAATGTTTTTAGAATGCAGATATTACATGAAAATAAACATCAGCTCGTTATGTAGATTATTTTTCTTTGTTAAGGAAGATTCTGAAGGCGTAAAACAGCGATGTGGACAGTTACTGGTTCACTGTGGACTTTATGAACTCTTTGGCTGTTTAAAGCTACACTACGCAAGTTCATTTGGAGACCTCTCTGGTGGAAATGTGGAATTGCACACAACATGCGGAACAACATCTTGTAGCCCGGGGTTGTGCTTCGGACCCTTCCCTGAGCGGATGAATCTGATGATTGTGAGTGTGTTGAAAGAGTATTCAAAGAGAGAACTCAGTCCAAACTTGGTGAGGGACGTGTCTCCAGGGGATTGTCCACTGATGCCATCATATCTTCATCAGTATAATGTTGATTTTGTGTTTGAGCCCTAAACATCAAGCCAGACCTTCTCTTTAAGTGTGTGCAGGTGACGTTATGATGTAAAGATGTATGATGTGGACTGAAAAACTCCCACAAAGTCTAGGGTTAGATACTGGCACTTAAACGATGTACCAGTGATGGGGATATCGATACCTATGACCGATACCACAAAGCAATTTCTCACACGTACCTGAACGGCTGAGCTGCTTCTTTCAGTAATCACTTGTCTGTCACGATGTGGTCACTTACTGTCTGAGTTAACGTTATTGAAAGAGCGGAAGGAACCGCCAGACTCTTTGCTTAATGATAGCCTTTAGCCTTTAATATAGCAGCCTGCTAGCTGGGTCTGTGCATCCACTAGCCCTGCCTGTGGTGCCCTCCATCGGTCAGCTGGATCACTCAGCTGCGGGGGCCCGTCGCTTCAACCAAGCCAGAAAAAACACTGCAAGTCGCTGAGACTGACAGCGTGAACGATGGTGATATTTACTGAACTGATGCTCAGAGATGTAGCACAAGTTAACAAGACACATGCATGACAGTTCTGTTTTTAACTGTTCTGCACAATAAAGATATTTCACGTTTACTTAAGTTGTTAAACATGGCTCTTATTATTACTAATTTTATAATAGTAAATACTAAATACACATAGTAAATAAACAAAAATAAGTTTTCTTAAGCATCTAATAAATATAATCCGAAAAGTAAATGCCATCTAGCCAGACTGAGTATGTTGTATTTGTGACACAGAAAATAGATTTTACCAAAATAACATTTTAAAAATGTATTTGTATAAGTATCAGGACTTGTATGTGAGTTAGGTTAGATAGGGTTAGTATCGGTATCGGTACTCGTTATCGGCCGATTCTAAAGGATCAGTTATTGGTATCAGTATCAGAAGGGAAAAAGTGGTATCAGTGCATCTCTAATTTCAGGTCTTACAGGGTGACTTGCGGCAACACACACATACCATGTTTTAGTTTGGTTTTTTTCCCCTCTCTTCACTCAGTAATGGCTTTTTAAACGTTGACAAAATAATCTTACATGCTGTAGCTTTAAGTTTAGAATCCTTAGAGCTCTGACAGCTCATCTGCTTGCTCTCTCTCTCTCTCTCTCTCTCTCTCTCTCTCTCTCTCCTCCCTCCCTCTTCTTCCTGCTAATCGGATTTGAAGAGAAGAAGAGGCATCACTTTTTGGAGACTGTAATCTTCACCTTATCCCTTTAAGAAGTGCTGAGCGATGAATACTTGTCTGCCAATAAAGCAAACAGAATTTTATCCACTTTAGCACAGTGCCTTAGGGACATTAGCGTGTCTTTATGCCTCAAATGCTTTAACAGTGATTACTGCAGGGATGCCACGCATAGAGAAAATCACCTTTACTTTCCAGCATCTGACAGAAAGCACTCAGGAGATGTGGAAAACACTTTCGGTTGTTATGCTAATTAGATTAACGTTGGTTAAGTAATAAGCGTGTGTGTGTGTGTGTGTGTGTGTGTATGTTTAAAATGATGTTCCATACATTTAACATATCAATGCTGTATGTCTGTTCGTTCCTCCACAGTGCATCAAGACTTACAACTCAGACTGGCATGTGATTAACTACAAGTATGAGGATTATTCTGGAGACTTCCGCCAGCTGCCCAAGTAAGAGTTAACCTCTGACAACCTTAGACTGGCTTTACATGGTGAAACCTTCATGCAACTTGTTGCATGTTTTGACTTATATGCAACAAAATTTCAATGCAACTTGACAGTTAGAAGCCATTCCAATGTAATAAAAGTTGCATGCAGCACATTCAGTTACTCTACCACTCTACTCTGCCAAATTAGCAGGCTGTATTAAAAATAAAATATTTTTTGGCCATCCATGAGGTGTAATTTACATGTTTGCAGCATCTTTATCCTCGTTATATATTTTTTCTGGCTGTCATTGCTGTTTTTACTACGTATAGGACCTACACAATGTCTCGCTCATCCTGTCTTAGAAGCACCAGTACATAGTGGACTATGTCTCACTCTGTTCTCAAAAAATAATTTTCTTTCCTAGGATCATAAATGAATCTGAGATCTGTGTAAAATTGAGAGAGATCAAGAGAAAATAAATCTAGCTTAATCACATAAATCAAATAAATAATGGCACAAACAGACGTTTAAACAGCCGTTAGCATTCGCTATCATGTCAAGGCAGCTTGTTACATAAACGTTAGCTTTAATAAGACAGGTTTGTGGTTGTGGTTCAGAAAACTGACAAAACCTAAAGCTGCCAAACTTGCATAAAGTCAATCAGGAGGATTGTTCAACATGATGACAATCACCCAATAAATCATTGTTTTATTTTCTTGTCCAATGATCCAGTGACTTTACTGATTGTTCAACGTGATGATGTGATATGTTATCACTCTTTTGATTGGCTGCTTAATGAAACTTGCTTCGTGAAGTTGAAGTTGCATGCAACTTTTGCAGCAGAGGTGTGAGTTATAATGTAGATATTAAGCAACCAAAGTTGAATGAAATTTCCGACGCGCAAAGATAGCCTCATGAACCTGGCACACGAAGTTGACAGTTGGCCGTCAGTCGTGATCAGGCTGTTGGTGAGAGCCGGTGGCTGACCGTTGCCCGTGGTTTGTGCAGTATGTCCCACATCATTGGCTCTAGTTAGCTCTTGTCTGCGCTTTTTTGGCCGACTGATATTGGGTGTATGTCAAAATAGCCTGATTTTTAACTCCAGTGCGAGTAACGTTTTATCACAAGGGATGGACATTTGAACTATTTTTGGTGAAATTTTAAACAAATAAAATTTGAGTATTGCGTTCTCAACATGAAAAAATACTCACTCCTTTCATGGACCTGAACTTTTTATCATATAATTATGAACACTCAGCAGCCAGGCATTTCAATTCACTTTTATACAAGCATTTACTCTTATTTTTTTAACCTAGTAGCGTTATATTAGCATTATGAGATTTTATGTGGCACCAAGGTAACGGTTATTTACTTTCATTTTCACAGTCTGTTTTTTGCTTAAAGGAATAGTTTGGCAGGTATCCAATTTCCCACTTACTTCAGATATAGTCAATCAGCCAATGCAATTAGTCAATTAGAAAATTAAAACTTTACCGATGTGGGCAGCCATTTCAGACCAAACCAGGCCTGTTATTCACAAAACAGGACCGATCCCAGCTCAGATTCCTTTGTATTTATAAGTCATACTGTGTTCTATTTCACATCCAGAAGTCTGTGTGACCTTAATGAAGACCTGGATGCTATTTGAGCGAGTTTTTGAGGGAATATTTTTTACAGAAATGATTTGGGCTATTTGGGTGACTGTTACGTTGTAGTGTTTAGTACTGCAGCTGCTGTTATGTGGAGTTGTTCTCTTCCATGCAGGTGCAAAATTTTCACAGGAGACAAAACAGTGAGGTGACCGAAGGCGACCGTAGTTATAACTAGTTTTTCTTCGTTGGTTTGTTTGGGCCTTTATAGGGGGAGAGAGAGAGAGAGAGAGAGAGAGAGAGAGAAATCATTGAGACAAGCAACTGAAGAATATTGAAGGATGCAGAGGCCTACTGCCTTTTGGCCTGTTTGTTCTTGAGAAATGTCCTAAGAAAAAGTCTGCGTCAGATTCATGACGTGTGTTTAAAAAACAGAATTGTTCACACCTTTGTGCTCTTGAGTGTGTAGATTCTGTTCTTACCTAAGAACAAATCCCAAACAAAAAAAAACTGGTGAATGCCAGAAGTGGGTTTTAAGAAGAAATTTCTTTGTAAGAATGGTTGGTGAATGAAGCACATTGTCCTTAATCTGCACTGTGACCGTGTTGACATTGAGGTCCTAGAGATGGAGCCAAATCAGGAAGCATATTTCTGCACAACAATAGCAACACAGCTCTTCCTCTTCAAACAGTACAGTATCGTCATGCTGCAGCACAGCACAGGCCAGGGCTGCTTCAAGAATGGCCGGATAGCACAAAGCAGGCCAGCTATAGCATACTCAAAAAACAGATTAGCTCATTCTTCTTATATACAGACTGAGCATGTTTGTCATTCATTAGCTGGAAAATTTCACACACAAACATTTTAGTAGATTTAGTGAAACTACTCTTGGCTTCAATTAATGCCGGCCTTACAGAAAACGACTTTTCAAGCGATTTCACTGTCACCAACAAATTTCCAACGTTGGAATAAAATCATGAGAGTCTTGCTGGAGTTGTGTCACGCTTGCGTCATCTCGATCGTTTGGTGTGAGGTGGTCAGGATGGCTGTTTTAGGTCAGTTTTTTTCTCGTCTTCACTCTATGACAAAATCAGCCATGTTTAATATTAACGTAAGGTTTAAATCTTGGTGCATGTAAATAGTGACGTACTAAATGTATTCTGAATATGTTACTTTTGTGTGTATTGTAATGAAATATATTACTGAATACATTTGGTACAGTGTATTCAGTACTCGTAAAACACTACTTTTTCAAAAAGGTGTGCCCAGCTCTGTCTGTTAGCCATGAACATCAAGCTTTCATGTGCTTATGCACAAGATTAATCACAGTCTGATCATCTAAACCAGCATTAACAGAGAGTCTTCATAAAATAAGCTACAATATGTTTGATTTTTCTGAACCGTTCTTGTTTTTAACCCAGTTGTACAAGATGAATTAGAATAGTTATATTTTTATGAAGTTGTGTCATGGCCTTTGAAATGTGTAGCAATAATTTTGAAGGTCTAATTGAAAATGTAAGGAGTAAAAAGTAAGTTTTTTTTTCTTGGAAATGTAATTTAATTTATTTCAGTACAACTTCAGTACAAAAAATAAATAATACACTTACTTAAGTATTTATACTGTTGTACTGTAATTAATTTAAAAATTAATGTGATCTTGAATTTTATACCACCTAACTCTGTGCAAAGAAAATGTTCTGGTCAGCATTAATGTAAAATAAAGCATAGCTTGTATAAGGGGAGCTTAGACAGCACTGTAGATGCCCATTGAAACAAGCACAGGCACAGGCCTTTCGCCCAGAGGATATGAGCTCCACAGTGAGCTCCACAGATGGGCCGAGTAATGTTTTACAGCATGGAAAGCAGGACCCAGAACTGCTGCTTGATCACTTACACACACATAGGAGTTCCTGTTTTTTGTATTATGTGCATTTGTGTTTTAACTAATACAAACTTAAGCACCCGCTCGCTATGACCTCTCAAACTTGCGGTTATTGTGTTGCAGTAAAGTTTCTCGGCCGGAGAAGCTGCCCACTCACGTGTTCGAGGTGGACGAGGATGCAGACAAAGATGAGGTACATCAGCATTACCCATGATTCCACTGTGAACCTTAAAAAAGAGAGTGGGAGAGAGGCAGAGAGAGGGAGAAGTGTGGTGAGTGATGTGGTGAAATGGTTCTTTGGCTGAACCAGCCTCGTTTCCCCAATGTGGCGACAAGCAGAGCAGCGTCTGTCCACCTCAAAGACCAGGATTTCCTGTTTAAACAGCCAGTCACATCGCGTGGTCGGATGCTGGGAATGAAAAGGACTTTCCCACATTTCAGCAACATCGTGCCTATTTCTGACAGGACTGACCAGCTTTACAGAGAGTTTGGTCATGGCTGGTCAAATGGTTCTCTCTACTTGCTGGTCTGTTGTAGGCTGGAGAAAATAAAATAATCAAGAAGCATCAATTAATAATGGCAGACTGTCCCAAGGCATCTTCACAGAAATCCACATCCAAGCCTCTAACAAGTGTTACCAAGGCTACGTTCACATTACCAGGTTGACGTGGCACAAATCAGATTTTTTCCCCAAATGTGACTCAGATCTGATGTTTTCAGGGCTGTGTGGACACACAGATCTGATCTTTTCAAATCCAACCTGAGTCACTTTCATATGTGGTCCTAGATCGGATACGTATCTGATCCGTGGCCATGCGACCTTAATGTGACGCTCAGATCGGAAATCATGTGCTTTTTTTCAACTGCATGTGCGCCATCATTCAGCGTTACCATGGCAGCAGCGCCGAACAGAAGTCAAAGCCTGTAAACGGTGGAAAAGCAGCTCATCTCACCTTTTTCTCCTTCGTCTCGCTCTAATAATGAAGCTGAGAGCTGATCAGAGTTAATTATCTTCTCAGCGAAGCTCGTTCTGCTCGTTAGTTTGTGCTGATGATGCACGTGATTCATTCATGTGACGTTACTGAGTAGGATGAGCTCATGCAAGTCATTTCAGGACGCCGGTTCGTTCACAATAATGACAGATTTGAATCACTTACCTAAACAAGTGTGAACCATCGTGTCAGAGAGATCGGATTTGAGCAAAGAATTGGATTTGAGCAATGAGGCTTGTAATGTAAATGTAGCTCAAGAGCCCCAGAGGCAGAAATAAGAGCATGAGAAAGAAACACTGAGAAGAACTGACACTCAAAAAAAAGTCCTGGTGGACAATGCATAGCAAATTTACAATAAACAAATAAGAGTTTTCATTAAAAACATGAGTCTAGACGTTTCAAAAAAGCCAGAGCAGTATTTCTCAGGAATGTTGTGCGTGTTCATGTTCAGACTTCTCAAAAAATAAACTGCGTTTTGCATTACAAGGTTTGCAACAGGATCAGAATCACAGTCTTTATTCACCAAATACCAGATGTACAAGGAATTTCTCTTGGTGCAGCATACAAGTAAATCCAATAAGATAAATATAGAAAAAGAAATGCTATATACAACCATAAAATAGACGGAACAGAAACAATCTACAAGCGTTATAAAGGATGTGCAGTGGGAGGTAAGTATAGATACAACCAAGTACTGAAACACTGAAGTACAGATGTACTAAAAAAATTGAACAGCAAAAATAGAAATAATTTCTGATGTATGAAATTTAAGTTTGCAGCCTTGCAGTTTGAGCAGTCTCAGTGGTGTGATGGTCAACACATAAATATGTAGTAAAGTAGCAAAGTCTTTAGCGAAGTCTGTTTATCTGTTACATATATATCGATGCTGTCGGAAGAAAACCTCATATCTCCATTTTTGTAGTTTTTAGTTTTTTTACGTAATTTGGAAATGCCTGTTGCCCTTTATGTTCTGTATACTTTTCATTAATAATGGACTAAAAGAAACGACCCAAAACGACTTGGAAAAAAGTCTGGTTCCATTGACTTACATTAAAAGTAAAGTAGGTTTTTTCCTTCTCCTGTAAAGTTACCATTTTGGAGATACGAGGTTTTCTTCCGTCAACAGCGATACATATATAAGATGTTGTCGGAAGAAAACCTTGCATGTCCATTTTTGACATTTTTCAGTTTTTTACATAATTTAAAAATACCTGTTACCTTTTACTTTGTATGTAAATTTTATGATGAACGGACTAAAAGAAACGACCCAAAACGACTTGGGGAAAAAAGTCTGGCTCCATTGACTTACATTAAAAGTAAAGTGTGTTTTTCCTTCTCCTGTAAAGTTACCATTTTGGAGATACAACAACTGACAACTGACAACAGCAACATATATATATATATATATATATATATATACATATATATATATATATATATACATTTCTAGCCTGTAGTTTCATACGTCTTTTTCTTGTTTTAGCTGCACACATTTTTTAGGCACTTGGGACACAGGCATATTGTTTTAGACAGTGTTTTTAGACAGCACCAATGTTGTGGTATTGCAATTGGGCCAATTATTTTCATATAGTGTGAGCATAAAAATTGCAGGTTTTGGCTGTACAAAACAGGCGACTCAAATATGCAGTGGTTGCCACCAAAGACCAAGATTCCTAAATTCACACAGTGTGTCTGGCTTTGGTATTTTTCCTGCTCTAACGAATTTAACTTAAGTCTTGTTAATTAGCTGATGAGTTGACTCAGTTGTGTGGGGAGCAGAGTAAGCGCTGAAACATGCAGAGCAGGAGTGAAGAGGATTAGGACTGAGGAACACTGATCTACACAACTGCCTTTGTGGCCACACGCTAGCTCAGGAACAGGCTCCTTGCATGCTGTAACTCAGAGATAAAATACTTTAGAGAGTATAAATAATTGGACAGGTCAAGTGGAGAGACTTCTTGTTCAAATACAGATGAGGTTCTTCGGATTTTCTCACATAGGAATGAAAAATCTTCTCTGGAGAGTTTACAGTCTCTTTTTTTCTCAGCTTTTTCTCTGTGGCTCTCTGTGGCTCTTCCTTTCTCTGTGTATACATGTTTGTATACTCTTCTGTTAAGTGACTGGTTCCTCTCTTGTCTCTGTAGGACGCAGCATCTCTGGGTTCTCAGAGAGGAGGTGTGGCCAAGCATGGCTGGCTTTACAAAGGCAATATGAACAGTGCCATTAGTGTCACGATGAGGGTGAGTAATCACACACAGCTACAGACGGGCACAGGGTATCAATTCAGTAGCTGAATTTAAGGCCTTAAAATTCTTAATTTTTTTTATATTTTCTTGAATAGGTAACAGTGTAATTCCACTGAATGTACTGTTTCTGATTTATCTATCCACAAATTGTTATACTAAAGAGATTCCGTCTTTGTTGAGCTGACTGCGTTAATTCAGTTGCGCTAGTGGTGTTTTAATACCAGAGTACTTTATATCAGCTATTAAAAAGGGCGTAAGAATCTTCTGTTTAACCCGTATAAACCGATAAGCTAACCTATAAGAAAAAGTAACGTAATCAGTTTTTCCATCGTCTACATCTTATGTGCAACTTCCCAAAGATAACGTCACACACTCCTGTATGAGGTGGGATTCACTGTGTGTGGAGGGATTTAAAGCTTTATTATACAACAGTTAGTTCCGGCCACGCAAGCTGATTGGTTGAGAAGCGTTCTAACATTCTTTTTTCACAAACACTGTATCACTCTGCTGAGACGCTGTTGCTAAGCAACTACTTTGACAGCTGCAGGAGACACTCAGGCCATTTGAACCTTTTTACTTCTTACTTTGCCACAAACAGAAACAGAAACAGAAAATGGACACTTTTAAGATCACATTTGACCGACAGCCGATTTGGTCAGACTCTGAAGATGATTCCCAAACTGTCATCACCACTGAGCAGTTTTTCAGTCGGCAGCTATGACAGAAGAACAGATAAACAACTTGAAATCAGCCAGAAATGAACCGAATACCATTCGCAAAACTAAATGGGCTGTAAGATGCTTTATAGACTGGCTGGAACAAAACAACATTAATACTGATCTAGCAAAAATTTACAAAACTGAGCTAAACCTGACATTGCGGCAGTTTTATGGCTCAGTCCAATTTGGTCAGACTCTGAAGATGAGACCACATGTTTGGCGAATGGTATCACCGCTGTGATTTTATTTCACGATAGCACACTCCCTCTCGTGTTCTGTTGGTTAATTAGCTTTCAGTAGAGCAGTTTTAACAGCCCTCTGTTAAGTGTACATGACTGTAGCACACGGCTGCTGTCGCTGTCCCACTTTGCTGTCGCCCACCAACCCCCTGGGAACGTCTGTCCAGACGCAGCTGTGTCTCTGTTCATGTACTGCTGTGCTGTATAGTATGTTTAAAATAGTGGCACCATCAGTGGTGGATTAATTTGCTGCACTGTTTGAGACACAGATGATGATCTGCTGCCACGCCAGACTTTCATTCCTGTTACGCCGTCACCATTTTCACTTTATCAAAAAGCTTTTCCGTCTCATCCAAGCATCCAGACATTTTGTAGGTTGTTTTTTTTTCCCCAGTATTTAGGCATTTTTTGAATTTCTGGCTTTTCCATGTTTTTTTTATGCACATTTGGATAAAAGACGTGGCTGGAAGGCCCTCAGTAGATACCCTAAAGGCCTTCAGTCATACCATACTGACACAGCCCACATCACAGACCATCTGTAGGTGAAAGTAAACATGCTATGTAGCGCCACATTTGTTGTTGTTGTACCGTTCTGCCTCAGACTGTCCACCCGTAATTGTTTTTGTCACGTTAATGCACTTTTTAGATTGTATCGTGCCGCCCTCTGGACCCAGTACACAACATTCACTCAACAGTACTGGCAGGAAGAGAAGTGGGGGCAATCTGACTTCCTGTTCCTGATCCATTTCCCACGCTTTTAGCTTCCCCAGCGTTATCTTTAGAACTTTTGTGTTTATATCTACTATTTTTACATAACTCTCTCTCTCTCTCTCTCTCTCTCTCTCTCTCTCTCTCTCTCTCTCTCTCTCTCTCTCTGTCTCACATTCTCTCTCTGTCTCTCTCTCCTCTTCTCCAGTCATTTAAGAGACGATATTTCCAGCTGGCCCAGCTGGGGGATGGATCATATAACCTGAACTTCTATAAGGATGAGAACATCTCCAAAGAGCCTAAAGGGACCATATTTCTTGACTCCTGCATGGGGGTAGTGCAGGTAACCATCACTGTGGGCTACAGTACATTGTACAGGGCTTGACATTAAGCTTCTTTGAGAACTTGTCCACATTTTACTGGCCAAAATCAGTTGTCCATGGGAAACAAAGGTCAAAAAAAAAAGTTTATGAAAGTGTTACAAATTAGCTCATTAGCTTAAATTAGCTTAAATTAGAAAGAGAGAGAGACAAAAACTAGAGAAAATGATTCAGTGCTCCTTTTCTTCCAGCTTTCCTGATTTAGGAGAGAGAGAGAGAGCAAGAGAGAGAGCAAGAGAGAGAGAGGGAGAGAGAAGGAAATTCTTCAAAAATAATCATATTAAAAACTGTTGCAGTTTTATAAACTATATTAAAAGAGGTGCTGAGAACATTTAAGCTGCTTTATTCCCTGAATGAACCCTGTCTAGCCTCTTATGCCACTGTGCGCTCCTTTGAAGTGGTCCGTCGCACAGACTACTTGGGCAAAGTGTAAAAATATCTTCTCCTCCATAAAAACGCCTGCGAAGCAGATACTTGTTGTTCTAGTGTTCTTAAGTGCAGCAGACTTTGCTGTCGTTCTGCCTTCAGCACTCTGTACTCGTTTTGCTGTTGTCATCAACTGGACGGCTTCCACAGTCCATCAGAAGACGATGCTAGACGTGTAAGGAGTAAACAGCTCTATATGGAAACTGTGCCAGGCAAAAACTGTAGAGGGAAATTTAGTGAGAATCACTTTTCAGAGGCCCATGTGTTCCAGATTTTATTTATTTTGTTTTTGCGATTACCTCTGTTCTCAGTGCCATGAAATCTTTTTTTGCATTTAGTTCTGATCAAAGACTTCATAAGATAATCACCAGATAATCAATCAGAACAAAGTGACCCGTCTTTTTTATTAGGATACTTTTTAGGATTTAATCCAGTTTACAAGCCAACTGAAATTGCAGGCCTTCAAGATTAGGGCATATTTATATTTGTTTATGATACATTATCCTGTGTATAGACAGTAGAAGTGGCAATATAATGATATTTAGTGTTATTGCGAAAAATTACATCGTATTATGTCAGTGTGGTTTTCTGATATTATCTGTGTTTAAAAAACGCTGACCAACTGCATGTTTTATTAAAAAAGTTAGAGCTAAAGTTACTTATTAATTCATATCCATCAGAAAAGTTACAGTAACTACCAATACTATACAGGTTTACTTACTGAAACTCAAAGTGATACCAGTAAGTCGACAACTTAAGTAGTAAGTAAAACATTAGCGGTGCAAACATTAGTGTCTCTTTCTTTATGTAGGAAAGCATTTAGTATTTTATTTAGGTTATTTAGTTTCATATCCCTTCTTTTAGTTGAATGCTTGACATCTTATAGGCTTGGAGTGCTTTAGTTTGCACAACTGATGATCAAGCAGGTTTGTTGGATTTTCAGTTGGACTCAAAATATTGATACATTATAGTTGTAATATAGATGTAGGTCAGCGGTGTCCAATCATATCCCCAAAGGGCTGGTGTGGCTGCAGGTTTTCACCCCAAACAAGCTGAAGTACACCTGATTCTACTAGTTTAATCAGTTGGTCTTAGTTGGTCACTTTAATAAGTCCAGTTTAATTAGATTTAGTAAAGCACAGTAGGGTCATTCTACAGAAACGTCCACTTTTTTATCTATCCATAGGAGTTACTGGTGTTACTGATCATCACTGGTGTTGCACATAAGAAAGGTAGCAAACCCCATGATGTCAATCATGGAATATCCACTAAAATATGTAATTTAATCCATTTGTATTCGTTTTTGACAGTTACTTCAGAATAAAGTAGGTCACACCAGTGACATCAGCTAAAAGCTTCATATGAAATCATGAGCTAAATGAGAAAACCTCTGATAACTGAAAGACACAGTGGACTCACCATGTGCTTTTCTTCATAGATCCTCAGAAAATAGGCAAAAGGAAGTCAAGTGATGTCATCAGTGTGATTTTATTTCAAAATAAGACTAATGGGGCCACACCTTTCATTCTATATTTTATAATATTTATTTGGCATTTGTTTTCTTTATGTCATTTAAATCATATATTTCACAGTCATGTATAGATTATTTTAGTTAAAATTGCAGAAAAACATGTTTTTTACCTCAAAATATGGCCTCAGCCTTTACACATGACTGTGAGGACGAGCTCTTCTGTGGTGACTGGAATTCTGTATAATTAATTTAAAAACCAATATTGCTAAATTGAGGCTCAAGAAGATGTAATTGTTAAAATAACTTATTGTTTTATTTTAAAATATTAATAAATTCTAACCCTAATATGTTTTTCAAGTGTAATATATCTGTAAACACAAGGGACACAAAAATGGATGTTTCTGTAGAACGACCCAGTAGTGTTTTAATTTGTGATAATATTTTTTTAAATGTAGCACTACCTCAGAAAAACAAAATATAATACATATCATGTGTCGAGAAAATTTCTTGACCAAAAAGCTTACAGTCGTATGCAAAACTCACTGGAAAAATGACGATGATGAAATTCTATTTTTATGCACATATTGGGGAAAAAACAAACAGAAATTATGCATTGAAGTGTGATCTCTGTAGAGGGTGTGTTATTTTCACATAGAAAATCAACACGTCATTTGACCAGGGGTGCACAAATTTTTGCACTTCGTCCAACTCCCTAATCTCTCGACCAGAACAAAAGTTCTCAGTATTCCCATGGAGCCACTTCTGTAGCTGTTGTTTAGGGCCGAATCAAAACGGCAGAGTTCATGTCGCCACTATCTGTAACATCTATTGACCGATGTGGCTAAAATAGGCATATAAATCATGATTAGTCACACTGAACTGACTTTGAAGTCCAGTTGTATGCTGTGCGTGTGTGTGTTTGTGTGCTTGTTTATGTATGGATGGTCAGCACTGCAGGCAGGTGGGCTTGGTCTGACAGGGTTACAGAGAGAACACAAAGCTCAGCCCAGTTCACATACGGAGGTCCCTCCTACTGACCCAGTCTGCCAGATTTTTCCATGTTTCCTTCTCTAAATGTGCATTTGAGAAGAGAGAGAGAGAGAGAGAGAGAGAGAGGGAGAAGGATAGAGAGAGAGAGGGAAAAGGAGAGAGAGAGAGAGAGAAGGATAGAGAGAGAGAGGGAGAAGGAGAGAGAGAGAGAGAGAGAGAGAAGGATAGAGAGAGAGAGAGAGAGAAGGAGAGAGAGAGAGAGAGAAGGATAGAGAGAGAGAGAGAGAGAGGGAGAAGGAGAGAGAGAGAGAGGGAGGGAGAGAGAGGGAGAAGGAGAGAGAGAGAGAGAGAGAGAGCTTGCATTCCTTTGCTTTGTTTTTGCACTGGCCCTCCTGAAAGAACAAAACACTCAAGTATTCCGTTGGTCTGTGTATTTTAGCTTTGGGAACTCTGAGTATGTTCACCATATTTTTCAAAGAAACGTTCTTCTACAAATTTTTACAGCTTAATATGACAGGTGCTCAGCCAGCATTTTAATCTTTTTCACCAGGTGATGTAGATGATAAATAGTAGTTTCAGGAAGTTTATTATTTCCAGAAGTGATAAAAGAGAGTGAGATATAAATCATCACACTCATATCAACAGTTTTTCTTGTGCCTTTTAAACAATTGAATATGCCAGCCATATGTTATATTGTGTGAACATCCAGTGATGAATAGATCAATACAAAAGCTCCAAAATCGTGTTACATAAACAATAAAAGTGAGTTAAAGTTAAGCACGTTTTTTACTTCGCCTGTAAACCATTTTGAGGCAAAACAAATTTATTTATATAGACTCATTTACCGAAGTTGAAGTTCTCCAGCCAGTTTATATTTTGTTGTTTTCTGAGTGAAATAAGTGTATATCGTCTACAGGGAACTTAAATATGGCATTTTTCTGCAAATTGTAGTGCACAGAAAGTTGAGTTTCTAAGTGAAAATAAGTTACACATCCTCTACAGATGTCACGCTTCCCTCCGTTCCTGCTGTCTCTGCCTCCCAACCTCGGCACTACATTACCCAGAATCCCACTCCGGATCACATGACCTCCGATCTCCCTCACATGACTCTACACTTGTCTGCCTCACCTGATTACTGATTAAACACACCTGTTCCTTGTTCTATATGCATGTTAGTTTAGTATATAAGCCCGGGCTTTAGCTTAGCTCATTTGAGCGAATGTTGCCTTTGTTTACAGAGCCTTATATTCTGTCTGATGGCTGTATTTTGTATGACCCTCACCTTGTTTGTTTAACATACGAAACATACTAGTTTTTAATTTTAATTTATAAAATGTGCCGTAACTTTGAAACGTCTCCAGTATGTTAAATTCAGCAAATAAATGGTACGTGTGTATTAAAATGTGTATAAAGTGTGTTGTCCGTAGAGGATGTGTTAACTTATTTTCTCTTAGAAGCTTAACAAATGTCATTTGACCAGGGGCGCCCAAACTTTCGAAGGCAATTGAAAGTGCTTTACATTAATAAAAGCAAATCGAACATTGGAAAAAAGACAAAAATGAAATAAGAATAAAAAAATATCAGACATACGGGCTTTTGTTATGACAGTGACATTGTGCATATCTAAGGCTTGTGTTAATTGTATGTGTTTGTGTGTGTGTGTGTGTGTGTGTGTGTAGAACAGTAAGGTGAGGCGGTTTGCTTTCGAGCTGAAGATGCAGGATAAGAGCACATACCTGCTGGCTGCAGATAGCGAGGCCGAACTGGACGACTGGATCAGCACCCTCAACAAGATCCTGCACAGCAGCTTCGAACTGGCCATGCAGGAACGCAGAAACGGAGAGCTACACGACGGTGTGTTTGTGTGTGTCTGTGTGTGTTTTGCCCATGGCTGCCCAAAGTGTCCTCAGAGTTGGCCTGTGTTTGATTTGTCCTGTTACCCTAACCCCACCCCTTTACCCAATTAGAGAACAAACACATCATCGCTGTCAAACCGTCTATGTCCATTTTTGACGTTTTCTTTTTTTTTATTTAAAAGGTCCAGTTAGCCTTTTCTTTGTGTTAAAATATAATGATGAACAGAGCAGTAGAAATGCTCATATATTAATATTAAAACCATATTAAAACCTAAACTTTATTGTAGGGCTGTGTTCACAAGGCTACATTGACACTAGAGACGGGAGTATTCAGTTAACTGTTCAAGGTGGTAGTATTCAAATACTGACATCACTTTTTGCAAGCAGCGTCGCCGCGAGACACAGCAAAACACTTTTGATGAGGCGCTAACACGAAATAAAGGATTTAAATATTCTTTATCTTCTAGACGAAGTGTGTTCATATGTTCAGGTAAAGTGGCTCGATGTTTTTAAAAAAGAGCTGCAGCATGAAATTTGAGTTTTACGTTACGTTTACGTCGCGTCGTGATCTGTAAGTTTATTGGCCGTTTGCAAAGCAGAAATCTGATTACTGTCTGATTCATGTAGACGCAGAGTTTTCCTATTATCTGATTACTCAAGTTCATGTAAACACACTTACTGTGTGCTGCTATAGATTTGTGCAAAAACAGTGCTGTCACCTAAAAAGGGAGTCCCTGCATTATTTTTGGCCAAAGTCCAAGTTTTTTTTCAGTCCCAGCAGTTTACCGGATATCCGTTCATGAACGCTTACGGACACTTACCAATACCCAAAATTAGTCAGAATGCGCGTCCCTACATGACAGCTACATAAGCTTTTCATGACAGTTGACATAAAACAACATAAACATTTATAAAGCTTATTATTGTAAAATCTGTTTTCAAAAATGTGTTACTAAAAAAACTTTTTTTGTTCCAAACAGTGTAAGAAATAGAAATATGCAGCAAACTCATTAGTTTAATCTTTAGTTTAAATATCACTCATTGCATGTGTGATTTATTTAATACATTGATTCTAGTTCATTTTAATAAGGGTTTGTGTTGCTGATAGTTTTGGAGTTTACTGTAAATACCCCATGGGTCTCAGGCTGAGTGCTGGGATTTCCTGTATGATAGCATTTGTCAGAAACTCCAACCCTGTGCTTTATAGAGAACTAGCGGTTGGGCATAATGGAATAGCATGTCTCTGTATGTTTTTACATGTGCAGAAGAAACGAGGGTAAGGTGGACCTTTGTTTGAGTTAGTTTGAACTGCAAGGTTCACTCACTTGTGTATTTATATAAGCGGATAATGTGGGTGTGCCTCGAGTGTGTGTGCGTATGTGTTCTGTGGTGGACCACCCATACTTTTTAACACCAGCCTGGTGTTGCTAGAATTTGCCCACAGCGTAAACGCGTTCTCTATATCACACCCACACATACACCTCACTGTCAGTAACACCTCTTAACACCTCTTAAACTCCTGGGCTTTAACACTGTTATGAAAACGAGACCACACATTCCTCTCTGACCACTGCTACCAAGCGAGCCAATCAGAGCTTAAGATCCTGTGGTGGGAGTGTGATCTCATAATATAACTGTCAGCTAGAGATGATATCCTGACTGCCATACCTGCACTGTTGGTTTTTGTGCTTGTGTTTTGTTTACTTGTTTACTAATCTAAGGACCTTTTTGCTCCTTTATAGATGACGATTTAGGAAAGCCAGAAATCTCTTCTGGGAATTTCCAGGACAGTTTTCAGGTACCAAGCACATGCTCACATGCATATGAACTGGGATAAAATTTTGGCTAATTCCTTTGACTAATAGCTGACCGTCATTATTCAGCAATTAAAGGCCTCAGTATCCTTTTAGTGAAATGAAGCTCGTGAGGGTTGTGTGAAGCCAAAATCACCCCTGCAGGCTTATATGCTCACATACTATGTATGTTTTCATTTTGGCTGATCCACCTGTGAATGATGGCACACCTCTTTGGAGTTTGCAGTGCTGGCAGGTGCACGACACAGTGAGCGACCTGGCGCACGACGTCTACGATTGTTCATTTGTCACCTTGCTCAAGTCACATTGATCACCAAAGCCAGGCTAATATTGTTGCAGCAGGAATTATACCAAGGCCTTAATTGTTAATTAGAATGAACACACACTTACGAACGCACATCAACTAAATTCTGTTAATGATCTGAAATATAAGTGTTCCTTTTATGGTCCATGGAGCGTAGTACTGATAGATGAGGCCAGGGCCAGGCATAAGTGTGTGTGTGTGTATATATATATATATGTATATATATATATATATATATATATATATATATATATATATATATATATATATATATATATATATATATATATTGTTTTTAAGTTTTTATCATAATTTAAAAGTGCCTGTTGCCCTTTACTTTGTGCGTAAATTTCATGATAAATGGACCAAAAGAAACGGCCCAAAATGACATGGAAAACATTCTGGTTCCATTGCCTTACTTTAAAAGTAAAGCATGTTTTTTCCTTCTCCTGTAAAGTTACCATTACTCATTTTTAATTTACTCATTTAAATAAATATATGTTTCATAAAGCTACTGAAAGTTATATTTACCACTCATTACCAGCCCATACATGCATTGTCCATGTACAATTCAGAATCTTTAATGATAAACTTGTCTATTCATATAGAGGCTGTTGTTTAGTGGAAATGAAATAAAATTAAATTAACTTTTTTTTTAATGAATACCACTGAACAATTGATATATTTGGTTAACAATTATTCGCTTAATCATTTATGTCCCTAATATAAACACGCAGATGTGCAGAGGGTTCAGTGTGTTTAGAGACTGTAGCTGCTCTGTTTGAGCTGACCAGTACTGTGTAGCCCTTCACATAAGCAATTTAGCCTGTGTGCTTCTGCTGATAAGAGAGTGTCTGTGTGCACCTGTGAGGTTGGTCTGTGTGAGTGCAGCTCTCAGATAATGTTTTCCAGCCATTTCACGCTGAGATAATCACTGTCTGGAAAACACACATACACACCCACACACACACACACACACCCACACACACACACACACACACACACACTGCATCTTTCAAAGGCTGTTACTGACCAGATGTCCTTTGACTACTGTTCTTAAAACTCTCCCTCTCTCACTCGCTCTCTTTTCATCTGTCTCTCTCCCTCTGTCTGTTTCTTCCTCTTTGTCTCTCTTTCTGTCTGTCTCTGCCTCTTTCTTTCTGTTGCTCTCTGTATCTCTTTCCATCTCTCTCTCTCTGTGTCTTTCTCTCTCTTGCTCTTTCTCAGTCTCTCTCTCTGTCTCTTCCCATCTATCTCTGTCTCTCGCTCTTACTGAGTCTGCCTGTCTGTATGTCTCTCTCTCTCCCTTAGTCTCTTCCTTTCTCTCTGTGTGTCTTTCTCTCTCGGTCTCTCTCTCTTTCTGTCTTACTTTCTCACTCTCAGTCTCTTTCTCTCTTTCTCTCTCTCTCTCTCTTTCTCTGTCTCTCGCTCTCTGTCTCTCACTCTCTGTCTCTTTCTCTCTTACTTTTTCATTCTCAGTCTCTCTTTCTCTCTCTCTCTCTCTCAGTCTCTTTCTAGCTGTCTCTCTCTATCCCTCTCTCTCTCCTGTCTCTATAATGTCAGTCTGTTTTCTCCCCCTCCCAGCAGGGGCTAATGAAATATTGATTCATGGCTGATCTTCTAGCTGTTACACCCAGGCTAATATGTCAGTGAAATTCTTGGTACTTGAGTTTAGACTCACTTTATCATGTTTCTCCTTAGCATTATAGTAATTCCAGCTCATGTCTGCTGCTGTTGGCTGGTTTGACCGGTTTATTCTTTGGATTTGTCAGAGCGCCAGAGACATCGAGTCCAAGATGCGCAGCGAGACTCGTCTGAAGCTCTTCATGCTGGATCCGGACACACAGGTGATCACACAGGGGCCTGACCTCAACTCTCGCTTTACAGGGTTGACACTAAGCCGTGTCACTAAGTGCAGCCTGTGTTGTGTGTGTTCGTCCGTAGAGGCTGGATCTGTCAGGCATTGAGCCGGATGTGAAGCAGTTTGAGGAGAAGTTTGGCAAGAGAGTTCTGGTCAGCTGTAATGACCTGTCCTTCAACTTACAGAGCTGTGTGGCTGAGAATGAGGAGGGGCCAACTACTAATGTAAGATGCACACATGCATACATCTCAGGTGTTGAAGTGAACGCCTTTTTTTTTCTCCCCAGTTTTTAAGCCTTGACTGTTCGTAGTCTTGGACGTATTGTTATAATCAGAGGTGAGTAGTTCAGGTCCAGAAAGTACAAATCCTCCCTATGATTTTCTTTCAGCTGTCTGGCTTTTCTGATCAGCTTAAACCAGCAGCAGAGCTGTCCAGGCAGTTGGAACGGAAGATTTTTACTTTCTGGACCTGAATTTTCCACATCTAATCATAACATATTGTGGCGTCGGCATAGAAGAAGAAGACGTGGGGAAACATAGCGTTTCCAGCAGGTGCCTCTTCATTAACACAGCAGCAGGGGAAACCCGCCACTCAGCGCTGTCTTAAAGGCTGGGAGGCAGGCTAGGTCACCGCCAACCATACATCTCACAGATATAATAGACACTAAACCCTCCAACCTACCCCACGACCCAGCACATTAGCGCACCTACAACACATTTACATATCCCCAAACCCACAACAACAAATTTTAACATGTTTTTAAGTCTCTCACCGCTGCCACGGTGGTACCTGTGGTGCTCCGTGCTCGTGGATCCGCGGGAGGAATGGCCATGCAGAGCCACGAGCACAAGCAGGTAGCAGGACACTACAAAGTAAAATAAAGTATGTGCCTAATTATCGGCCAGACTGTAGTTCTAATATAGTAGCTATTTTTAAATGTACAAATCCAAAAAAATCTTGGTGTATTGTTTCTGTATCTAGGGTCCAGTACTGCATGAATCAAGGGTGTCATACTGAGTTCCTTCCAGGTCACAGCTCTGCAGAATTTAGCGTTCCTCCTCATGAAGCACTTCTGATTGAACCAAAGTAATTAGTAAGGCCTTTGTGAGTAGAATTCAGAGTGTTAGAAGGGGGAAAATGCTATCTCTGCAGAGCTGTGTCCCAGAAGGAACTTAGTTTGACACCCCAGTAAAAATAGTTCCTCTGGTCACATTTGCATAATCATTGTATTTTTGAATATACATCTGAATCATAACATAATAAACAAATTGAACTAAACTGTTGTAATATATGAGATTTCATCATACACTAAATCATTTGCTGAAGGGTAGAAAGAGAACTGAGTCCTTGTGAGGTCAGAGATTTATAGCCGTAAAACACACACACACACACACACGCGGTGCTGCAAATTTACAGGACTGATGGCCTTTGCCAGAGTGCGTCTGTGTACTCTGACTGGCATTGCTGTTTGACTTGGTATGGTGGGACGACTCTGTCGCCATGGCAGCAAGCCAAACAGCATGATTCCTAGAGAACTGTCTGATGCTGGTTTCCTGCTGTCACTTTCAGGCCTTTAGAGAGGCCTTTTGTACGGAGGTCCGGAAAGACCATGAGCTGTTGCTATAATTTTCTGGATTGTTACCTTGAGATAACAAGATAATTAACTCGTTATCTCAAAATAAAAATCCCAGAAAATGATAACTACCTCATGGCCTCTCTGGACTTATGTGCATGTGCGACTTAGTAAATCGCTGCTGTCGGAAGAAATCTCCAAAATGGTAACTTTACAGGAGAAGCAAAAAACCTACTTTACTTTTAATGTAAGTCAATAGAACCAGACTTTTTTCCAAGTCATTTTGGGTCGTTTCTTTTGGTTTATTCATCGTGAAATTTACATACAATGTAAAAGGCAACAGGCATTTTGAAATAATGTGAAAAACTGAAAAATGACGAAAAATGGAGATACGAGATTTTGTTCTGACAGCAGCGAAATGCTAATTTAAAGGGGAATTCCACCAGTTTTTCAAAATTTCTGCATAAATCAATAAGATTTAAAGTCAATCAGAGTAGTTTGATGTGAAACACTATGTTCTAGAGAAACCTTCCAAGTCAGAATTGTTCACAGTGGTGATGATAGGAAGCGACTGTCTGAAGAGCTCAGTGTTTCTAAAAGCTGCTTCACAGAAAGTGATTACATGAAATTCATACAAGCACATTGCCTGATACCTGAGACATTGTTTAGCTTTTAGACAAGCTTTTTGCCTAAAATGTATATTTTTTATTCCATTCATAGCAGAGGTGGTACATGCAAGACATATGGCAAAGTAGTATGTATAGAAAAAATCTCTTTTTTTCAGATTTACCCCTTTTTTTAACATCATCAACACTGTAAATAAAAACTAGAAAGAAATGTTGGTTCACTGGTTTAATACTGATATGCAGAATTTAAAAAATGGTAGAATTCTGTAAACATGTTGTTCCTCTGGTTTCCTCCTGTCGGTCTGTTTGCCCACCGCAGTTGTTGAGACAGTATTCATTTCCCAAACTCACTCAGACACGCAGGCACATTTACAGAGATAAAGCTCTGGACTGTGTTGTTGCAGGTGGAGCCCTTCTTTGTATTGCTGTCACTGTTTGACGTGCAGAACAGCAGAAAGATCTCTGCTGATTTTCACGTGGACCTGAATCACCCATTAGTGCGCTCCATGATCTCTCCGTCCAGCGTTGTGATTAACGGAGCTGTGGACACTTCACACATGTCCACGCAGCTCAACGGGCTGCCAGAGGGGGCACTGCAGTACCCCACACAGGTGACTATACTCTACTCACTAATCCTCCTCCACTCTTTTGTCTTATTAGTGCCAATTCCACTATATTCCAAAGTTTCAAATCACTTATCATTTTAATAATTATTTTTTTAAAGTTTTTTGGGGAAAAATAAAAAGTTCTTAAATGATAAGTAATATGATGTAATTATGTACAGTAATGTGCCTAAAGACCACTGTTTTCAGCATCAGGGAAAAAAGCTCACAACTAAACAACAACAGAAATGCACTGTTGGATTTTTCAGTATGTAGTGTGTCCACTTCGCCTTTATTACAGCTTCCATTCTTTCCTGCAGACTTGCTTTAGGTTTTTTTTAAAGAAATCTGCAGGGAAGTTTTTCCACACCTCCAAAGTTCGGTCTTAGAAGTTTTTGCTTCTCATGATCCAAAACATATTCAGTGATGTTGAGGTCTGGACTCTGGGGTGGTCAGTCCTTTTTTTCTGAGAACTCCTGCAGATTTGTCTATTTCCTTTTCACAGTAAGAGCCTCTGACAGCTATGCACCCTTTCAGACCCATAGTGCTGAGTCATCTTCTCACAGTGGAAGGACGGACAGAAACACCTGTGGATGTTTTCAGATCTGAAGCAGCTTGATTTTCTCCTCTCTCTCAAGTGCTGTGTCCTCTCGCGCTTTAAGTGCTGTTTATCTGGTGGTGAAAGTTTGGTGGTCTTCCAGGCCTTGCATGGTTGTTAGGAGTCCCATTTTCTCTACATATTTTCAACCTCTTTTATATGATAGTTCAAGTGCTGTCATTAAAATATTTTATATATATGTGCTGCAAAACATTTGGTTTAATTCAGTTTTTCCACTGGCCACAAATGTGTGGTCAGTTTTTTTTGCCTTATTTAGTAGTTGAGCCATGTCTTTGTATTTCTCAGGGAGTGTTCTCGGTGACGTGCCCGCACCCCGATATCTTTCTGGTGGCACGGATTGAGAAGGTCCTGCAAGGGGGCATCACACATTGTGCTGAGCCTTATATGAAGAGCTCAGACTCTGCCAAGGTACCACAGTCACTGAACTAAATAAAACCACATATGAGGAGTTCTAACTCTGCCATACCTCAGCTGCAGCACACACATACATGCACACAAACAGAAACATACCCTGCTGCACTGTGCTGAGATGAAAATGGCATTTCACGAAGCGCTGACATCAACACATTATCAAAAATATACACTTTTGAACTTAAAGCCATCAGTGGCCACCACTAAACACCAAACTATAACCTGCTATTGCTGTTATAATGGCAAGGAACACTGTTTTCTGTGCTGCTCATGAAAGAAGAGGACAGACTGTCTATCTTAAAACTGAGCTGTACCATATTTGGACCATAATTTATGAGTTTTAGAGAGAATAATGTGTGTTCTTCTTATTCTGCTGCTTTTTCCCAGGTGGCTCAGAAGGTGCTGAAGAACTCCAAGCTAGCCTGCAGTCGGCTGGGCCAGTACAAGATGCCTTTCGCGTGGGCAGCCAGGTGAGGCAGTGCTGTCTGGTGGAGTATTTTAAGAGTTCTAAGCTTCGAATGCGTTTGAATTTCTCTTTTAGACTGAGTCTGTTTTCCTGTGTGTTTGGCACAGGCCCGTGTTCAAAGATGCCTCAGGGACTCTGGACAAAAGTGCCCGCTTCTCCGCCCTTTACCGGCAAGACAGCAATAAACTGTCAGATGAAGACCTCTTCAAACTGCTGGCTGACTTCAGGAAGTTAGTAATAACTTCTAAGTGTCTGGCATTTCATCCACACTGTCCTCAGTAGCTCATCCACATATAATCAACCGAAAATATCCTCACTAAACTGATGAACTGTAAAATCCAAATACTTTCCGAGAACAATATGTTCAGGCTGTGTTGATGCAGCTGCAGGTGTTTCCACTCCAGGTTTTAAGGAATGTGTTATGACTGCACTCCTCTAAAGAGCACACCTGTCAGGTCCGGTGCACGTCTTTTCCTTGTTTTTGATTAACTGAAAGTGTCAATAAATCTGAATATGTCCACAGACCTGAGAAGATGGCCAAGCTTCCTGTCATCCTGGGTAACCTGGATGTAACCATCGACAGTGTCGCTCCTGATGTGACCAGTAAGTCACATTATAGTATTATCTAGTGCTCTCTCGTTTGAACTCGATTCAACTCAGCAGGGATTAGTTGGCTGTTTGCATGATGAATAAATACTGCTATTGGTCTCACTTGTAGTATGAAACCTCACAGGCATGCTTTTTACCTCAGTGTTTCGTTCTACATAGGGGCTTTATAACACATGCATAAACAATGAATAATGTATTTAGAAAGCAGTTCTTGAGTATATATGAACAGCTCATGTCTGTATTCTCAAGATGACGTAGGATGTTTTATGAAGTAAAATGTTTTGGTGTAAGGGCCCGTAAACTAATGCTATGGAGATTTGATCCAATTATAACACTCTGATGAAACACCATTCCCAAGTAATGGAACGTAGGCCCAATCCTGTTTCTTATTTTTACCCCTACCCCTTGTTTTCGAGTGTCTCCTTGCTCCTTGGAACAGAGTTACAAGGGGTAGTGGTTGAAATCTTCCTCTATGAAATGGGACCCTCAAATAAAAAGAGCATCACTTCATTAACAGCTACCAGCGCTGCTCTGTAGGCGACCCTGCCAGTCTGCAGTGACAGCAGAGGAGGGTGAAGTTCAGCTCCTCACTGCTGGGCTTTAGTTACATTTAGGGCGTTATATGCCATCAAAGAGGGGGATAATTATTTATTATCAATCGCCCATAATTCTTCAGTGATATGTAGCTGAAGTCAGATATTCACCAGCTTCTTGTTCGAATTTTCCTGTTCCACCTAAAATGGAGCAGCAGTTACATTCTGGCGCTTCAGGCATCGGTACTACTAGCTAGCTACCGAGACATTAGCATACTAGTAGCGATTTTTCGTGCTTGTTATGAAGAAAAGGACCATAATACACTGAAACGACATTAAACTAAGATAATACAGTGGTTATCATCATTTTTAACAGAGAAAATTCATCTGTGTGTTTCTTTGGTCTCTTGCTCGGCCATCTTGCCGGTTTTCTTTTTTTCTCATGACACTTTGTTTGGAGTGTTGCCTCTGAAAAACCTCCGTTTGGAGGGCTGCGTAGCCCCAACACTTTGTCTTACCCCTCTATCTCAACAAAAATCAGGACACCCTACCCCCAGGAGTGAATGCGCAAAACAGAGGGCTAAGGGCTAAGTGGTAGGGCCGAGGGGTGAAGTAGGACTTGGGCCTTAGAAGACACAGGCCTAGTTGGGAGCACCAGTCAGTTCTATGAAAGACTTCGATGCCCTCAAACCAAACTAAATTTGTGTTCATATTTTCTCATATGTGAAATACCAGTTTGAATACAACTGTATGTGTTAGGTTTTACTGTTTAACTGTTACATTAACTCTTTCCTCTCCTTTCTTCTGTTTTAATCTCTTAGTCTAATCTCTTGACTAACTGGTCACATAATGCATTGTGTTGTGTTAAGCACTTCTAGAAACACTATATAAATGAAGATTTATAAACGTACCTAACTCGGATCTCCTCTCTTGATTGGTCAGATTGTGTTACTCCATCCTACATCCCTGTGCGGCCCTATGAGAACAATGGGCACGGCGGTGGGCCTCTGCTAGAGGTGGAGGAGTTTGTACCCTGCATTGCTAAGTGCTCGCAGCCCTTCACCACCTACAACAACCACCTCTACGTCTACCCCAAACACCTCAAATATGACAGCCAGAAGTCCTTTGCCAAGGTAACAGACCAGCCTCCCTCAGTCTTGCTTAAACCAAACGCACTGTGACTCTAGATGTCTTTAATTATTCTGTGCCGATGTACTGTTATTATATTTGAGCTAATGCTCTGAAGTGGCCAAAGAATCTGACACACTGAAGTATCCAGATGGCCGATGTGATCAGTTCTAAAGCCAAGTGTGTTCAGTCCTTTCCAGCTTGGATAATGTTTAAATGACTAAGCAGATATGATTCTTTCCACCAGGCGAGGAACATTGCAGTATGCGTTGAGTTCAGGGATTCTGACGAGGAGGATGCACAGCCGCTTAAGGTTTAATTAATATACAGTGTTATCCTCATTCACTATATTCACTTTACTCACCATTATGTACCTACTGTACTTCTCAGACCACTGATTTAAGTGTGCGTACACCGATCAGGCATAACATTATGACCACTTCCTTGTTTCTGTGCCCATTGTCCATTTTTTCAGCTCCACTTACTATATAGGTGCACTTTGTAGTTCTACAGTTACAGACTGTAGTCCATCTGTTTCTCTGGATACTTTGTTAGCCCCCTTTTACCCTGTTCTTCGGTGGTCAGGACCTCCATGGCCCCTTTACAGAGCAGTGGTGGATCATTCTCAGCACTGCAGTAACACTGACGTGGTGGTGGTGTGTTAGTGTGTGTTGTGCTGGTCTGAATGGATCAGACACAGCAGTGCTGCTGGAGTTTTTAAACACCTCAGTGTCACTGCTGGACTGAGAATAGTCCACCAACCAAAAATATGCAGCCAACAGCGTCCTGTGGGCAGCGTCCTGTGACCACTGATGAAGGACTAGAGGAGGACCAACACAGACTGTGCAGCAGCAGATGAGCTATCGTCTCTGATTTTACATCTACAAGGTGGACTGACAAGGTAGGAGTGTCTAATAGAGTGGACAGTGAGTGGACACAGTGTTTAAAAACTCCAGCAGCACTGCTGTGTCTGATCCACTCAGACCAGCGCAACACACACTAACACACCACATTGCGTCAGTGTTACTGCAGTGCTGAGAATGATCCACCGCCCAAATAGTACCTGCTCTGTGAGGGTCCATGGGGGTCCTGACCACTGAAGAACAGGGTAAAAGGGGGCTAACAAAGTATCAGAGAAACAGATGGACTACAGTCTGTAACTGTAGAACTACAAAGTGCACCTATATAGTAAGTGGAGCTGATAAAATGGACAATGAGAGTAGAAACAAGGAGGTGGTCATAATGTTATGCCTGATCGGTGTATATGTGTATGTATGTGTTTGTAGTGTATCTATGGTCGTCCAGGGGGGCCTCTTTTCAGCAGGCAGGCATACGCAGCAGTGCTGCATCACCAGCAAAACCCAGAGTTCTGTGATGAGGTGAGTTCTGTTTGGCACAGGAAAGAAGAACCTTTTTACCACTTGATGTAATTTAACAAGTGATACAGGAGTTTTATGTGAATTTTGCCCTATTTGGTTTGGAGTGATTTATCAAGGGAAATCTGTATGCACACGTCAAACTCACACATCCGAAAAGCAATAAAACAACTTCAGGAGGTGTGAATTTTGGCTCTAATTTCAACCAGCGTAGATTTTTGTTCCATTCTCATGAAAAGTTGATGACATCATGCTACTAAGTAATACTACTACACTGTCAAAAAAAGGTACTGTGTAAGTACAGGGAGATTCACTCGAAAGAGGCCCCGAATATTCTGTAATAACTCTCGCTAGGACGAAGCAATCTGAACGAAACAGCGTGCAATGTGCTCCTCAGTATATGGAGCTTCGAACAAGCCAGGATGCCCCTGCGTCGGGCAGTGAGTTAGGCGCTGGACAGCTGACGCCACGTTTAACCTCCGTTTGCACCTTCTGGCTGCATATGCCCATACCCCTTCATGTGTCTGTCGGAAAACGGAGATCACTTCCAGCATCGCATGTAATGCAATCGATTACACATACATCAAGGTATGTAGTGTATTGTTTTGGTTCAGTTTGCTTCATCCTAACGGAAGTTACAACAAAATATTCGGGGCCTCTTTCAAGTAAATCTCCCTGTGCATTCTTTGTTCTTTAAGTTACAAATATAAATGTGCTAAAAGTACAACAGTGGTTTTAATTGCATACCTCAAATACGTTTTTCCCAGGGGAAGGGTACATATGTGTAATGTAGGGGCAGAGGCAGGTTGCAAATGCGAAGTAGCTTTATTAAGGACTGTCCAATACTCATAGTCACAGCAGGCAGAGGTCAAAACAAAGGTGACCAATGCTTGATCTATGCTTGAAAAGCCAAAGAGAGTAGTAGAGGTCAAAACCAGGGAAAACCTGGAAAAATTACGCCAGGACCCCTTGTAAACTTAATTCCACCCAAGTAGGGCTTTTGTCTATATATGGTGTATAAAACGATGATGTACAGTGTAATAAATGGTGTAATTAATTGTTGGTTAATTTTTATTGAATTTCTTTGTATAATCATAATTTCCCACTTTGGCTATCAATGTAGTACTGGATAAACATAACAACTACAATGAATATTTATGTTGCATTCTGGGTGTCAGATCAAGATTGAGCTGCCAACTCAGCTGCATGAGAAGCATCACCTGCTCTTCACCTTTTACCACATCAGCTGTGACAGCAGCACCAAGAAGCGGGACGTGGTGGAGACACCAGGTACAGCATGCTGCCCTCCTCTGGCAGGCCTGCTTGGGGTTTGGGCACAAGGCACTGTCCACTCAGTCACTCCAATTTACAAATATTCAGAAATGTGGTAGAACTTTTACAGCAGAAAATACATAAAAAAATAAAAAAGTAAATGTAAGTTATGTCTGACTCTCTCTCTCTCTCTCTCTCTCTCTCTCTCTCTCTCTCTCTCTCTATCTCTCTCTCAGTGGGCTCTGCCTGGCTGCCTCTGCTTAAAGATGGCCGAGTCATCATGAGTGAGCAGCAGATTTCTGTAGCGTCTAACTTACCTGCAGGCTATCTGAGCTGCCAGGAGGGGCTTAACAAGGTGAAGGCTAAACTCTTTATGTTTAACAAAAAGTCAGAGTTAATAATGAAGGCCTGGTGTCAGTTTAGTAAGCTGATCTAATTAAGCCTGTGTCAGTGCAACGTTTAACCTCCTTTTAAAAGATGATGTCCTGTGTGATCCTTGTATTGTGTGTGTGCTTTGTGTGCTGTTTTTATGGAGAACAGATGTTCCCGTACATTAGTTGGTACCAAATAGAAAATTCCCTGAATTTGTTTTTTATGGTTTTTATTCTTTTATTATTTAGTTACTTTTAAGGCTGCATTATTAATTAAGTTTTCATGTTTATGTTCTGAAAAGCAAGAGTTTAATATTTTGAATTTTAGATTTTAGTATTATGATGGAAGCTGTGATAATAGGTATTTGATGAGGTCAGGGTGAACAGTTTGAAATGAATCGTTTCTGTATAAACCTCAAACCTGTGCACTGCATCAGATAAGCGGATAGTGGGAAACTCGAATTTTTCAATGAGCCCAGAGTTTCCGAGTTGGGGCATGTCAACAAAAAATCAATGATAGCTGCTGATAAATTGGCTGTATTTTAGTCATCAGCCGCACGCTTAACACTGCAAACTAAAGCAATCCACACCTGGAAATACAGGTATAAGCGCATGTTATGTGACACATCTAACTGCATAAAAACATTACTCTTCTCACAGGCGTCTTCTGCTCTCCACTTTGTCGCAGCAACGCAAAATAGACAGACTCTCTTTAATGACAGATTAACAAAAGTAAACCAAAACTTCTTTCTTATTTCCAACCAAAAACACCTGAACACAAATCAAGTCGTACTTACGACCTCCGAAGTCGTAAGTAAGAACTTCAGAGGAGGACTTGAAAGCAGCTTAATTCTACCACTCAGACCAAGTAAATGGTTGAAAGACTTCAAAAGCATCCACTGCTTCACGATTTAGGAAACGATTAATATGGATACTACATTCAGTGAATGGCAGTGGTCAAAAAGCTTGTTTTCCAGCACGATGGTATTTGAGAAGGTCAGGGTGAACAGTTTGAAATGGTTTGGTTTCAGCATGGTTTCAGCAATAGACTTTTGGTATTATTGTCTCTATGAACATACACACCAACACATCTTCACACTTGCTTGGCAATGTTGCCAAGACGTAGCCAAAGACATTGAAGGGATCAACTTCAACCTCTACCCTGTTGTTATCTTTTTTAAGTGCATTTTCTACTGCTAGTTTTTATTTTTGCAGTAGTTTTTGGTAACGATAATAACCTTGATCTTGGAACCGATATGGCAAGAATGTGAGATCACGATACTTCGGGAAGTTTTCACGACACATGGCATGTCGCAGTATTTTTTTTTTGACATCTGATAAGTTTAAACAGAAAAAGTGGTGGCATATTTTGAAAATATGATCAAAAACTTTACATCAGATTTGTTAAAAAGGACTAATTATTCTCACATTGTAATAAAATATGCAGCTGGGATGAGACAAAATCCACAAATGTACAAAATGTGCTCCGAAAAGGATATTGTGACATGTTGTGACATACTGTGATGTGATTTATCACAAAATATTATTATATTGCTCAGCTTTTTTAACACAAAATGCTAAAAGATTCTTACTAAGATTAATTAGAGAACAATAAATTGAAAATCCATTCATCTACAATGTGTATGTGTTTGTAATTCCCAGTGAGAAAATTAGAACCATGAATTACTTAAACCCTTTATTCTTATTGTCTTCATTGTGTTCCTTTACACAGAAGTAGCTCTAGATGTGATTGGAAATGCTTTAGGTCATGATTGAATGTTTGTTTATGTTGACAGCACTCTGGTCCAGAGGTAAAATGGGTGGACGGAGCTCGTCCCCTCTTCCGAGTGTCAACACACCTGGTCTCCACAGTCTACACTCAGGTAAAGTATGAAGTACAGACCAGTTTAGGTGGTCAGACCCATGACTGTAGTATAGTGAGCTCATAATTAAGTCTGCAAATGTACACTATATATATTTTGTCCAGTAATTTCATCAGTTATTTCTCTCTTTTAGGATCAGCACCTTCATAATTTCTTCCATCACTGTCAGAAGATGGAGTCAGGGTCAGCCCAGGCCACTGAAGGAGAGCTGGTCAAGTACTTGAAGGTGAACATGTCTAAAGCACTCTTAATGAGAGACAACAGTGATTGAGATCATTATTATTGATTTTGTTGTTGTTGTTGTTTTTGTTAGTGCTGTTTTTTTTTGTCCCATCCTTTTACTACACAAATTCACATAAACAAGATGATTAGAAAGATAGGAGCATTATAAAGATAGACGAAATCACCACAAACCAGTACAGTCATATGCAATATTTTGGGTACCCCAGTCAAATGACACACTCCAAAAATAGTAACTTGTCAAGTGAAATGAACTTAAATCTAGTCAAAATCTAATATTTCCCATTTTGAGATGGCTGTGCACTGATTATAAGGTTATCTCACTTATTTCTAGACATTATTCATTTGTTTTAGGTCAGGGGTCAGCAACCCAAATGTTAAGAAGAGACATTTTGTCCTTTCAACAAAAATCAAACTGCCTTGGGAGCCACAACATTTATGTCCATTTGACCATCTCGGCTGTAAATATGTCTCAGTATGTGCTCATGTTCTTGTATAGGCTTACAAATTGAATTTATATGAAAATGCAGACTTAGCTCTGCTTTAAGCTTTAGCTCAGCCATAGCCGCTTTTTTTGCATCTCTCAGTGTTTGATTTTTTACGAGGCTGAAATCAGCTTCTCATTCGCCGGCTTCTTGTTCTAATTTTCCTGTTCCACCGTGGACTGTGCCTGAGGCGCCAGAATGCAACTGCTGCACCATTTAAGGTGGAACGGGAAAATTCGAACAAGAAGCTGGCGAATGAGAAGCGACTTCAGCCTCGGCACTTTTTAGTGTTTGACAGTTTCTCATCGCAGATTAAACGTATCAGGAAACCAGCTGGAGTGATTATAAATGCGAATCAGTCCATTCGTTTCCAAATTATCGATGTTCGTCTTAAATCTCTCTCTTTGTCTTTTCGTTAGCTACTAGCTAGGCAAGACTGTTGTCTATGTTGCTATGGTGACCAGCTGTCTGTGCTCAGATCTTCAGGGTTAAAGGGTGAATTAGCAGTTCTACATTAACTCCAGCATGTTGAACGATCAGCAGAGCTTTATTTTACTGTAAAGGAGGATTATTTTATTTTTTACCTACAAATCTGATTCTGCTGTGGAGCCACAACAGCGCAGTAAAAGAGCCACGTGTTGCCGACCTGTTTTAGGCGATTCTATCGAGTAAAATAACCTCACTATCTGGCAGATAATTTTGCTGGTTTCAAAGCACATCTGTTAAATATAGTGAGGTAAAAGTTACTTAAAAAAATCACTTAAAACAAATCAAAAAATGTCTAGAAATAAGTTAAAAAATTTTACATTAGGTTTACAACAATCTGAGCAGATTTATTGTCTACGTTTAAGATCATTTTGCTTGGCAAGATACCATTTTTTGCAGTGCATATTTTGTTTGTTTTTCTAAGTGAAAATAAGTTTAACGCATCCTCAACAGAGAATAAACTTCTGCACATTTTAATGCACATTTAATATTTATTTTCTGAATTCAACATATTGGGAAAGTATGAAATGTTAAATAAGGTATGTGCAAAATCTGTAGCACATTTTAAAACTTCTCTCAATATATGAAATTCCAAGAAATGTACGAAGATTTGCAGAAAAATGCCATAGTAACTTTTATCCCAAGGGTTGATTGTGACAAGCTCTCACTGAGAAAATCTTAACCATGTTTCCGCAGAGTCTCCACGCCATGGAGGGTCACGTGATGATTAATTTCCTGCCAACTATTCTAAATCAGCTGGTGCGTGTTCTTACGACGGCCAATCATGAGGACGTGGCAGTCAACACCACCAGGTGGGAGTGTAGCAGTTACCACTCAGACTGAGCTGGAGGCACTTCTGAAGAAGAAAAAAAATAAAAAGGCTCATCTTAAATCATTGATCCTATTCTGTCTCCTACAGGGTCATGGTCCACATAGTTGCCCAGTGTCATGAGGAGGGTCTCGAACATTACCTCAGATCTTATGTGAAGGTAAAGTTAATTCTTATGTCTGAACACATCAGAAACAGACACACCTGCAGAGGATTAAGCAGTTTTTAACCGTGGTTGATATTGTCACGTCTGTTTTTCCTGAGCAGTACGTGTTTAAGACTGAACGCTACTCGGCCACTAACAGTAAAACAGTGCATGAGGAGCTGGCCAAAGCCATGACCGCCATCTTAAAGCCTTCCACTGATTTCCTCACCAGCAATAAGCTCCTCAAGGTACTCCTTTCATATGCCTCTGGCATGTTTTGTTGATTTTGAAAGTGAAAATAAGTTAAAACATCCTCTACAGAGAACTAATTACTAATAATGCACAAAAACTGTAATGCACAATTACTGTTTATTTGCTGAATTTAACGTATTGAAAAAAAAAAAACATAAAAAATGTGGCTTTATAATTTGATTTTTTTTTTTTACCCATGCAAAAAATTTAGCAAAAAGTAGAAATTGTGCACTAAAAAAAATATTTTATTTAAATTTTAAAAAGTTTATTCCTTGTATTAAAACTTCTGCACATAAACTATATTTCTAATTCAAATACATTGAAATAAGTCATTGCTTCTTGTTGTGATTGTTGTGATTTAGAACATCTCTGTGATTTGCTGTGGTTGTTATTATCTTTCAGTACTCCTGGTATTTCTTTGAGGCCTTAGTAAAGTCCATGGCGCAGCATTTGATAGAAAGCGGGAAAGTTAAAGTGAGTAAAACGCGCTTCAGAAGATTAAACTTTCATTGGTTATGTAAATCTCTTGCCTAACGAAATTGCCTGACTGAATTTTCTTAGCTTTAACTTGTATTTAAACTGATCTTTTTGCAATTTTCTGTCGAGTAAACATGACTCTGTTTTCACCCAGCTGTCCAGGAACCAGCGCTTTACTGCTTCCTTCCACCACGCGGTGGAGACTCTGGTGAACATGCTGATGCCACACATCACCCAGAAATACAAAGACAACCTAGACGCTGCCCGCAATGCCAACCACAGCCTTGCCGTCTTCATCAAGGTGAGGCTCGTCTTAGGGCTCCTCTGCTGGGCTGCAGGACCCAGGTTGAATATTCTGGTCAGGAGCTAATTCTGTAGACAGTTACAGCCAGAAAATGTATTTACTAACTTTAACACATGCTTATTGGGTCACAGAGATAGCAGTGTTTGGTCAGTTGTTCTACCACCTGTAAAATGAAAGAACATCAATATTTGGTCCTCTAGACAAGAACATAAAGAGGTGGTAGCAGTACGTTTATCTGAAACGTTTGCCTTTTCTTCCAAACAGCGCTGTTTCACATTTATGGATCGTGGATTTGTTTTCAAGCAGATCAACAACTACATCAACTGCTTTGTGCCTGGAGACCCCAAGGTACAGAAGTAATTTTGTGTTACTAATAGCCACAGTTAGCAGATGATATTGCAGTATAGATGTACAAGTTTGTGTTAGAGGAGAGAACAACCTAATGTGGGGTAAAGTGTTGCAAAGATTTCTGTGTAGTTAACCCCTTTAAAATCCCAGGCTTATTACATACTTATTATTCAGTAACTACAGGGACTTCGATGCAAACTGGCTGAGCTACTCTTAGGTTATAAACGCATGTAATAAAAATGTGGGGCCATCAGTGGGCCTGGCCATTTAAGGGGTTAAACAGTTTTAATTAGAATGTGCTTCCGACCAAATTCTTGTATTGTCATCTGCAAAATTTCACAGCCATGTGACTGATGGTTCTTGAGATTCACCAGAAACACCTTAACTTTTCATCTTTAATGTGTGCATAAGTAACTGAATTTACATCTGTATTGTATAAATTACTCTCATAATGTGTGTAATATAGCACAATTCTGAAGTGAGAGCTAGTCGAGTTACAGTACAGCCTCCATAGAGCGGGGTTAGTTTTAACACAGTGTTACAAATAAACCACCCAAAGTAAAAATAAGGTAAGTTTATATCCCCCATCAATAAATTCAAAATATTTCATTTTTCTTCTCCTTTTTTCAGAGATTTATCATAAACATCATATAGATGTAAATAAAAGACATTCCAGTTTTGTTGTGCTTATTGTTTTCTACTGTTTAGTTAAAAAAAAGATTTGCCAGAGTCTAACACAGCCTTTTTCACTAATCATATTTATTTTGATTCGTTTTCATGTGTTTAGGTTGGAAAGCTCATTTGGTTCAAACAACATAAAATTTTATGGAGTTGATTGTGTTTTGTATCAATTTTATTAGGCTTTTCTAGCAAGTGTTGCAACTGGCCTCTCAGTCTGTTACAGTTAACAGTCTTGTGGGGCCAAACGTGATCTCATAACAAGACATTCTGGGGAGAAAGTGAGAAACTTGGCTAAACGTGGGTAGGAATGTTATTAAACCAATCCAATGCTTCATGAAGGTAGAGCTGAAATGAGGGCATTGGTGTGCTTTTCAACATTACCTGACGGATAGCAAGCCTGTCATTAGCCCATGCGTGTAATATACGTTAGCATGGCGGAAAAGTGTCTTTAAAAAATCAAATTAATGTATAAGCATGTAGATGCGTCGCATGTGCAGAGAACACATTCAGTGCTGTAAAAATAAACATTACCTCCTGCAAAGGAAACACAGTTGCATTATCTAACAGTAGTGATTCACTAGCTAGCTTGTGTTGCTTGTGCTATTGATTACTCTGAAGTTAAAAGAGTACAGACTAGAGGAATTTGGGGGCAGGTTTTAGAGTGGGCTTACCTCTGTTAGTAGCAGGTATTACTACAATCAAGCACAAAAAGCTTAACCCTTGTGTGGTGTTGATGTGTTTGTTACTCACTGGTCTGCTGGACCCACCACATTATACCATATAAAATACCAGATGTTTAAAATATCAGAAGTGTCCAGTGTAGGTGTGGCATGCGCCCGCCCCCCGGGCCCCGACGATGACGGCCGCGAGAGCCGGCAGGAAGGCAGGGCCCGAACACCCAGCGGCGACGAACCTCGGCCAGGACGGCAGGGAGAGAGCTGCGAGTGGGGAGGGGGCGGAGCGCAAAGCCCGGCCTCCTCCGAGTAACCCGAGTGACGCGAGTGACGGCGGGAGGAGGAGAAAGACGACGACGGGGCCGGCAACAAGAGGCACCAGGGCAAGGAGCGAGTCCCGAGCTCCGCCACCTGGGCCCCCCCCTGTTACGCAGTGAGGCCGCTTCACTACACCTCACGTTCGACCCGAGCGGCCTCGCTGCGAGGTTCGTCGCCGCTGGGTGTTCGGGCCCCGCCTTCCTGCCGGCTGTCGCGGCCGTCATCGTCGGGGCCCGGGGGGCGGGCGCATGCCACAGTAGAGTTCTCCTTTAGCAGCTGTAGCCAGTCAGCAGCCTGTTCATGATGTCCACCTTCACACACACACACACACACACACACACACAGACACACACACTAACAGCAGGCCATGTAGGAGGAGAACAGAGTGAAGGACACAGCACCTCCACACTTTTACTCCCCGCAGGTTCACCCAACACCACATGTGTAAATGTGTAGGGGGTGAACAGTGTGAAGCCGTTGTGTTGTCCCATTCTCCTCTTTATAGCTCTTGCGTTGTAGTCATGTGCTTGTAACATATTTCATATCTTTTGTAGGGAATTAAATTAAGGTTATGTATTTTTTATTGCTTTGGCTGATCTTTCTCTCTCGCTTTGTCTCCTGCAGACGCTGTATGAGTTTAAGTTTGCGTTTCTGAGGGTGGTGTGCAACCATGAGCACTTCGTTCCACTGAACCTGCCCATGCCCTTTGGGAAAGGCAGGATAATGCGCTTTCAAGGTACACAGGTCTTCAGTTACTTAAGCCTAATTTCATCAGATCTTTGCAACAAATCACAAGTCTTTTTGTTCACTGACACTAATTAGATTTACTGAGGCAAATCAGATTAGCCAAAAAGCCAATTTCCTCCTGCTGGCTCACCTGCGCCTCTCTGCCTGTGCGCCTTGCTTGCTCCGGTTCTTGCTGTAGCTCCTACATTTCTTCTAGTTCTCTCCTTTATCTCTCTGTCTTTGTTCTGAGTTTTACACTTCTTTCTCCACCTGTGCTAGCTTTTCTCTCGCGCAGTAAGGAGACTCATGCCAAATGTGTAGGTGAGCTGTACTGCTTGGCCTGTGGCTGTGGCTGTGTATTGACTGTGCAATGTTGTGTTAATACATTTGTCTCAATTTACAAACTATAATGCTGTGCAGGTTAGGGGTGGGCGATATGACAAATGTAATATCACGATACTTGAAAATACAGGGTGATCCAAAAAGATTAATCCGATTTCAAATACCAATTGAAAGAGAGTTTCTGACTGTCAGTATGGCAGTGAACCTCCAACAGCTCAGAGCATTCATTGATGGTACCAACAGTTCCATAAAAAAGGTCACCAGCATCACCACATCTCACGCTGTGTGACTTTTTTGTGGGGGTATGTTAAGGGGGGCTACGTTAAGGATTCTGTGTACGTGCCACTCCAAACAACACTGGATGATCTCCGAAATCACATTGAAAGAGCCGTGAGTACAGTGACCCCCGACATGCTCGGTTGAGTATGGGATGACTATCGCATTGATGTGGAGGAGGTTCATATTGAGCACTTATAAAATTACATAATAAACTTTATTCTCACTTAAACCATTTACAATTTACTGCACTGGTCTGTAATGATTTACAAGTGAAATAAATCTTTATAATAAATCATAATCGTTTTGAATCACCCTGTATTTTCACAATACACGATATGTATCATAATTTTAGTTTTTCTGAAGTTTGATAACTTGGAAATTGTGTCCATTTAAAAATATGATCAAAAACTGACATTTTTACAAAATACTGTGTACAGGACTAATTATCCTCTCTTTGATGAAACGTAATTAGTAATTAGTCAGTGAATTGTACCGAGTACTGACGATAACCATGATATGCTGAGAAAAGCGCATTGTTATATAATTTACTACAATAACAATAAAATAAAAAATCATATCAGCCACCCCTAATGTGGATAAACAGTTTCTCCTTTTTGTGGTCATTTCATTTTCATTTTCCTAATGATCTCCACCCACATATTCAACAGTATGAGTGTTGTTTGTTCTTGCTCAATGTTCCCCATTCATTGCTGAGACATGGGTCATGTCCTTTCAATGCATATGCATTGTGGGATAATCACAGCAACAGTCATGTCTGGTGTCTTGCAGTTGAATGTTGTCCCACTGTATTTATGTGTCTCTGTTTTAGGCTGTTTGTGTTTTAACTTGATGTGTTTTAGTGATATTGATATGTTATTGATATTGTCATTGAGTTACAATAAGCAATAACTAGCAGGGTTATATAAGGAGAGGTGTGAATATACACTATGGATAGAGATATGGATGTACTGTTGCTGTTTACAAGATTAAAAAACTATGTAAAATATTATATGTAAAATGTATACTATATATAAAATATTGTATTGCATATATACTATATATAAAATATTATATGGTTGCAGACAAATGAAATGATTCTAATATGCTTGTCCTGTGCAACATATCAGGTTTCAGTGTTAGATGGAATAGAAGATTCTAAAATGACTGAAAAAGCTGTAAAGCATTAAAAATTTACTTATAATAAAATGAATATCTGGAATTCATTCTAATCTTTGAAAGTGGAGATCAAATGTAACAGCAAATAACTTGACATAAAATGTAAATAGATAATTACTGTATGTTGTTTATCATTTTATTACTTCTTGTTCACATAATTCTTGAAATATTTATTAAAACATTCCTAAAATGCCTTTTGGCGAATTTGTAACCCCACAAATAAATAGTTATTGTACATAAAATAACACAAATTGTAAATATGGCAAACTTTTGGATGGTATAAATGTAACGGTGCCTTCAGTTGTCCATCAGTTGGTCAGTTCTTTTTCCTAACCATATGAGTAGGTCAGTATGTGGAAGATCATGTTGAAGCTCTCAATCAGACTGTTTTAATGAATTGATCTTAACGTGACTGAAATGACTGTGTTTTCAAACTAATGCAGTCTCTTCTCTCTCCCTGCAGACCTGCAGCTGGACTACTCCCTGACCGATGACTTCTGTAGGAATCACTTTCTGGTCGGGCTCTTGCTGAGGGAGGTGGGCGGAGCCCTGCAGGAGTTCGGAGAGATCCGTCAGATTGCCATCCATGTGCTCAAAAGCCTGATGATCAAACACACATTTGATGAACGTTATGCCTCAAAGGTTGGCGAGTCTGCATCATCACTGGATTGTCATTGTTTTTTCACTAGATTTTTTTTATTAGTTGGCATTCACTGTTAACACTGTGGGAGCTGGGCTGCAAGCTACTTCATCAGTAGACCCCCCAGGTCTACTGCTTTTGCTGCTGATGCTGTGCAGGTTAGGGGTGGGCGATATGACAAATGTAATATCACGATACTTGAAAATACAGGGTGATCCAAAAAGATTCATCCGATTTCACATACCAATTGAAAGAGAGTTTCTGACTGTCAGTATGGCAGTGAACCTCCAACAGCTCAGAGCATTCATTGATGGTACCAAGATCACCAGCATCACCAGATCTCACGCTGTGTGACTTTTTTGTGGGGGTATGTTAAGGGGGGCTACGTTAAGGATTCTGTTCACATGCCACTCCAAACCACTGTAGAACTACATGTTGAAATATAGATCATGTCCTGTTTTGATTATAGCTCGGCCTGTCACTGTTATTACATAATCACCAGTAAACATCATTTTGGCTGATCAGTTATTTAAGTTGGCAGCAATTATTTAGGCTGACCGCAGTTATGTTCCACAGTTGTTTCCACAGTTTTCACATTGATATGTTTATGTTGCAACATAGAGAATGTGTATTTTCATCAGTTAGGTTGAGAAATACATATTAAAAAGGGAAAGAAAATGCATGGTTCTTATTAATACAATACGTTAAGATGGCAGCAGTTATGTTTGTTTATTTGAGCTCTCACTGTATGTTTATGGTCAGTTGGGAGCTACTAAGTATTGACAGCTATGAAGAAAGATGGAACACATAAGGCTTGTACAAAAAGAAGACAAATTAACTTTTAATCACAATTTTTTATATGTCAGTTAAACATTAACTGCAATTACCTACCTATATATACCAATCTATAATTAACTACCTATAGCATGAATGTAGCATCCTAACCTGTGTGGCCTGTGTGTTTCAGAGTCAGCAGGCTAGGTTAGCGACTCTCTACTTGCCTTTGTTTGGGCTGCTTCAGGAGAATGTACACAGACTCAATGTGAGAGAGACGTCCACCAGTCAGGTGAGTTATATAACAGAAACAGCAAAGGCCCCAATATAATATCTAAAGGACACAAACAGCCAAACGCACCAAACACACATGCTGTACTAAGCCATATGTGACAATCTCCAGGTCAATCATGCACACACTTCTGCTTCTATCACACACCTTAAATATATTGACCCCAGTCCTCTGACTGAGGCCACTGTACCTGCTGGTCTGAAAACACTAAATCTGGCTCTCCTTATAGAACGGGAAAGAAGAACCTGTCTCCAACATTGCTGCTGCAACACCACACAAGCCTGCTGGAAGCCTTGACACCAGTCTGCATAAAGACGTGTTTGGCGTCATCTCTGGCACAGGTGAGTTTTCATAGCACCATCTGTTACTACATCACTGCCAGTCCAGGAGAATGACACTCTACGCTTAATCACAGTGTTTTTTGGTTTCTCTCAGCCACAAGAGGAGAACAGCAGTCAATCTTATCCTTTTAACCCCTTACCTGACCAGGACACAGCAGTGTCCAGAATTTTTTTACACTTCTGCAGCCCCAATTGCAAGTTGGACAGTATGTGGAAAGCAAAAACAGAAAGCAGTGATTAGCAAATTTTGTTTGACTGGTATTAAATTGAAGATGGTACAAAACACAATATTCAATGTTTTACATTATTAACTTCATTATTTTTTGTAAATATATGCTCATAACAAATTTGATGCCTGCATTCCAAAAAAGTTGGGATAGGAGCACATTCACCACCGTGTTACGTCACCTTTCCAGCACTTAATAAACACTTAGGGACTGACGACACAGACTGATCCAGTTTTGATATCAGGTTTTTAGTTTGTCTTTATGTATTTTTACTGGGCCTTGGTTGTCATATTTTGAGCTTAATAAGATGCACGTTTTCAAAGTGAGACAGGTCAAGACTGCAGGCAGGCCAGTTTAGCACATGCACAGTCTGATTATGCAGCCATGCTGTTGTAACGTACCGGGTGTGGCTTTGTATCATGTTAAAATAAGCCTGAGTGTCCCTGAAAAAGAGAGCATGTAAAAGGCAACATATGATGGTTCTTTACGTCTTTGGCCTCGAGAACACAACATCCATTATTTCCATAAATAATCTGAAAGGTTGACTCATCCCACCACAGTACATGTTTCCACTGTGCATCAGTCCATTTCAGATGAGCTTGAGCCCAGAGAACTCGGCAGTGTTTCTGGACATTGTTAAATGGCTTCCAGTGTGCATAGTGCAGTCTTAGCTTGCATTGGTATGTATATATACCAATGCAACTGCATTGGTTGGTATAGGGTAGTGGGTAACATCTCTGCCTTCTATGCTGTAGACTGGGGTTCAATCCCCTGCTTGGACAAGCACCCTGCACTATACCAATAAGAGTCCTTGGGCAAGACTCCTAACACTACCTTTGCCTACCTGTGTAAAAATGATCAAAACTGTAAGGCGCTCTGGATAAGAGCTTCTGCCAAATGCCATAAATGTAAGTTTGTGGATGCAACACAAACAGTGTTTATTGACTACAGTTTGTCAGAGTATTCACGGGCACATGTGGTGATATCCATCACAGAAGCATGCTGGTTTTTAATGCAGTGCTGTCTGAGGGGTCAAAGGTCACAGGCCTTCCTTTGTGGTTCTCGGCCTCTCCCTTTACGCTCAGAGATTTCCCTGGATTGTCTGAATATTTTGATGATATTATGCACCATAGACAGTGGAATACCAAAAATCCTTGCAATCCTTGGCTGAACTGTTAAATTTTTTGCTGATTTTTGGCAAAGTGGCGAGCCTCGACCTATCTTTGGGCTAGGCTTTTCCTGGATGCTCCTTTTATACCCAAGCCTGATTGCATCACCTGGCAGAAATATGACATTATTTTTTATACCCTGTTTAATATTTGTAAACAACCTTAGGTAACATGAACTCCCATGGCCAATCACTGTTGTATCTGTGTCTTTTGTTGTGATGTGCAAAAATTGTGTCTGAATATTTTTGTCATTTATTTGCATCGCATTTGGTGTAGAGCAGCTTTTAGGATGTAATCAGCCTAAGATGAATTCTGTTGCACAGACTATATGCTATTCATATGGAAAAAAGTTTTATCATGGTCTGCCAGTTTCTACCCTTTGACTCCTAAGTGGCTTATTCAGTTATTAATTGTAAGCCTTATTATTTAGTTTGTACTGTGAAATGAAATACTATGTAAACTACATAGGTATGAGAAGATTTGAAGGGTTTAAGAGGTTAAACTGATTTTGTAAATTGAATCAGCCTCTTGTTTCATCTCTGCAGCTTCCCCCCACACCTCCACACCTAACATCAGCGCGGTCCGTCACGCCGACTCCCGCGGCTCTCTGGTCAGCACGGACTCGGGAAACAGCCTTCCAGAGAAGAACAGTGAGAAGAGCAGCTCCCTGGATAAGGTAGAATCTACACTCCACTGAACACAAAATTCTTCATATCCTGTCCTCATTCTTCTTTATAATACAAATAATAGTAAATTGCATCTTATTAAAACAATAAAATGGCTAAAGCCATTTGCCTTACGGTTAGTGTTGTGTTCAAGACCTCTACAGGTGAGTCCGAGTAAAGACCAAGACTTTATAGTAGTCAAGACTAAGTCAAGGCCAAGACCAGGACACACTGAGTCCAAGATAAAAACAGTCCTGCGCTGGGCCAAAATTTCAGTGTCATGTTTGGGAGCAGGTGGATAACCAGCCAACAATATGATAACAGTCCCTTAATATTAATATCTAACAGCAAAATAACAAATTAAACTAATATACATTTTTTGTGAAGCAATCACATGAACAACACATGAATTGCTTTCTTGTAAGCGAAGCCTTCGGACAGTCAGACGGCCACAGCTGTGGAAAATGCTCCTAATAAAGACAAATGTATGACAATAAAGCCAAATATAGGCAGGTCTGACATGTGGCAATCATTTTCAGTCTAACTAACACTAATGGAAACCAGCTATACAGGACTGCGGGCGGGAGCGGGAATATAAACATGAATATAAACCAAGTGCCGTACATCTATTTTTATTATTAAATGTAAACATATCAATAACAACATTCTGATCTGCTCTTGGGGGATGTTTGAGGGTACTACAGAACTACTTCAGGCAACTGTTACTGTAGGTAATTAAATAGTAAATAAAAACTATTAGGCTTTTATGCTGGACTGTATTAAATTGTCTTTTTGGTTTTTAACAGTTTGATGTAGCAGTGTCCAAAAAGTTAAAGCCCACATTCATGTTTCCTGAGGGAGAATGTTTTGTGGAAGCTACAGCTTGTCCTTCCTCTCTTACCTTATGCCCTCTAAACTGTGACCTATCAGCAGAGAGAGAGGTTCACTCGTAGACACACCCTTACTGTGCTGCCCCTTCCCCTCGAGCCGGAGGACTCCGCCCCCCTCAGCAAGGCAGCCAAACGCGTCACCATGGATTTCTCACTTCTGTCAAGCCCCAGCATCTCTGAGAGCAACACGCACATCACTGCTAAATCCATACAAGTAGATCTGTACTGAGTGTCCCCTGCCGGGGAGTGAAGCTGGGTGTGCATGCGTGTCTGTTCTCTGTCCTCGATCACGCAGGGTTTTGTCCTGCAGCACTCTTGGTGGTGGATCAAGTGTCGGTTTCCTTTCCCCCTTGTTAGTTTTTAAGTGTGAGAGATCAGTTTCCTCACTCCACTTTCTCAGAGTGACTGTGCTTCTGTTTATTTACATCAAGGTTAGTTCGGGTAAAGCTGCTAGCATAGAATAGTTGTAATTAGGGATGCACAATGATATTGGAATTATATCAGTATCTGTAGTCATCAGCACCTGACCGATGTTTATATTTTATTTTTCAAACTGATATTTGATGATGTATTTATTTGGAAAGACACTAAATACACTATTCCTCTGTAATGCTAATCCAGAACTTGCAGTTTCAACTTTTTAAAATTAATATTTATCAGCATTGGTAGATATGAACAAACCACAATTCCAAAAAAAGGGTGGGACACTATGTGAAACCCTAAAATCCTAAAGATCAGTGATTTTAGTAAATTGTTTTCGACCTGTGTTAAATGGAATACCATACAAAAACACAGTGTGAATTTCCCCATTGTGGGATTAATAAAGGATTATTCTATGTGTTATTTTTTGCCTTATAAACTTTTTTTTTGTAAAAAATTAATGCTAATTATAAATTTGATGCCGGCAGCACGTTCCAAAAAGGTTAGAACAAACAGCTGGACTGCAACTATACAGTGCAGTACTTCTGTGTTACATCACTTTTCCTTTTAACAGCACTTAGTAGTCAGTTGGGGGCTGAAGACACCCAGTTGATCCAGTTTTTAAAGCAGATTTTTTGCCATTCTTTTGTTAGAATGTCTTCAGCTGCGCAACTATATGGGACCATCCTTGTCATATTCTGCACTTCATAATGTAGCACACGTTTTCAGTGAGATACTGATCTGGACTACAGGCAGGCCGGTCTAGCACCTGCACGCTCAGCCATGCTGTGTAACATGTGCAGAATGTAACTTGCTGTTGTCGTGCTCAAATGCATATATCTCAGCATTTATGGTGCCTTCATGGATTTGCAAGTTACCCATGTCCTGGGTGATAATTCAGCCCCGTACCATGACATACCACACCACGATCTGAAAAGTCGAGAGTGCATTTTCACTGTGCATCAGTCTGCGGACATTGTTGACATTTGGCTTCTGCTGTACATAGAACAGTTTACATCCACAGGTCAAAGTGGATTCACAGATCACTGCCTTCTGGTTTCATTTGCATTTCACATACTGTCCCAGCTGTTTAGAATAGGTATATAAAAGATCGGAGATTGGCATTGGGCCACAATTGTCAGTGCATCCCTAGGTTTTCATCTTGGATCACTCAAAAATGTAACAGGCTTTTCTGGTTAACAGACTCAATCCGCGTCTGCTCTTGGGAGCTCCATTCTGCGCTGTGACAAACTAGACAGAGAAGAAATAAAGAACTTGCTCATGTGCTTTCTGCATGTACTCAAGAGCATGTCTGAGGGTAAGAACACACATCCACACACACACACACACACACACACACACATGCTTCCATTTCTATAACCGTAAGGAGACAGGAGGAGGACTACAGAAATATTTTCACACAATCTTAAGATTTTTTAGCAAATCAACACTGAAAGATCACTGGCTTTACCAGAGTTTTCTTTAAGCCTTTATCTTACTGAAAAATGTTTCTGGCTATTTTTTTTTATTATTTCTACTTTAACTGTGCAGTATTGTACAGAAGTCAGAGAACATCTCTATTTATTTAACCTCCAGTCAAAACATCCATTAAGTACACATCTACAAAGTTATTCATTTTTCAGCATCAGGAAAAAAGCAGGAAATTTAACATATTTTGCCTTTTTTACTGCAGGGAAATTCAGTCTTAGAAGTTGGTTGTATTTTCTGCTTCTCATGATCCAAGTAATCCCAAACACATTTAGTGATGTTGATATCTGGACTGTGGATTGGTCAGTCCATTGTCCTGAGCACACCAGCAGCTTCTTAGTGTGTTTTTCCTTTTTTTGTCTGTTTGCTTTTCTCAGTAACTGCTTCTTGACAGCTACACATCCTTTCAGACTCACAGTGGAAGGATGGAGAGAAACACCTGTAGTTTTTTTTCAAATCTAAGTGGAGCTTAATTTTCTCCTCTCTTATAGAGATGAAAACTCTAAGTACTACCAGGCCTTGCTTGGTTGTCAGGAGTCCTATTTTCTCTGTGTCTTTTACTTTTTCTATCTTTTCTTCTAATTACCTTTTTTTTAACTAACATCTTGTTTTTTTCCACTTATTTCCCTTTAACTTTCTCTTTCCTCATGCAAGTGGATTATTTTCCTTCTAATCTCCTCAGAAATATCTCCTGAAAAATGAATTTTTGCTGGAAATGAACTAAATAGAGGCTGATCTTTGACTTTTGTACAGTAATGCTGTATACTTGTGAGAACATTAACCACTCAGACTACATGCTATATTCCAAATCTATAACTGTCTGTAGTCTTCAGAGATAAATATATTAGTCTGTTTTTTCCTCCCAGATGCTTTATTTACATACTGGAACAAAGCCTCTCCCTCTGAGCTGATGGACTTCTTCACTCTGATAGAGTAAGGACGCCCCGCTTTCAGAGCCACCCCAGTGTGGAATTATACCAGAGCTGTAATATGCTTTTTAATGTGAGCTCTACTTCATCTCTTTTCTCTTTTTTGTCCTTCAGAGTGTGTGTCCATCAGTTTAGGTATATGGGGAAGAGGTTTATTGCCAGGTAAGAAAGCTTTTCATCACAGCTTGTACTTTTTAAATATACATTATGTACATTTAGTCCATATAAACTACTGCCTTCTACACACATGCACACAGACAGTCATGCAGAGGGCATCCCCTGCTGTAATACTTTGCTCTGAATGATCCTGTCCCTCTTTATGTGGTTATGTGTTCTTGGCTGAAACGCTGGCGAGAGCGCAGTTAGTCAGTTCTAGCATCCTGGCCTCCGTGCGCGGGGTAAGAGCTGTGTGCTGACAAGTGGCTGAACACTAACAGCTTGCTGACTCACCGTAAACTAACTGTTTTACGACTCAGCAGCAGATGCTGGGCGTGTTTGAGTGTGTGTGGGGGAGTGTGCTCGTGTCGTCGTGTGTTTGTGCCGTGAGCCGGGACAGTGCTTACTCACCTTTCCGTTATTTCGGGACAGAAAAAGCATGCACATCGCTAAGCATGAATTTGTGTTGGCTTTCAGCAATGGCTTTGACTCACCAAGCATGATCAGCTTTTCCATATTCTTTCATTGTTTTTGCCAAAACTACCACACTGAGACCTGAAATGCTTGCTGTTGTGGATTTGGTGGCTGTCCTCATACTGTAAATGACTAAGCTTGTGCCTCTGTGCAAGATTGCTTGTCATTTTCTTGATGATTCACTGACACCCATTTCACTGTTTTGCTCCACACATATTGTTTTTGGCAGCATATCCATTAAAATCATCCCTTTGGTCCATATGTAGCACGTGAGTAATAGAGCCTGACCGATGTATCATTTGGCTGATGATATCGGCTGATTTCGAAGACCCATGTTTTCCGGTATCGGCAAAACTTTTGCAGATAATGCACTGATAATTAGTCACCTCGTTCAAACTCCATGATAACGGTGATATCCCGATGATAAGGTGAAACCTTATACAGTTGTGCCACCAGGGAGCCCAGTATGAGGGACTTTCTTGCTATATAACAGGAATATGGGCATAACTCTTAAATGTAAACACAGAATATCGTCAAAGCTAAAATAATAACATATAAAATACATCCAAACCCAATGGGCCTCATTCACCAACCGTTCCTAAGAAGAAATTTCCTTATAAAGCTCACTTACACAGTTTTTATGAAGATTCTGACATTCACCAAAGTTTTCTTATTTAGGATTAGTTCTTAGGTAAGAACAGAATCTACACACACTCAAAAGGACCAAGATGTGAACAGTTCTGTGGTTTAAGAACACGTCATGAATCTGACGTAGACTTTTTCTTAGGATCTTTCTCAAGAACAAAATGAAGAAAAACTTAGAAAGATATTAGTGATTTAGGTCCCTTTGGCCTCATACAACAACTGTTCTTAAGAAGAAATTTCTTCTTATGTTCCACTAACATAGTTTTTACAAAGATTCTGACATTCACCACTGTTTTTCATGAGGGATTTGTTCTTAGGTAGACTATCAACGTAGACTATTTCTTAGAACCTTTCTCAAGAACAAATTTAGAATATATTGGTGAATGAGGCCTAATGTTAGCATGAGGATAACAGTAGATAACACGAAACACCTTTCTATGAAGAGAACTAGGGTCAGGGTTACACCTGCAAAGAAGTCTGTGTAGCCCTTTTCCCAGTGATACAATATTTATATGTCACTCACTCATAACTTATCGAATAAAAATCAGCCAATATGATCATTTTTTTTAAATTATACATTTTTTTTGCCCCTTAAAATTGCTGTCATTCACAAAATGTTCATATTGAGCAGACGCTAGTAAGTAATGCCTAATAAAAAAAAACAAAAAAAAGTTTATTGCGTTATGATCATACGTTGTAGTGCTGGACCAGTATTGGCTGACAATGAGGTCTAACAGATCTATCAGCATCTGCGACAATTCCACCAATAAAGCACCAATTTCCACTCATTAGTTTTAGAGTATTTATTGGCTCTATGCTTGTTTGTCAGTCTTTGTAGAGTCTGCTGAATTATTAGCTCTCTGCTGTAACGTTTAACATGGGGATAGCAACTGTACTGCTTAGTATTCTGGGTGTGTCAGCTGTGGCACTACAAAATGTACTCTAGGCCTTTGTTAGTTTATGCTGTTTATTTGCATTTAAGAGATAAGATGACTGAGAACTTCGAATCATATTTGTTTATTCACAGTCAGTAAAACTAAAACCATTTGGAGTCTCTTTTTGACAGTGTTAAATTATGTCGGCCGATATTATCTATTTTTGGAATTTGTAGCTCCTCAAAATTGGTATCTTTCACAGATTGTTCATATTGGTCAGGCTCTATCAGGTAGTGCTATCACAGTGTACTGTGCAAGACATCATGAGCAAGTAGTGAATGATAAACATGTGATTTAATCTTTTAATGAACTTGAATGACATTCAACTAAACTACTCACAAGGCTCTGTTTATTCCCAGGAGTCAGGAAGCGATTGGATTTCTGGTTCCAGACAGGAAGTCGTTAACTCTTCCTGTGTCTCGTAACAGAGCAAGCGTCCTACACACGCGTTTACACCAGCTCGGCAGCATGGAGAACGCACACACTTTTAACCACAGTAAGACAGTCCTGAAATACATCCACGTGTGAACAAACAGCAGTAGGAGTTCAGTCTCATTTCTCTTGTCGTTTTTTATGTCTGTAGAAGTTGCATGAAGATCTGGACCATGATGTGCTGCTATTTGTCGTGTCCCTGGACAGTAGCTCCCAGTAGCCAATAAAGGCAGTGTGCTTCACATTAGGGCTGCATGATGTGGACATTAAATGTGATGTTTGATAAAGCTGTTGGATCAGAAAGATGATGTTAGAAGCATTATTATTAAAGTAGTGTCTGAGTGGATGTGCTATACTAAATTTATTTGTTTATTTATTTTTTTGCTGTTTAAATAAACATCTAAGTAACCCCGCCCATAAGCAAGTAAAAAACGTCATCACAAAATCACCATTTTTTGCTTCTCTATTTACAATGTTTATATTGCTAATTTGCAAAGGACAGAGTAGATTTTTTATCTTTAGTAGTATATATATATATATATATATATATCGCTTTTGTCAGGAGAAAACCTCGTATCTCCAAAATGATAACTTTACAGGAGAAGTAAAAATCCTACTTCACTTTTAATGTAAGTCAATGGAGCCAGTCATTTTGGGCTGTTTGTATTGGTCCATTCCTCATAAAATTGACACACAATGTAAAAGGTTACAGGTATTTTTAAATTATGTCAAAAACTGAAAAATGAAAAAATAGAGATACGATGTATATATGTTGTCTCTATAGTAATAAGTAACAAACTGTAACCGTGTTACAGTTAATTGCTTGTTAATTCTCTTCTTGTTACTCTTTTCTTGAGAGTCTTGCTCTCCCTTTGCTGTAGCACCGTGAGTTTCCCTGTTGTGGGACTAATGAAGAATTATCTTCACTGTTGTGCAAAATAAAATTAATGAAATACTAATTGCTGCTTTCATCAGAATTTCAGGCACATTTTTATGTGCTGTAAGGCTGAACAAGAACACAGTGTCACTGATGTGAAGCTCTTATGAAACATCAAAAACTCATTGACTGCTAACAGCACCCCCTTGTGGAAAATTTGTAGCCTGCGAAATGTGAATGGGTTTGTGAGGCGCTTCAGTCAAAAAACAGTCAGAATTCTCTGAACAGCTCTTTCTATTTGTGTTTGCCCTCAGACTACAAACATAAATAAACATGTACATTTTTATTCTCACTATAGGCCAACAAAACAAATTAATACGTGTGTAACTGCTTCACATATTTTACTTCGCAGTCTGTGCATTTTACACACAACACAAGTTGGTGTCTTGTTGATTAAGTCACTTGTTCTCCATGCGAGGGTGTTCAAATGCAGTGCAGGAACCCTCCGACACCACGTCCTCCCAGTCTAATTATGTCAGTTTGGTGCTGTGTGTGTGAGATAATTTTAGCTGTTCTGTCATCGCAGCCTTTAATGGTGTGTTTATCGTGGGAATTCATATCTCAGTACTGATAAAAATGTGATTTATCGTGCAGCCCTAGATAAGTCTAGTTTACACTTGTGCTCAAATATAAAGATATAGATGTATGCATTATGCATGGCCCCGAATCCAGAGGTGACAAGCTTTGACAATCATTCAAGTCACTCTGTACATGTGTGTGTTTCCAGTTTCAAAAAGATTTCAAATATTCTGGGGATCTGGGTAGATTATGGTAAGCTTTGTAGCAATGCATACCCTTTTTTCCATTACATGTTCAGTATTCACCCACTTTTAAGTTAAGCCTTTAAATCTAAGCTGAAGCTGTTGGCTTAAACTAAACCTAAAATGGTTCCTGCCAAGCTTAAAGAGCAATGCTGGATTGGAAAAGCTTACTTGTCAGTCTCAAAGCATTCTGCCTTTTCTTCCTCCCAGCGTACGGCCATGGCGATGCTGAAACGTGTCTGTTAGAGGGCAACATTTCCACTGAAGTCTGTCTGACTGTGCTGGACACCCTCAGTATCTTCATCATGGGCTTTAAGGTACAGATATGCATACACTGCTCTGAGTAAAGGTGCAGTCTCCATCAGGCAAGTTTAAATTTGATTCTGTTTACACTTCAGTCCAAACTCGGTGATCAGATCACCAGTTGTCCTTTTTAGATGTATCTTCTGTATCTAATTTTTACTTGCATAGTGTTTACATTTTTAAAAAATGTAGCCTATTAAACATTTTGCAGTTGTGATGCTGAGCAGTCCAGGCATTTTAAGCTACAGCGAAAGAACAGGCAGCACCTTATGTACATTTTGCTTATTAGCCACAACTTAGCAGAGTTGTAAGTAATGTATGGGCTGGAATTACAGCCAAGAGTGGTGATTGAACTGTGTATTTCCTTTCATTGGCATCTTAAAGTAGCCTGTTTAACAAGAAAGTTTTTATGTACCAGAAACAACCCTAATTCATTCTTACATGACCATTTTCCAACTTCTCTTCTAAACAGGCTGTTTTTGTTACTGTGCCTTTAAGACTGATGTGTAAATAATCTATGTTCAGATTGGTCACAGTCCAAGCTAAAAAATACTTACTAGTATGACGGTATTTATCATTATCATGATGAATTATGGCACAAAATGTCACAATATGCTTTTCTGAGCATATGGCGGATATCATGAACACTGACCAACTGCATGTTTCATTTCAAGAAGAGCATCATTAGATCCGTTTAATTGGATGTAGTGCAGCGCAGGATGTGAAATGTTGAATGTTCATAGTTTTTGACAGTGTTTGTTTACATACATATTGCGTATTGTGCAAAGTTTTTTAAGTATTATGCTATTATATTTTTGCCATATTACCCAGCTCTACCAATGCCTTATAACTTTGAATGGGCAGGGATAAACTGCTGTATACTATAGGTGGATATATGTAAATGTGTTCATGACATCACGAGAACAATGAATTCTAGAGGGGCTGTGGATTTTACACGCTGTGAGTGAAGGGCACATTTTGAAACGTAGACATTGTTTGCATGCTACACCAGTCTTGTTGAAGAAAATTCAGTTTTCCATTATATGGGCCTTTTGAAGCTACGCTTTCACACTCTACTAGTCTCTTTAAAACCTGCATGAGTTGAAGGAGCACCCACACTGTGCTAGTTATGGATACGGTTTCATTTATATGTCTACACAGTACTTTTAAATGTAGGCATAGTCTTGTATATGCTTTTAGATGGTATTGGGATAGTCTCATTTATACTTCTACTCAGTCATTTTTAATGTAAGCGCATTCCAGGTTTTTGTATCAGTGAACATATGAACAATGAACACTAGTCTCCACTCTTCTGAAACATCTCCTTGTAGACTCAGCTGTGTGCTGATTTGGGCCACAATCCACTGATGAAGAAAGTGTTCCAGGTGCACCTGTGTTTCCTGCAGATCCCACAGTCAGAAACAGCACTAAAGCACGTCTTCACTTCACTGCGCACCTTCATATACAAGGTAACAACACTCCTAGTTAGCTGTAGAATCACGATATTATCTGACTTTGTTGTTATTTTTTTATTATTATAAGTTTTTTGATCTGACCTGTTCACATACTAAAAAGATACTAAAATCTGATACTAGAGATACTAAAATCTGGCCAGTGCAGTTACTGGACATTTCCAGGCACTGAATAATACTGTTGAAAGACTCGTCTTCCTTCTTTATAATACGGATGTCACACAAATTAACTCTTTAAAATCCCAGGTTTACTACATACAAAGGCTTATTACTCAGTAACTACAGGGACTTCAGTGCAAACTGGTTGAGCTATTCTTAGGTTATAGAAGTGTGTAATAGAAGTGTGTAATAAAACTTTGGGCCTGCCTGTGGGCCCTGGCCATGTAAGAGTTAATGAAAGTATCTGAGCTGTTGCTGGTCCTACTTTTTTACTATTATATCAGTTTTATATCTGTTGTGTCACTTTAAAGTCTTTCCCTCTCTCTCCTAGTTCCCATGTACGTTTTTCGACGGCCGGGCTGATATGTGCGCCTGCCTGTGTTATGAGATCCTGAAGTGCTGTAATTCTAAACTGAGCTCCATCCGCAGCGACGCAGCCCACCTGCTCTACTTCCTCATGAAGAGTAACTTCGACTACACCGGCAGGAGGTCCTTCGTCCGCTCTCACCTTCAGGCAAGAGTCAGAAAGAGAAACTAACAGAGAGGGAGGGACAGATAAAGAGGAAGAATGATCATTGAAGACTAAGTTAACCCTTGAACCCCAGTATTATTATTATTATTATTATTATTATTATTATTATTATTCAGGTATTAATTTTAGGCTTATTAAGGCTTATTATTATTCAGTAACATTTATCATTTTAACAGATCTCCCCCTCAGCATCTGTTATGAGTGTATGAGTGTGAGGAACTGAAGTGTGGGCCCACATACAGGCCTGAGAGTTTGAGGAGTTAAAAGTCTGAAACTGATTTTAGGCCTTTACCGTTATTTACATGTCAGTTAAAATAGAATGACTATAGACTTTTGCTAAGGTGTAAATGATTAACATCATACAGAGCCTTTATCTTTTTTCCTTCAGGTGGTGATAGCAGTTAGTCAGCTGATAGCTGATGTCATTGGGATTGGGGGGACACGGTTCCAGCAGTCTCTGTCCATCATCAACAACTGTGCCAACAGTGACAAGACTGTGAAGGTAACGCAGAGACAACCTGAAGGGTTCCAGTCATTATGACCTCTAGTTCATTTTCTCTGAGGTGGTTTGACTGTTATCATGTACAGGCAACTTTATCTGCAGTTTAAAAATGATTTTTCTAAATCCGTGCATGATGAAATAGTTAAGATGAACAGCAGAGTCATTCAGAGTGGTTTGCTGTGAAATGCTCTGTTCTGGAGAAACTAACAGTCAGAATTGTTCACAGTGGTGGTGATAGGAACCAGACGTCTGAAGTGTTTACTGCCTCTGAAAGCTCCGTCACAGAAAGTTATTTCATAAAATTGTTATGAATACATGGCCCTGATGCCTGAGACAGTGTTTTTCTGTTGTTTTCAGATAAAGTTTTGCCCCAGAACATATTTTTAAATGTATGCAGGGCCTTCCAAGGGAAAATAGTACCCAAAGAAAAAAAGCTCTTCCTCTCATCTCTCTCTCTCTCTCTCTCTCTCTGCCCCCTCTGTCTCTCTCTCTCTCTCTCCCTCTCTGCCCCCTCTCTCTGTTTCTCTCTCCCTCCCTCTCTGTCTATCTTTCTCTCTCTCTCTGTCTCTCTGTCCCCCCTCTCTCTGTCTCTGTCTCTCTGTCCCCCCTCTTTCTCTGTCTTTCTCTCTGTCTCTTTGTCTGTATGTCTCTCTCTCTCTCTCTGTCTCCCCCCCTCTCTCTCTCTCTCTGTCTCTTTGTCTCCCCCTCTCTCTCTGTCTCTCTTTCTGTCTCTCTCTCTCTATCTCTCTCTCTGTCTCTCTTTCTGTCTCTCTCTCCCTCTATCTCTCTCTCTGTCTCTGTCTCCCCCTCTCTCTGTCTCCCCCTCTCTCTCTCCCTCCCTCCCTCCCTCCCTAACTCTCTCTGTCTTTCTGTCTGTCTGACTCTCTTTCTCTCTCTCTGTCTGTCTCTCTCTCACTCTCTCTGTCTTTTTCTCTGTCTGTTGCTCTCTCCCTCTTCCTGTCTCCCTCTCTCTCTGTCTCTCCCTCCCCCTCTCGCTCTCTGTCTCTCTCTCCCTCCCTCTCTCTCTGTCTTTCTCTCTGTCTGTCTCTCTATTTTACTTTCTCTCTCTCTCTGTCTCTCTTTCTCTCTCTCTCTCTCACTCATTCATTCCTTCTCACTCACTCACTCACTCACTCACTCACTCACTCTCTCCATGTGTGGATTGCATTTCATTTTGAATTAGATTTATTATACTGCAGGGATCTCAGTTAGACTTGTTTGCTGTGGTGGTTTAACAACACTGGCTTAATAAAGATGTGTTAAATCTCTCTCTCTTCTCCCCCCCCCCACCCCCCTTCAGCACACTGCATTCCCCTCAGATGTGAAGGATTTGACAAAGAGGATCAGGACAGTGCTGATGGCCACAGAGCAGATGAAGGAGCATGAGAAGGACCCTGAGATGCTGGTTGATCTGCAGTACAGCCTGGCCAAGTCCTACACCAGCACACCGGAGCTGCGCAAGACCTGGCTGGACAGCATGGCCAAAATCCATGTGAAGAATGGAGACCTGTCAGAGGTCAGATATACAACAGTCACACACACTGAGTGCTCATGATCAACATTCTAAGATTTCAGTGTGTTACATTGATATACGTTGATAAATATTGATAAATGTATTGATGGATGCGCAGATCGATGGATGAATGTGCTTAAGAATGACAGAGAGGTGTATTAGACTGATAGGCTTATGGTCTGACAGTAGACCCTGAAATATTTCAAAAATATTTTTAATCTGGCTTGATGAAGTGATGTAAGCTCTTGTGTTGCTAGCAGTAAGGTCTACTGAGGCCCACAGAACTATAATAAAACCAGCAGCTTGACCAGACTAAAAAGATTCATTTTGGATCAGTCTCTTCGTTTTTATACTTATATGTCATCAAATTATATTTTGTTATCACTAGAAATGTCAAGTTTGAGTTCAAACAGAATTGTGTTCAGCTGCAGGCCTGATTAAGGCTAACAAGGAGACAAGTAAAACATTATATTCAGTTTTATAAATTTACTGTTTCCTATGCAGGCAGCAATGTGCTATGTCCATGTGGCAGCCCTGGTGGCAGAATACCTAAAGAGAAAAGGTGAGACCAGAGGACCACAGGAGGGCGCTGTGGTACATACACACACATGCATATGGACAAACTTTCATGTGCTACACAAACAGAGTGTCAATACACACACTGCTTTTCTCCAATTTGAATTTCACCTAATTTGATTTTTTTAATTGCTGTACGTGCTGATAATTTATTAATATTTTAAGAGAAGTACAGTACTGTGCAAAAGTAAGAGACAATTCCCCCTTCATTTATTTAATTTCCTGTCAAAACAGCCATTAAGATCACTACAAGTTACCTGGGAGGAGGTTACATATAAGATAATACACTTGCATAAGGAAGAAGAAAGTTAAAAGAAAATAAGTTAAAAAAAACAGCAGTTTTCAAAACTTATTGGAATTTACAAAATTATTAAAACTGTATTAAAACAGTACTTTAAGCTTTCATCTTTAAGAGAAAATCAAGCTGCACTTTGCTTCAGATCTGAAAATATCAGGTGTTTCTGTCCATCCTTCCACTGTGAGAAGACAACTCAGCACTATGTGTCTGGAAGGATGTGTAGCTGTCAAGAGGCTCTTACTGAGAAAAGACAATAGACAAAAACAAAGAAAACTTGCAAATCAAACAACTAATAATTTTATTTGCTATCCAAAACTACCAGTGAACCTACACATGTCTTCTGAGTTCTGATATGTAGTGTTAATGGTAAAATTGTGATACCTCTGAAAAAGTTTCCTTTGGGGACTATTTTGCCCTACAATGCCCTACCTGTACCTCTCTGCCCCGAATGGATTTAAAAAAATATACATTTTAGGCCAAGTTTTTTTATGTAAAAACTTTCTGTGAGGGAGCTTTTGGAGGCATTACACACTTTAGTCGTCTGGTTCCTATCACCACCACTGTGAACGGCTCTGACTCTGTAGGTTTCTCCAGAATGGAGAATTTTGCATCAAACCACTCGGAATAACTTTGAAATATTAAAAATGTAATAATGCAGGAAACTTTCAGAAATTAATGGAATTCCCCTTTAAGTACTCAGTAACGTTAGGAACAGCATTGAAAAGTCTTAGTACATCCAGCTTGAATCAGCACAGGAACTGAAAGTTGTTTGACTCGATTGTCTTTCTGATGCACTATTGGTCTAAAACAAAATTAATAAACCTCAGTCAGATGTGTTACCAATCACAAAGCTGTACAGATGCTGTCAACAAGGTAGCATAGTGAAGATAAACACAAAGAGGAATCAGTAACTAAATGTTAGTGGCGAAAATGTAACTGTGCATGAAGTAGATTCCTTTTCTCACAAACAGGAGTGGAAGTAAAAATATTATGAATTAAAAAAATGTAGGAAAGCACAAATCCATCAAAACTAATGTAGTTGGTTTCTGCTTCTGGGAATGGAACAGGTTGCGACACCTGTACACATTCTCTCTCTCTCTCTCACACACACACACACACACATATAAACATATGCTTAGACGTGCCCATAAATGTGTACAAGGGTCGTTTCCATACAGCAATGTGGAATTAAGTGAATTCCTCTGATAAGGCCTCTGACTTAAACATGTGCGTGTTATGCAATATATGAACAGTTTACAGCTGGGGTGTTAAATAACATCAGGATAATGACTCGAGTCATGTGCCGGTTCTTTTTAAGTCATTTAATGTCTTTGTGTGTACGTATGCAGTCATTTGGAGAAAAACGGCATGACTGAAAGTGTTTATATTTACTTACTGCATCAAATTATAGACTAATCAAAAAGTGCTGGTGTTAATAATATGTATACAGAATGTAGGATTTAGGATTTAGGAACAAGCATGGCTTACTGACCAACTGACTACTCAGGTGTTGAAATTTGATAATGAATAAGTGCAAGTTTTGATACTCTTTGTCGAGGTATTAAAGTAACTTGGTTGCTACCATGTATTTTTAATACTGAAAGGAAAGACGTGACTCCAAGACGCAGCTGTTTTGAGTGCCAGAGCCTTCAGCAAAAAACGACTGTACAAACTGCCCATTTTACTTAAGAGTCAAATGAAATATAATATACATAACGTACATTTCAGTGTTTTGGCATCACTATTGTGGTTCATTAATCTTATAAACAGCAAAATGAAATTCACTTTACGTAAGTGTATCAGTACAGTGCCAGAAGGATTCATAAAAGGCTCATTCTACAGAAACGTCCACTTTTTTATCTCTCCATAGGAGTCACTGGTGTTACACATAATAAAGGAACACCAGAGACATTTTTAATGAAAAATGCATTTTACAAAATGGCTGCTACAGAGCATCAAACCACATGTTGTCAATCATGGAATATTCACTAAAATATATAATTTAATCCATTTATATTCTATTTTTTCACAATTACCTCAGAATAAAGTCGGTCACACCAGTGACTTCAGCTACAAGCTTCATATGAAATCATGAGCTAAATGAGAAAATCTCTGATAACTGAAAGACACAGTGGACTCACCATGTGCTTTTCTTTATAGATCCTCAGAAAACAGGTAAAAGGAAGTCAAGTGATGTCATCAGTATGATTTTTATTTCAAAATAAGAGATTTTTTGCAGTAACACCAGCGACACGACTCCTGGGGTCCACAACTTTGATTGTATATTTTATAATATTTACTTGTCATTTGTTTTCTTTATGTCATTTAAATCATATATTTCATAGTCATGTATAGATTATTGCTGTTAAAATTGCAGAAAAGCATGTTTTTTACCTCAAAATATGGCCTCAGCCTTCACACATGACTGTGAGGACGAGCTCTTCTGTGGTGCTTGGAATTCTATATGATTGATTTAAAAACCAATACTGATAAATTGAGGCTCAAGAAGCTGTAATTGTTAAAATAGCTTATTGTTTTATTTCAAATTATAAATGAATTGTAACCCTAACATGCTTTTCAAGTGTAATATATCGGTAAACGCTAGGGACACAAAAAGGGACGTTTCCATAGAATGACGCAAACGTTTTATAAGCATTAATAGGAACCTCATTTTACTTAAAGGCCAGAGAAAATATACATACCTCTGTCATAACATCAGTATCAGTATTAAAATTTTCACAGTATAATTAGAGTGTCATGATATTCTTTGCCTTTTTTATTATTTAACGCTTGTGATTGCTTTGTGAAGTTTGATCCAAATCTCAGTCTCATCAAAGTAATGACTGATTGAACATCACTGCTCCATCACAGGAATGTTCCGTCAGGGCTGCTCGGCGTTCCGTGTCATCACTCCCAACATCGACGAGGAGGCGGCCATGATGGAGGACGTGGGCATGCAGGACGTGCACTTCAATGAGGTTAGCCCCGCCCGTGAACCCCACAGCCGCAGACTTGAACCACTGCCACTCACGATTAATCTCTTAATCGGCCTCATATTGACCCCAACGAAATGTAATAATTAGAATCTCATTATAGGAAATGTTCCATGAGGGCGCTTATCTTATCACAGTGAGTGTCAGTGGCTCTGAACCATGTGCGTCAGTGATGAAGAAGAGCAAAGGCAGGAGTTTGTAGTTGTACTCTGTGTAGATAATGTAACAGGTAGCCTTGAGGTTTATCTTATCTTGGTAATAAATTAGCCCACCCATTTTTATTTCTTTTAAAAAGTAATAGAATCATAATTATATTGCACAATTTAATAATGTATAAATCATTTATTATTATAAAGATAAAAAAAAACCTAGCAATTATAATTTTTAACATATGCTCCTATGGGAGAAATGCATTGCCAGTTTTTTAAACTCCATCTGCCACTTTCTGCTCATCAGATGTCTAATGACCTGTACTGTATGTCACATGATCCACAGTTATTAGCCCCCATTTAGCCTCTGGCATATGGATGAGCTCAGTTACCACAACCAGCTCACTGGGCTCACTTATTGAGCTGTGCGGCTGGAGAAAAAGCTTTGGAGAAGCTGCCATTAACACTGTGCACTTAATCAACTGGATGTGGAAGCAGCCTGGATACAGAACAGTACTGTAATAGGCAGTACGAAGTTCTTCTGAATTTGTCCTTTTAACAAATATGTAAATACATAAATACAGTGTCCACAGTTATTATTTCAAATGTTGGTGATTATGTATATATTTTGCTAATGGATTGCTGATTTGGATGATGATAATAATGGAACTTTTGTTTAGAGGTGGGTGATATGGCAAAAAAAGAATATCACGGGACTTCACAATACATGATATCGCTGATGTCGGAGCAAAACCTTGTATCTCCATTTTTGTCGTTTTTCAGTTTTTGACATAATTTGAAAATGCCTGTTACTCTTTACATTGTGTGTAAATTTCATGAAGAATGGGCCAAAAGAAACAGCCCAAAATGACTTGGAAAAAAGTCTGGTTACAATGACTTACATTAAAAATTTAAAATAAAATATGATTTTTCCTTCTTCTGTAGAGTTACCATTTTGTAGATACAAGGTTTAGTTCCGACAACAGTGACATGCATCACATTATTTTGTTTTTCTGAAGTTTGATAAGTTGCAACAGATGACCCCTGACTGTGTAAACATGTAAACTTCAGAGTGGTGTTCATGTCTTACACTATTAGAATATGTGGCACAAGCAAAATACTTTATCTATTATTAAAAATAGACCAAATCCTTCTTTTAAAAGGTGCCATTATTGTTGGCATCAAATGGTTGCTCTCTCTTGCTTACTGGGTGAGGAACTGAAATAAATACCTAATTTAACTTTGATATATCATTCCACCTTTAGCTAGAGTGTGACATTACACAAGAGAAAAACCTTTTAAATTGTCTTCCTTCTATTAGGGCTGAGTCCAGAGTAACCATATGACAGCATCATAGTGCAACAATGGTAGCCTACTAATAGAGAGATTTTGCTGGGTTATGTTTATAGTACAGCGTGATTCAAAAAGATTCATCCAATTTCAAAGCGCCATATTTTTCCAACCATGAGGCTCCTAGGAACCAATCACATATCAATTGAAAGAGGGGGTCATAGAGTTTCTGACCGTCACCGGAAGATGGCTCCTTTCAGTCTGCGAGGAGATGAGACCCCTAAGCAGAAAGCGTTCTGCGTTCTCCACTTCAATAAGAGTGAATCCGTCATAACTGTGCAGCGTGATTTTTGTGGGCAGTGAACCTCCAGCAGTTTAGAGTGTTCGTCATTGGTTCCACAACACTGGATGATCTCCGAAATCACACTGAAAGAGCCGTGAGTGCAGCGACACCCGACATGCTCAATCCAGTACAGGATGAATTTGACTATGGCGTTGATGTTGTCCGTACAGCTGGAGGAGGTTCATACTGAGACCTTGTAAAATTACATAATAAACTTTATGCTCATTTAAACCATTTACAGTTTAGCATTGTTCTGTAATGATACAAGTGAAATAAATCATTTTAAAATCGGATTAATCTTTTTGAATCACCCTGTATAATAAACAGTGCTAATTACTTCTCTTTTATTCAAAAATGCAGTTGTTCTGTGTTATTTAAACACTGATGATATCACTGTTATGTTCAGGAGTGATGTCATTTACCATGATTATTATATATTGTCATATTGCCCACCCCTGTTTCTGCTGTTTTGTTGTGTAACTGACATGTGTTGTGTTTTTAGGAGGTATTGATGGAGTTGTTAGAGGAGTGTGCTGATGGTTTATGGAAGGCTGAACGTTACGAGCTCATCTCTGACATCTACAGACTCATTATCCCCATCTACGAACAGCGCAGGGACTTTGAGGTACACATCCATTCATGGCTTTCTTTTTTTATTTATTGTGTTTTTTAAAGGGGAGACATTCGAAAGCATACAATGACAACACACAATTCCATGCATGTGTTAATGTCCAATTATATATCCTTTCATACATCTTGTAACCCATACCTCTCCCTCTTTAAAAAAAAAAAAACAAATAACTATAGACATTAAACTTGAGATGATGCCTGGAGGTAAAAAATAAATAAAAAGAAAAAATAGAATAAATGAATAAATAAATGTCAGGAAAAAAAGGGGGAGTACTCACTCACATTCTATCTCTACAAACTCTGGACTTCATATAGACCTATTGTAACCATAATTTTACAAATTTTGTCATCTTCAGACTAATAAAAAAGTAATTTTTTCCATTACATATATTTCATTGACCAGGTTTATCCAGTCATCCAGTGTGGGATGGGGGTTCAGGAGACAGCCACTTCATTGTTACAGCTTTTTCTACTTGCAATTAATAGAATGTCCCATAAATATTTGTTCGATCTTTTAACATTGTTCATGGTTTTCTAATGTAATGTCTCATATTTATCTTTCCCGTGTGTAGAAACTGGCTCACTTGTATGACACGTTACATCGGGCCTACACTAAAGTCATGGAGGTGATGCACTCTGGGAAACGGCTGCTGGGCACATTCTTCAGAGTGGCCTTTTTTGGTCAGGTACGGCATTTCAGAGTCTCAAACATAGGTTTAAGTGACTGTGTTTATTAGGCAACACAAATTGATGACAGTCATTTCCAAAAAAAAAACGTTATACATTATTAACCAAGGTTAATTACTATAATAAAATGCATTGTCCTAACTAGCCTGAATAGTTAGGGTCCTGTGTCTTGCATGTTGGTTGCTGAAAACTTGTGTGTGGAGTAAAATGTGTCTAAGGCTACAATTAGACTGCAGGTAAAAGGTTTTTTTTGGCTGTTTGGTTGGTTGTTCACATTGTCTTTGTATTGTGACTTATATCTGACATCAATCTGAACAGATCACACTCCCGAACTGACCCGTATACGCAAAAGAACCGGTCCGCCCAGCACACTCATCTAACAAACACAGCTTTCCTCTGTCTTTCCTCAAGATTCAAGGACTTTTTCATGTGACATCAAAATGAGCTTCACAAGCCTCTACTTTAAACTTTAAACTCAAAGGACAAACAGCAGACACTAAAACAGAGACTAAAAATAGTTCATTTCTGTGCATTGTTGTACATTTTCATGTACCTTTTATGAAAAATAAAGCTAAAAAAGGGACGAAAACTCCAAAGCCCCAAAGCGGTGATACATACACCGATCAGGCAGAACCACCTCCTTGTTTCTACGCTCACTGTCCATTTTATCAGCTCCACTTACTATATAGGTGCACTTTGTAGTTCTACAGTTACAGACTGTAGTCCATCTGTTTCTCTGCATACTTTGTTAGCCCCCTTTTACCCTGTTGTTCAGTGGTCAGGACCCCCATGGACCCTCACAGAGCAGGTACTATTTGGGTGGTGGATCATTCTCAGCACTGCAGTAACACTGACGTGGTGGTGGTGTGTTAGTGTGTGTTGTGCTGGTACGAGTGGTTTAGACACAGCAGTGCTGCTGGAGTTTTTAAACACTATGTCCACTCACTGTCCACTCTATTAGACACTCCTACCTTGTCAGTCCACCTTGTAGATGTAAAGTCAGAGACGATAGCTCATCTGCTGCACAGATTGTGTTGGTCCTCCTCTAGTCCTTCATCGGTGGTCACAGGACGCTGTTGGATGGATATTTTTGATTGGTGGACTATTCTCAGTCCAGCAGTGACACTGAGGTGTTTAAAAACTCCAGCAGCACTGCTGTGTCTGATCCACTCGTACCAGCACAACACACTAACACACCACCACCACGTCAGTGTCACTGCAGTGCTGAGAATGATCCACCACCCAAATAGTGTTTTTTTTCTAAAATATCCTTGAAGTAAACATGATTTTGAACAACTGTTTGCAGTTTGATTTCTCTCATTACACAGTGCTGTGCTTATTTGTTCCATCCACCTGCGCTTGTCTTGCTCTTCTTCCACAACAAAGTAATGTGTATCCATAGTAACAGGCATTTTGATGATGTTGCCATAAACAGTCTGTTCTCACACATTCAGCTTTATGATGAAGATGGTTGTATTGACGTAGAAGTCACATGAATTCCAACCATAGATATATAAAGAGAACTAGATAATGATGATACCACAAAATACACTGCTAAGTGAAGCCACTTAGGTGCCATAATGGTACTCTCTCTCTCTGTGCTGAAAAAAATGAACGTCTATGGAGATTAAAAAAAATGGATATAGAACAAAAAAATGTGGAGAGGCACTGCATTTTCTTGCAACATTATCCAATTTATGTGCTGTTGCTGTGGACAGTTCATGTGTAAGTATCTGTAGAAACGTTTTACTTTATGACTAATATAACCTAATCTAGGCTATCTGATCTATTATTTCATAAGAAGGGGCATAGCTATTAAAATATGACAAAACTCATCTTAGTAGTCTTATAGCTTACATTAGGTATCTGTAGTATCTTGAAATGTTTAAATAGCGTTTAGACAGATTGTGCAGCATAGATCTGCAGTGGTTGTATGAATATACGTACCTGCAGTCACAAACTGCATGAATATGTAAGTAAAATGTCTGAAACTATGCTAAACATAACCTGGTTACTAAGTAGAATGTGGATTAGTTTAACTAGCTCTTGACTGACCAGCTCAGCAGATAGCTCAGATAGCCAAGGCTCTGTCAATAAGAGTGGGAGATTTAAGTTGAGAGTAGGGATTTAGGTTGAAGTATTTTCTGAAGAATTCACTAAATACTGCAAAACAAAGAATATGTTACGTATACACCAACCGGCCACTTCATTAGGTTCAACCCCTTGTTTCTACACTTTTTGTCCATTTAATCAAGTCCACTTACTGTGTAAGTGCACTAAATCTTCAATTACAGACTGTAGTCCATCAGTTTATCTGCATACTTTGTTAGCCCCCTTTTACCCTGTTCTTCAAAGGTCAGGACCCCCACAGGACCACCACAGAGCAGGTATTATTTGGCCGGTGGATCATTCTCAGCACTGCAGTGACACTGATGTGTTGGTGGCGTGTTGGTGTGTGTTGCGCAGTTCGAGTGGGCCCCGCAGAGAAATTGTGCATTATTGTAGGGTTAAGAATTTAATAATAAGACTTTCCAATAGAAAAATGCACCATATTATGAATGCGTGAGTGTCATGCTCTGCAGGAAATAAAAAATGTAATTTTGATACATATCTTGATATACATATACATATCATGTCTAAAAATAAATGTGTTTTCTACACTTTTAGAAATAAAGGTGTCCAGGTACATTTTTCCTTCATCAGAGCACAAACAAAGTACCCTCAAAGGTACCACAGTGGTTTTAAGGTCCAGTTGTGAACCTTAAATAAGTTCTTCCTAGTAGAAAAGTTTGTATTTGTACATTTTCATTACCCGAATGTTTAAAACAGAACAATAAAATAAAAAGCCTGGAGACGAGACGGGGTGTGTGGAGTCAGTACAACTTAGAACATATCATTTCGATGGATTATGGTTCAGTTATGTTCCCTGGCTAAAGGTACTGAGATGTTCCTTTGAAGGTTTCACCCCGGGGACTGAGGGGTACTGTCCCAGTGACAGAGAGTGTACGGAGTGTGCATCACTGGGGTGGTGGCTTTAATATTAAGCACTGCTGCCATCCCAAATCGTAATTGTGAACGTCAGATTTTTTACGTTTTTTGCTGTTTACAAACCGTCACACACAAAAAAAAAACTAATCAGCATCACATACTAAGGACAGGATCAGATTTGGGCCACTTTTACCTGCAGTGTGAATGTAGCCTGAATGCTTTCCTCTGTGCTGTGCGGGTTTGGGTTAATCAGATCTTCTCTGCTCTCTCTTCTTCCCTAAGGCTGCGGTAAGTGGTGCTGCAAAATGTGTGTGTGTGTGTGTGTATGTGTGTGTGTGTGTGTGAACCTTATCTTACTAACTCATTTCCAACCCAGATTTTGCTCCTGAATCATTAGCAAACCTCAGCATGCTTCATTCCAAAGAGAGGATACCTTCTCTTTGTGCAAGCTCCATTCACTCATCGTCAAACGTCATATGATGCAAATTTAAAAAAATTGTTTCATCTGCTTCTTTTGCTCTCATTCGTCCTGTCGTCTCAGCTATCACTTAAAAATGGAAACTCTCTTCCTGATGGCCATCGTTAAAAAGCGCTAACACTTTAGTGAGCCCTTTAGCATGTACTTTGGCCATTAGGCTTTCGGAGCCAGTAATGGGTTTATGACCCATGGAACCACTCTGCTACTGTCAGATGATGGGAGAGAAGGTCTGTATTGTAAGGGTTGAGTGCCAGCTAAGTGCTCTTTTCACTCCCCAGTGTTAGTGCTTCTGAAAGCTTGCAATTATACATGCTTGCTGGCAGCTTTAGAAGTGGACACTAAAACACAACGAGGAAGCTCCAGGTCAAGGTAACCTAAAGCGCACATCAAGCCATAAATTGGTTGAATCAGATGTGTTTTTTTCCTGTAATACAAACATGAGAACATCTGTTGGGGAACCTTGGGTGCTGGAGTTGCTTTAAAGTATTCTAATTTCCATTTTGCTGTTCATTGGTTGATTGGTGGTTTTTCATCAGTTGACTTTTCCATGCGCCAGAAAACGTTCTTGGGTAGCAACTGTTGCTAGGTTGGACAAGCAAAACACAATGTTTGCAAAATTCCCTTCAACATAATAAGAAATTGCAGTGCACAGCCGCTGTAACATCTGAGCAGGCAAAGAGGCTAGAGGCATAAAAGAGTTGTTTTTATTTTGATCCAGGTCAGAAATAAAAAAGCAGGACTAAACAAAACAGGAGGATCCACAAGTCAAAACCTAAAGCAGGGTAAGATCAAAGCAAGGGAAAACCAAAGAAAAGAAACAAGCACTGAACAGTAAACAGGACCAGCTCTAGCCAACTGGGGGACCTAAGCAGGATTTTTTGGGGAGGGCCCCCTATCTTGCTAGTTGATGTACTGTAAAATGAAAGGCTAACTGATAACAATGACAACAAGCTATCTAAATTATAAAAATTAATAACTGGCCATTGTAAAACATGCTAACTGTGTCTGGGTTTTGTGAAGCCGAAACTTTGACTCAAAGCCTGTCCAAGTTGAATCTGCTTTTTTTGACAGACACCAGATCAACTTCCTGTTCAACTACAAGCCAAAACAATTGTCATAACATTAACACCACAGAAACACAAAGCATACGTTTATCTCTAAGCTATCTTTTTCTTAGGCTCCGGATGCATACATTATTTTTGAGACAGTTGATGTTTTCCCCTCACTCCAGCATCTTAGGCAACATAATGGTACTGTAATAACCCAGACATTGTTAGGGGTGCCCCTGGTGGCCTTGAGGCCCTAAGCAGCTGCTTATGTCGCTCATTATGTAGAGCCAGCACTGACAGTAAATTAAATGCATGGGCAAAAATGAGGTAATACTAACAATGAAGGGTAAAGGTAGAGGGAACACAACAAGCTATATATACACAGACAACAAGAGGGTTAGAGAGTACACACGGGTGAGACTGTTGACAAGGGGGTGGAGCTAGTTTGACAAAACAAGTTAGACACATGTTCACTCAGGGACGTTACATAACGTTGACTGTCCTGTATAAAATGCTACAGAGCTGGATTGCATTGTAATAGCTAGTCGACACTAGGCAGGTTAGAAACTACAACAACATGCTAATATGCTAGCAGATTTGCCACCATGCTAACCATTCTAAGAGCGTGAAATCTTACACGTATATGAAATAAGTATCATGTGAAATAAATAACGCTCTCTAAATTTAGTAGTATTCTGTAAAGCTTGTCCAACATGGCAACAGTTGCTATGAATGGGTGCATTGCTGTGGAAGCATGGATAAGTCAGGCAGTACCTCAATGAACTCAATGAGCCGTTGTCATTTTCATGCGTGTTGTTACTTGCTTTTGTTTTTTATTCTTATAGAAGAATTCCACCAGTTTTCTGCATCATTAAAATGTTAAGATGCAAACAAAGTCATTCAGAGTAGTTTGATGTGAAATTTGCCATTCTAGTCAGAATGTTTTACAATAGAGGCGATGGGAACCAGATGTCAAAAATCAAAGCTACCTCACAGAAAATTGGAAGAAATTGTTACGAATGTGTTACTTGATGCATGAGACATTGTTTTACGAAAGATTTGAGATAAGGCTTTGGCTTAAAACATTTTGTAAATCCTACATACATTTTTTTGGAGTTACCACTATTTTACCTTTGCCAACAATATTTATAAAAACTTAGAAGACCGCTGTAGGTTCACTGATCATTGTACACTATATTTGCATTATAGATATCTTGTCTTTTGGTTCCTATTACACAAAAACCTCCTGTGAGACTTTGTTTGCATCTCAATTACACAGAATTTTGGAATAACCGGTGGAATGCTTACCACAAACACAGCGTGACTGAGCCATGTAAATTGGCTGTGTTTAGGGTTTCTTTGAAGATGAAGATGGGAAGGAGTATATCTATAAGGAGCCCAAATTTACACCTCTGTCTGAGATCTCACAACGACTGCTCAAACTCTATTCTGACAAGTTCGGCCAGGAAAACGTCAAAATGATCCAAGACTCTGGAAAGGTGAGGACAAACATGAAGAAAACACACTTCACCATAATAACACTCACAAATACAACCACAATTCCAAAAACGTTGGGATGCAAACCTTATAGACCCATATTTAATTCACAATAGAGCATAGAACACATAGCAGATATTGAAAGGGGTTTCCAAGAAAATTTCAAGTTTTGATGCATCTGACCACAGAACAGTTTTCCATTTTGCCTCAGTCCATTTTAAATGAGCTTTGGCCCAGAGAAGACGGCAGCGTTTCTGGATTCTGTTGACATATGGCTTCTTCTTTGCATGATACAGCTTTAACTTGCATTTGTGGATTGCACGGAGAACTGTGTTCACTGACAGTGTTCCTGAGCCCATGCAGTGATTTCCAGTACAGAATCATGCCTGTTTTTAATGCAGTGCCGCCTGAGGGCCCGAAGATCATGAGCATACAATATTGACCATCAGCCTTGTCCCTTGTGTACAGGGGTTTCTCCAGATTCTCTGAATCATTTGATGATATTATGTACTGTAGATGGTGGGATGTCCAAAGTCTTTGCAATTTTACGTTGAGGAACATTTTTCTGAAATTTTTCCCCAATTTTTAGATGAAGGTTTTCGCAGATTGGTGAACCTCTGCCCATCTTTACTTCTGAGAGACTCTTCCTCTCTAAAATGCTCTTTTTATATCCTGTCATGTGAGTTAGTTGCAAATTGCTCCTCCAGCTGTTTTTGTGTCAGTACCACTTACTTTTCCAGCCTTCTGTTGCCCCTGCCCAACTTTTTTGAGATGCGTTGCTGCCATCAAGTTCTAAATGAGTTCATGTTTTTCATGAAGTGGTAAAATGTCTCACTTTCAACATCTGTTATGTGTTGTATGTTCTACTGTGAATAAAATATGGGTCTACTGAGATTTGCAAGTCATTGCATTCTGTTACAATTTGCATTTATTTACATTTTACACAGCGTCCGTTCCGTTTTTTGGAAATGGGGTTGTATGTGCATTGTCTCAGTTAGAGTACGTAGACATTTATCTTCTATCAGAGCACACACATAAACACGTCCCTCAGTATGTAATACACACAATAAGACCAGTTTTAATGTGGCGTGATATCACATATCAGCATACAAAGCACCTTTTAACACAAGACTGTCATTTTGTTGAACTCAGCTGTTTTCTCCACCTTTTGAAATAGAGGACTTGACTGTATCTCCTGTCTTGCCTAGGTTAATCCTAAGGACTTGGAGGCCAAATTTGCCTACATCCAGGTGACGCACGTGACTCCCTACTTGGAAGAGAAAGAGCTGGAAGAGAGACGCACCGATTTTGAGAGGAGCCACAATATACGGCGCTTTGTGTTCGAAACGCCATTCACTGTCTCAGGCAAAAGGCATGGCGGTGTGGACGAGCAGTGCAAGCGCAGAACTGTGCTCACCAGTGAGTGGACATCATGTCTGATTCTTGAACAGTTATTTCAGTATTCAGGTCATTTGGTATATGATTAAACACAAAATCCAGAGCAGCTACTACAGAATTGAGACCCATCCAGTGTCTAGTCTCAGTCAGGTGCTTCTGGATTGGCTTCCCGATTTTTACCTGTCTGACAGGAAACAAATTTTGTCCAGCTAAATGCTATCAAGCTACTGCTTGAATCGAAAATCAATGGCATCTGGTCTGTAAAAGTTATTCCAGAGTTTTGTTTGAAGCATTGTAGGTATCTTAGTAGTTTGCCAACAAGTACCACTTTGCTTCATGCAGGTCTGTTTTTGTTATAGAACCATTTTGGCAATGCTCTGCCCCTTCAAATCAAGTTAAAACAAAGGAGGTCTGTGGTTTCAAATAAACCTTTCCAATCAAAATAGGTAGTTCATGGCCACGTTGAGCAACAACCCTACCTCCCACCCTCCACCCCAGACTTTCTCACAATATTCAGAGGCCTTGTAAGACTACCCAGTGGCTGTTCTGCTGTTCTGCAGTATTGAAGTGACTTTATTCTGAATTTTTACACAATGCAAGATCATCTGGATTAATATGACCTTCAGTTTGGAATGAGCCTTTCCTCTGAATGGACGTTGGTCAAATCAGTCGCATTGGATGTGGATGAAAATGGAAGTTATTGCAACCAACCTGTCATTACACTCACCTGTAATATTCGATCCTTGCAGAATTGTCTGGTACCAAGATTAAGGTGGTTATGACTTAGACTTCACTTAGAACAGTTGGTGCTATATTACAATCTCTAGAGTGATTTTTTGCTGATCCCAGTACATCTACAACACTTAGGCCCAGTTTTGATACAAAGCACAGCATTTTCTGCTTTGTTGAGTTCAAGCTTCACTTCTAACAGTAAAACATGACTCAGCCAGTCACTCTTGGTTGACAGCAGTGGTTGCTTAATAAATTGTCAAGTGCTTGGTCCAAACTAGCCTTTTGTATTTAGATTGTGGACTTCAGGTTCAATTCCAGAGTGCTGTATTCAGGCCTTAACAAGAGCAGGCCACAGATTACACTTAGTTCATGTGTATTATAATGTAAGCACACATAAATAGGAAAAAATATGAAGTAGGTCAGTTGAATACAGACATTTATGTAAAAGACCTTACTGCATTAATATAGCTGGGCTTTACCCAGTCAGACACCTTTCATGCTGAACGCATCACATTTTTGCCAGATTTCTTGATTAACCCAGCGTCCCTGAACTTTTGACCAGTTATCAGTTTTGCTGATACCTGATACTTAATCAAAGGCTCAGTCTCTGGCATGGCTCCAATAATTATATGACCTGCCTGTGCTCCCAGTGAACCTTATCTTTACCCTTAGATAAACCCGCTGATTAAGGCAGAATGTCCTGAAAAGTCTGATTCTCTGGGTCAGATATCACAGGTCAGATCGAATGTAATTGCTTTCTGTTTTCATCAGTATTTCACTTACTGTCCCAATTTTTTGGAATTGAGCTTTGTATCCCTCAAAGCTGAAAGCTTTAAGTATTGCTTATCTGATAATGACAGTTTTGGCAGCCTGCCAGGCTTTGCACAGTTGTTAAGAGTCCCAAATTCTCTATATACTTTAATCCTTTTTTTGAACTCAAGCTGTTTTTTTCACCAGTTTTCCTTTGATTTCTCCCTTTCTTATGCAAATACTTTCTCTTATATCTCATATCTGCATGAACAACTTGTACTTAATGGCCATTTGACTGTAAATTAAATCGATGAATTGTGGTCTCTGACTTCGGCATAGTACTTTATATAGCATATGTTTGTACATCTAGAGCTGTGACTCTGAATTTGATTGTAGCTTCAGCGTTTCCTTCAGCAGGAAGCAGCAGGCTTACCTGTTTATTGTTTTATAATCACAGAGTGTACTTTTAAAGTAAGATAAGACACTCAAATTACATTTCTAGATATAGGTAGTTTCCTCATTTTAGGACTCACATGACTGGAGGGTTTTATGATAGTCTATGTCATGAATGGACATGTTAAATTCAGGTTTGATCTGGTTGTATTGTTACTTAATTCCTGGGCCAATAATGATGAGTGTCAAGAAACGCCAATTTTTGCTGATTTATTTTTTTTTTTTAGCATTTTAAAACAAGTTGACGCTATAATCCATATATGAAGTGCAGTGAGCATAAAACCTGTGATGGATTGATTAGTTTTACATATTTTACATAGCCACGACACTGCTAATTCAGATAATTCATGTAAATGTTTACATTTACATATTTACTAGATACTTTCTTCCATACAATAGTAGGGGAATGTAACGTTAGGAGTCTTGCTTAAGGGCTCTTATTGGTGTAGCAGAGGTGTTCCTGTCTGGAGGGCGAACTGAGCTTTTGAGTGATGTCATTCATACTGCTGTCCATTTTACTGAGTTTGAAAAGAACTGACCCCCACTAGGGACTATATATACAACAGGGTGAGCACAACTATTAATGGGGTGGCAGTTATTGGTTTCAGTGACCATCTATAATTTCAAAATTGAAAAAAACATATTTTCCCATTACTCAGGATTTAATGTATCGTGCACTGCATTGACATATCGTTCACAAATATGTACAAAAATATACTGTGTACATTATACTGATCCCCTGTCTCTCTCTCTCTCTCTCCTGTCTTACAGCCACTCATTGTTTCCCATATGTAAAGAAGCGAATAGCAGTCATGTATCAGCACCATACAGACCTGAGTCCTATAGAGGTGGCTATAGACGAAATGAGCAGTAAAGTGGCAGAGCTGAAAGCGCTTTGTGCAGCAGCAGAGGTCGACATGATCCGGCTGCAGCTCAAACTGCAGGGCAGCATCAGTGTACAGGTTTGTATTTTACACATATGATATTCAGACACTCATCATTTACCCACGGATATATAACCAAGTCCATGAAACTGAACTGTTCTTCGCTAGGTAAACGCTGGGCCACTTGCTTACGCGAGAGCTTTCCTTGATGATGCTTGCGCCAAGAAATACCCTGACAACAAAGTCAAACAGCTCAAAGAGGTCTTCAGGTACTCTTCTGGAAATTGTCTTACTTTTTTTAGCTGTTTAAAGCGGTGAGGCAGAACTCATGTTTAGGAAAACTGGAGAAAACAAAGGTAATGTCAGAAACAGGAAAATGGTCCTTACTGTGTGACGTATTTCATTTTCTTAACCAAATGGACAAACTTTCTCTTTTTTGTTATTGAGATCAAGGTTAGTTGAACATTTAGAGACTTTCTATAAAGAGAAAAAGTTTTTTCTCCTGTAATGTTACCATTTTGAAAATACAAGGTTTTGTTCTGACAATATACACCGATGTGGTGGATCATTCTCAGCACTGCAGTAACACTGACGTGGTATGAGTGGATCAGACACCGCAGTGCCATTCACTGTCCACTCTATTAGACACTCCTAACTTGTCAGTCCACCTTGTAGATGTAGTCAGAGACGATAGCTCATCTGCTGCTGCACAGTCTGTGTTGGTCATCCTCTAGTCCTTCATCAGTGGTCACAGGACACTGCCCACAGGACGCTGCTGGCTGGATATTTTTGGTTGGTGGACTATTCTCAGTCCAGCAGTGACACTGAGGTTTTTAAAAACTCCAGCAGCACTGCTGTGTCTGATCCACTCAGACCAGCACAACACACACTAACAAACCACCACCACGTCAGTGTTACTGCAATGCTGAGAATGATCCACCACCCAAATAGTACCTGCTCTGTGAGGGTCCATGGGGGTCCTGACCACTGAAGAACAGGGTAAAAGGGGGCTAACAAAGTATGCAGAGAAACAGATGGACTACAGTCTGTAACTGTAGAACTACAAAGTGCACCTATACAGTAAGTGGAGCTGATAAAATGGACAATGAGCATAGAAACAAGGAGGTGGTCATAATGTTATGGCTGATCGGTGTGTAATAGTATATACACAGTAATTTTACAGTAGAAGGAAAAATATTCTTAACTTTTAATTGAATGTAAGTTGTGAAATTATGCAAATATATACACACATAAACATACACACACACACTCACACTACCCCCTGTTCTAACATGGTAGAAAAAAAAACCTGTGTCTGTCTGTATGCAGGCAGTTTGTGGAGGCGTGCGGCCAGGCCCTGGGAGTGAATGAGCGGCTGATAAAGGAGGATCAGCAAGAGTATCATGATGAGATGAAGGCCAGTTACAGAGACCTGGCCAAAGAGCTGTCACTCATCATGCATGAACAGGTACAGCTTCACACAGATCTACTTGCAAATACAGCTTGCATTCACTGTCTGAGGCCTGACTGAAACCTGGCTGGCTGGGTAAATCAGGGGCATCTGTAAACTGCATCATTATTAATAATAAATAATTAACATTCAGGGCCTGGTGTATAAAGCTTTTTGCACCAATTTTATTTTCATTTTCTATTTTTCAGACTTTTATTATTTCTCAATACCTTTTAAACTCTCATGCACGCACTGCATCTGTGCTCGTCTGTATTGGCCTTAGTGTTCGTATTGTATCTGTTTAACTGGATGGGTGTAGTGTTTAAGTGTGTGGACACTCATTGACCCTTGCTTTCTCCTTCTTTTTTGCTGGCCTGTGCAGATTGGATGGTAACAACACCTCAATTTTGTGTTTTAATCTTTTTTTTCAAATGTACTTTCCGTGATGGATGAGTTTGGAACCCATCTTCCCATCTCTTCCTCAGATATCCACAGTTGAAAACGGAACGAAGAGCTCCCTCTCTGATTCGCTGCACATCTTCAATGCGATTAGTGGGACACCCAGTGGCTCCGCCCTCCACAGCCTACCCAGCTCCGCCTCCTCCATGTGATGTTTGACCTCAGCCTTCATACTCTGACCTTGTCTGTAACTAGAGAGAGAAACAGAGAAATGGAAGGAGTAAAAGAATAAGTTAATATGACGCTGAGGAAGAAAACTTGAAACATGAGGATTACCCTCCCATCCGCATCTTGAACTTGATGTCTCTCTAAAGTGTCTGTATTCAGAGTGTCTGTTCTGGCAGTTAGTCCGGCTAGTTTCACGAACAAAAGTCAAAACCACTCGGCCATGAGACGAAAACGAAGGTCTTAAATGAAATCGTTTTATCCTTCAGTGTTGTATCCTGTAGTATAACTTGTCTGCTCTTGGCTGTTTCTTTTGGAGATATTCTAAGTTTATAAAATCTCCAGTCAGAACATTTCTCTTTTTCTGTTTCTATATTTTGTTTGTGATTGGATATCTGCAGCAGGTCCCACCAGAAGACAAGTTGTGTAATCTTCTGTTTGTTCATTCCAGACAGAATGGCCATAGTTCTAGTTTCGATTAAGTAGATTTGGGTCTTGCTAAACCATGATGAATCTTGTTTTATATTCTCCCATTATCTTTACTTGTCATTGCTGTTTTACACAGCTAGAGTCTACCAGCAGGGCCAACCAAAGTCACCAGAGGCAATACAGCCGTCTTAGAAACCAAATGTTAATGGATTACCGAATTACTTTTGTATTAAATTCTCAACACCCCCGGCAAACTTTACCAGCTATGTACAGGCAACTTAAAATTACAATTTTCAGCAATCATCCTGCTCATGACACACTTACGACATGTTGTAGACTCAGGCTTCACTTCCTCCTTTTTTCCTTTCTTCACATAACCAGAAATGTACTTGCTGCTATGTGAAGGATGACCAGGCATGGGCATCAACTGTAGTGGCTTATTCTACATGCTGAATTAAGTGTCCCCAGACTTAACCAAACCATAGACCTAAGCTCTTCCCTAGAAAAGTATTGAGTCTTAGTGTTTAGCTTCACATGCTTGTGATCTTGCATAAGATTTAAATACTAGCCTGGACACTTCTACAGAGGTAAGCATTCATCCGATCAGCCAACCATGCCAGTAGCAAGTAGCAAGCTCTTAGAAACTGTCTGTCTTGATGAGATTTGTTTATGCTTTGAGTGGAAATGACATAAAACGAAGGAGGAAGTGCTATTACGATCCGTTCTCTATAAATAAGGAGTGCAATATACGTCTTACCATGTGCTTTTCTTATTTTGTTAATGATCTCTTGCCAAAGAGGAAAGGCGAGCTGTGGAGTACATGGATAAAGGCGACCGCATTAGGATTTTTATACCCTTGTCTTGTTTGTTTATTGTTCATGTAAATTGTTTTGTATCTGGGAAATCTGGGGGTATTTTTATTTAACGGAATGTCAGAGTTCTGAATTTGTGTATGTAATATATTAATGTCCTTAAAGTTTTCTCTTTTTAATTAAATAAAATTATTGTCCTACAACATGTTTCTTAATCACTGTTACTGTGATTTGAATGCAGCTTCAAAGTAGGCTGTACTGCAACCATAGAGGTTTGAATCACAGTCGAAATGTCAAACTTTATCAGCGTCTTTCTGGACATTTGCTGCCTTCTGTTTCTTGATCAAGAGTATTTGTTAGCTCTGTTTGCTCTTCCTTGACTTAGAACACGACTCCGCTGTGCATCACTGATCCACTCATAAAGTCATGAAGGCTGCTTCACGTGTTCTTACTGCTCCTCGTCCTCCGAGAGAAGGAGCAGGAGACATCCAGAGCTCTGAGTATCATGCGACTCAACGCTGCTTGTTTTTTAGGTTGCAGTGAAAGAGAGTTGCTGACTCCACTCTCCCATCCCTCACATGCCCCCCAATGATGCCAAACAAATCCTGCCACCTCACACATACAGACAAGCCCCCCCAGTGCTCCTGGTCACTGGTTTAGTTTGGGCTTGGTGCAGGGGGTCTCTGTCATGGAGTCAGGAATCGCTGCTAACCATGATTCTAATGTGAGTGTTAAGCTGCACAGCTTTTTAAAACAGCAGGTTATTCATTACAGTAATTTTTCATTAGTGTGAAAAAGCAGGTTGTAGCCACTTCAGGAATATTGTTCATGCTGACAGTACATGATTAACGGTCCTGTTAAAGGACTGTTATAATCTTTCATTGATTAATGCCTGGCTATAATATACACTAACTGGCTAAATAACTACTGTTGCTGTCACTGTAAACCGAACTCACTGGTGCATTTGTGTCTTTAGGAGATTATAACCTTATTTGTTGATATACCATACTGTGTAGTCAGAGACAATCCTTCATTTATTAATAATTGCCAGTCAAAACAGCCTTTAAATACAAGTTATTAATTTTTTTAGGATCAGGAAATATAGTAGCAAAATATATTTAACAGAAAATTATACAGACGATTCAACAACGAAACATAACATTATCTTTTCCAGTGTTTAGTGTGTCCACTAAATTGGTTGCATTTCCTGCATCTCATGGTCCAAGTTAACACCAAACACACTGAGTGATCATAATTGGATCTCTGCAGTTATCCAGTTATTCAAATGGTCATGTAAACACTACTCCAATCTAGAAATCCAGAGGGCTGGATTTTAGCTCAGTGATCAGATTTCTCAGTGCATGTGAACTCTTACTCTGATTTCTTTCGGATTTCTCAGTCTGTGCATGTGCGAAAACAGACAGCGGTACCGGAAATAAGCAAGCGGCGCTGCTTAGAGATGCAGCAAAACACTTTTGGAGCGGCGCTGAATCCAAACATTAAATGAAAGATTTAAATATTTTATATCTAAATTCATATTTTCAGGTAAAGTAGTGTGATTTTTAAAAACAAGTTGTGGCATGAAGTTAAAGTTAAGTTTAACTTAACTTTAAGTCTTCTTCTGTGAGTTTATTGGCTGGTTGCAAAGCAGAAATCTGATTACTGCCTGACTTATTTAGATCTGGAGTTTCTCCATTACCTAATTACTCAAGTGCATATAAACAAAGATCAGATTATTGACAAAGTCTGATTTTCTGCAGTTATTGGATTATTAAGTACATGTAAACGCACTCATTCAGTGATGCTGAGGTCTGGGTGACCAGTCCGTTGTTCTGAGATCACAAGCAGCTCCTTTGTTTGATTTGCAAATGTTCTTTTATATCTATTTCTTTTTCTCAGTAACAGCTTCTTGACAGTTTCACATCCAATCAGATCCATAATGTCTTCTCACAGTGGAAGGATGGACAGATCTGAAGACAAAGTAGAGCTTGATTTTCTCCTCTCTCTAAGTGCGGTTTATCTGATGGGGAGTTTTGGTGTCTAATAGGTCTTGCGTGGGAGTTAGGAGTCCCATTTTCTGTGTATCTTTTAATTATTATTTGAACTCCAGTTTTGTAAACTCATGCTTGTCCACTTTTCTCCTTCCTTATGCAAGTAAATTATTTTCTGTCTAGTCTCTTAAGAAATATCTCCTGAAAAATGAATAACATTACAGGCCAGTTTGACAGAAAATTACATTAATGAAGGCTGGCTTTTGCACAGTACTGTAAGATATGGCATTTTATTCGAAATATAATCTTTCTTATACAAAGATTTATGGACACTGACACCTTGAGGGGTTACAAGTGTGAATATTATTTCTAACTTTTGTAGGGTGAAAATATAAAGGACCTACAGATTTGAATACACTTCAGTTCACATCACTCATTACTTCCACTGAAACCTGGGGTTTAATCACAAAAACTCTGCAGTGTAACACAGGAGGGTGGCCTAGTAAGTACAACCCAGTGGCATTAATGGAGCCCAATCATCTGTGCCAATCTGTTGAAAACATTGTTCTCAAACACAGACTTAAGTTCACAAAACGCTATTATAAAGTGTCCTGTCCACTTAGGATTAGACTGACCAGTTCTGTAACAGCACACAGGTGTATATAAAGCGTGGAAAGATAAAAGTATTTGCATTTTCACTAGAAGAGCAGCCTAATCTCACTTCAGGCTTCACCTCTCACTGCTGCCTTTAGCCGCGAAGCTAACTGAAGCTCCGCTCTACAGGTTTATGAGAAGTGTGGTTTGAGGTGAGTCTGTAACTGGTTAGGTTTTATAACAGACATATGTCATAAAGAAAACTGCTTATTTAAGTCATAACAGGAATATTTTTGTTCACAGAGAGGATTTTTGACTGGCGAGTGTTCTGGTAGGCTAGTTGCAGATGGCTTCTCTCTCTGCTCGGACCCGCTCCGGTGAAGGTTCGCGCCTTTATTTCACTGTAAAAAGCTTCTCTTTCACAAACTGAGCTGTACTGTGCTAAAATCGATTGGAAGTCAGTTTCTGTATTTGGTCTTTGTGTCTTTTATTTTCTCTAATTAACTCTTAAACGTCTCTTTATCTTCTCGTTTTCCCACACTGGGCCTACAGTCACGCTGGCCAGAAGGGTTGAATGAAACTTTCATTCGTTTTTGCTTCTTAGTTTTACCTTGTAGTTCATGGCCTTTCTACATGTTTATAATCAAGCAGGAAGGAAGGTTTATTCGTATTCCACAGGTTCACAAAGGTCCTGGTTCCTCCATTTCTGTGTTTTCCTGCTCTAACACACTTCCACTCAGGAAGGGCTTAGTTTAGTATCTGATTAGCTGGAGTCAGGTGTGTTGGGATACTCCAGTGACCGGCGTTGGGAACCACTGAACTATTCCAGCGCAGTCGTTTCCCAGTAACTCTTTCAACCCCAACACTTAAATGAACAATTCAGCAAAAAATCTAATTTACATGATTTTCCCCTTACCCCAAACGCAGTCGATCAGCCAAGACAGGTTAGTGTCAGAATTTTGCTTCTTTAGTTTAGAAGTGGAGCTGCTAGGTTAACAGTGCTAACAAACACTGGAGGTCAATAGTCTCCCAAACTGTTTCCACAAATCAAAACCCAAAACTTCTTTCAAACCGCAACCAGATCTTCATTCAGGTCAGTGTGATTTAGAACACAGTATAACTCACCCCTGATAGCAAGAGGATAGTGGACCACTGTCGGCCCACTGATGGCAAAGCTGGCAGTCCAATGGCGTTTTGCTCAGCGTTTTCTGGGTGGTCCACCAGTGGTTAATCAGGTAGACAGAATTCCACTTATCATCACTCAGTTTTCCACTCACTGTCCAATTTACTTTTTCCTTCCTCCTTTCCTTAGTTATACATTGTAAATTAGTAGTCTGGTAAATAATTTTAATCTAGCACAGTGTCAGCAACAACGTTTACTATAAAATCGTTTCATATCAGGCCTAGTCATTATTTTTTTTCTCGCAGTTGTTTGTAATATTTGTCATAGTTTATTTTCTAAAATAGAAGTCTCTGTACATTTAAAATCTGTTTAGGAAGATAGTTGGATTTTGTATGCAGGACAGTAATCTGGGTGGTCCGAAGGTGGACCAGCAGTGGCGTACAGTTAGCGGGGTGCTGACCTTATTAAGCCAGCGGACCGAAATATGCTCATGTCTGGGACCCTGAACAATAAAAACAAAAACAAAAAAATGCTGTTTGTAGCTAAAAGGAAAGGCAGCTGTTCAGGATAACCCAAAATCACTGACATTTCTTAGGCTGAGTTCAGACTGCAGGGAGATTGGATTTGTACCACAGATCAGATCTTTTGAGATGACTGTCTGCACTGTTATTTGCAAGAGATCAGATTGGATTTGTGTGTCCAGACATCACTAGCCTATCTGCATGGGTTGCTGTGGTAACGATGTAGGCGTCAGTAATTATGTAGCTATGCTGGTGACACAGATTTCAGACGCAGATGCAGGAGAGATGGAGGTTCATCATCTCGCCCTCCAAACTTTTCAGAATTCTCTGGCATAAGCATGAATCTTCTGAGCTCTTCTTGAATCCCAGCATTTCGTCACTCTGGATTCATTGTCGTTTTTTGTGATGTTACGAGTGACACAAAATACACAGAATTGAGCGGCCAGAGCGTCCAAACTGAGACACATCTGTAAAAATCCGAGATCCAAATGTGGTACGTCCATATGTGGTCTGTATCTCATTTACAAAAGTTGGATTTAATGTGCTTTTTAGCTATCCAGGCTATCAAAAATGAATCTGGATACAATCTGGATATGAAAAATCAGATTTGGGCTGGCAGTCTGAACACAGCCTTTATGTCTGCTGTGGAACAATTCAGTTTTGTCTCTATGCCAGCGGAGTCCAGTCTTATCCTCAAAGAGCTGGTGTGGCTACAGGTTGTTTATTCCAAACAAGCCGTAACACACCTGATTCTACCTGTTTAATCAGTTGGTCAGGATTCAAACAACTGATCAGGTGCGTTTCCTGCTTTGTTAGAATGAAAACCTGCAACTACTCCGGCCCTTTGCAGAAATGATTGGACACCCCTTCTCTATGATGAATAACTTTAATGACATAAATACCCCGATCAGGCATAACATTATGACCACCTCCTTGTTTCTACACTCATTGTCCATTTTATCAGCTCCACTTACTGTATAGGTGCACTTTGTAGTTCTACAGTTACAGACTGTAGTCCATCTGTCTCTCTGTGTACTTTGTTAGCCCCCTTTTACCCTGTTCTTCAGTGGTCAGGACCCCCATGGACCCTCACAGAGCAGGTACTGTTTGGGTGGTGGATCATTCTTAGCACTGCAGTAACGCTGACGTGGTGGTGGTGTGTTAGTGTGTGTTGTGCTGGTCTGAGTGGATCAGACACAGCAGTGCTGCTGGAGTTTTTAAACACCTCAGTGTCACTGCTGGACTGAGAATAGTCCACTAACCAAAAATATCTAGCCAACAGCGTCCTGTGGGCAGCGTCCTGTGACCACTGATGATGGACTAGAGGATGACCAACACAAACTGTGCAGCAGCAGATGAGCTATCGTCTCTGACTTTACATCTACAAGGTGGACTGACAAGGTCTAATAGAGTGGACAGTGAGTGGACACAGCAGCAATGCTGTGTCTGATCCACTCAGACCAGCGCAACATACACTAACACACCACCACCACGTCAGTGTTACTGCAGTGCTGAGAATGATTGACCACCCAAATAGTACCTGCTCTGTGAGGGTCCATGGGGGTTCTGACCACTGAAGAACAGGTCAGACTACAGTCTGTAATTGTAGAACTACAAAGTGCACCTATATAGTAAGTGGAGCTGATAAAATGGACAATGAGCGTGGAAATAATGTTCATAATGGTCATAATGTTATGCCTGATCGTATTTTCTGTCCATTCTAAAACAAATAACTCTCGAGAGCATTATTATCTTCAGTCCTTTAAACTTGTAAAGTGATAAGAGGCAGCGTGCAGTGTTTATGGTATTAGCCGATTATTAAGTGTATATAAGCACAAGGACAGACACGTCTGCATTATCTAACTCTGATGCTGGGTATCTAATCAACCGCCAAGCGTTTCCTTTAGTTTACATTCTACAGGGCCAAACTTCAGGGGTCTGTGTACAACGGAATCTATAAGTTACTGGGCACTGATGATTATACTTGTTTTGGCCTTGAACACAAGTTTATTGAGCCTGACTCAAACAAAATAAGGTGGTTAACCCCTTAAAATCCCAGGCTTATTACACTTTAAGGCTCATTTTTTAGGAACTACAGGGATTTCAGTGCAAACTGTCTGAGCTATTCTTAGGTTATGGAAGTGTGTAATAAAACTTTGGGCCAGCCGGTGAGCCCTGGCCATTTAAAAGGTTAAAGCACAGATGGCCAGTTTGAATTTGAGGATATGTGTGTCCATATGAGGTGGGCCAGGTAGGGTTTACTTTGTTGCGCATATTTCTTACATTTATGGTATTTGGCAGAAGCTCTTATCCAGAGCAACTTACAATTTGATCATTTTTACACAGGTAGGTGAAGGTAGTGTTAGGAGTCTTGCCCAAGGACTCTTATTGGTATAGTGTAGGGTGCTTACCCAGGTGGGGATTGAACCCGAGCCACTGTATAAAAGGCAGATGTGTTACCCACTACGCTATACCAACCACTACCAATATACAGTTCTTCAGTTGTAAGGCACCGAATGTAAACAGACTGAGCACTTTTAGCTGTCAGAGTTTACCATAAGATGCAAACCAATAACACAGAGGCCTGGTTACAGTTATTTTTTAGGTTTTTTCAAAAGCTTAGATCTCTGAGACAAAGTCTTTTTTTATATCTCAACCACTGAATTATGCAGACATTTTAAAAAATCCATGGAATTCCCCTTTAAGTGTTTCTCTGTAGAGGATATGTTGACTTAATTTCACTTAGAATAGAAAATCAAGCATGTAATTTGAGCAGGGGTGTTCACACTTAACCTCATAGTCCTTTGTTTCTTTTCAGAAAGGAGTGAAATAAGAGCCCTAGAAAATTGATGTTCAGAATATGTTATGGATATATATTGATTTGTGCATTTGATGATATGATACTACCTTAACATTTTGTCTTCATGAGCAGATGATCACTGCGCTTTATTTTCTGATGTACAGACACAGTTAGGTTATCTATCAGGTTTGAGTCTATCAGTCAGGAGTTTGTAGATTAACAAGAAAATAATCAGGTGTATTGAATTTATTGCGATGATTAAACAGGCGGGCACACAGATCCTGATGTTCTCTCTGATGTGTAATAAACGGGGGCCACAGTCCATGCTGCAGCCCCCTTTTTTTATGGTGCAGGTTATAAAACCCTGCTATCTGCTCACCTGCGCTCACAGCACGGGGCACCTACCTGAGGACGTTTGTGTGCTGCACTAGTGGCTGTGTGTGTCGGCACTAAAGGATATTCACTGGAAGAGGAGTACAAGATGAATCCAGAGAAAGCAGACGTCATGGCAGGTGAGTGGACCAGGCTGCGGACACACAGTATGGGCAGATTATGAGGACTGGATTTTGTTATCTTGGAAAAACAGAATATTTTTATTTTTATTTTATATTTTAATACAAAGTTTGGGTGGGTAATATGGGAAAAATATAACATTGCAATACTTAAAAACATTTTCACGATGCACAATTTGCATCATGATATTTATTTCCACTACTGTTGTATACAAAAGTTTAAATACCGCCAGTCAAAGGACTTTAAAGCAAATTTTAGTGCAGAAAAAAATGTGAAAAATTAAAACAGTTCAAAATGCTATATAATTTTTGGACAGGCCACTTTTTTCCCAATATGCTAAATTCAGGAAATACTAGAAACTGGAAATACAGAAAAACTGCGCATAAAAATGTGCAGAAGTGTATTCAGTGTAGAGGATGTATTAACATATTTTCATTTTAAAAACCATGTAATTTAATAAAGAATGCCCAAACTTTTGCATATGATTTTTTTGCATCACTGATTTTTCTAAGGTTTGGTAAGCTGGAACAGCCAATGCACCACATAAAAAACTGTGACTACAGTGATTTTATTCAGTGTTTCACATACTGCACTGCACTACATCCAGTTCAGTTATGCTCTCTTTTATTAAGTACTGCTGAAGTCCACATTATACTCAGAAAGGTATATTATGCTGTAACTTATCACAGTAAAGATAAATATCGTCATATTGCTCACCCCTAATACAAGTATGTCTGGCAAAGTCATCTGACTACTGAGTTAAAAGTGAGAAAGGGTCATATCTTGTTGCATTCTTTTTTTCTGTCACCATTTACATTGAATTCAGCCTTGATTTGGACTAAATCCTTCAGTCAACAGACATTCTTAACTGAAATCCTGTTTATTCTGAAGAGTGGTCTGTATCCAGACCACCGACTGTGAATTTTAAGTTCTGTGTTCTTGAGATATCTTTCACATTGTTTAATCAAACATTTCTATCCTTTGTTTTTAACCTGCGAAACCTCTTATACCAATTTGTATGTGCCTTTGAACAAATTTTCTACTTGACGAGCCTTTACAAACTTCAAATATCCATGTTTTTACTAACATACCTTTTTGTGCTTTGTAGACAGAGAGCAGGGAAAGGAGAAGAAGAGTAAATCTAGCAAGGTAAAATCAGCAAGCAGCATATATATATATATATATACACACGTGTGTGTTTGTGTGTGGTGTGTGTGTGTGTGTGTGGTGTGTGTGTGTCATTAAGCTACATTTAAATAGCATCTGTGGTGAATTGGGTATGAATATAGTGTTCTTTTTCTGTGAGCAGGCGGAGTGCTGTGGCTACCCGCTCAGTATTTTCTTTATTGTGGTGAATGAGTTCTGCGAGCGGTTCTCCTACTATGGCATGCGAGGTGAGTTTAGAATGCTGCACATACATACAGCACTCGCAGTAATGAACCCATGCACCTTATTCTAGCACTAAAGTATATAGACTAAATGTTTCTGTGCACAACATCTGCTCTGTGAATCTTCCAACATCACCAACATCTTCTCCATTTACCCTTTTCCTGCTCTCCATCCCCTCCATCTCTTCATTTTCTGTCTTTTCTTTGTACTAATTACTCTCCTATTTTCTCTACAGCGGTGCTGGTGCTCTACTTTCGCTATTTCCTGCGCTGGGACGATGATCTGGCCACCACTATCTACCACACCTTTGTGGCCCTGTGCTACCTGACACCCATCCTGGGTGCCATCGTGGCTGATTCCTGGCTGGGAAAGTTTAAGTGAGTGAACTCATATGTTTTCTTTACTAAATTGCTTTCATGTTTTGATTCTGATATGTTTGGTATCGTCAAACAAAGAAATCAGAGTCTATATGTTTTACTACAATAAACCATTTCACATCAAACCACACTGAATGATATTGTTTATGTCTCAATGACTGAGGGCTGCAGAAATGTAGAAAATTCAGTGGAAGCCCCCTTTAGCAACTCGACACATTTTGAGGCCAGTGTGTGATGATTTAGACTATGAACAGTGCTAAGTGGTCAGTATTATCTTCAATTGCTTGTAGGTAACCAACTTTAGACACTTGACTATGTGATTGTATTGACTTTTTTCTTTGTTATTGTAATATATATATATATATATATATATATATTTTACAATAACAAAGTTGTTATATATAGAATTTTCTATATATAACATGATATATGGATAACCTCCTCTCTCTCTCTCTTTCTGTGCAGGACCATAGTGTATCTGTCTATTGTGTACACTATAGGACAAGTGGTCATGGCGGTCAGTGCCGTCCACGACATCACGGACACCAACCAGGACGGCACACCTGACAACATGACCTTCCATGTGTGAGTTATTTTTGGAGGAACACAAGCATACATGGCACACACACATACACACACACCCACACACACACACACACACACACATACACACACACACACACACACACACCCGCACACATAATTTTAAAGGCCCTCTCATAAATATTTAATATCAAACAATAACGCCTGAGTGCTTCCATTACCAGCACATATATGAGCTATTAAGCCCCATTGTAAGCACACGTAGTGTAAAAGTGCACTGCATGTGCTCACGTTATCAGCACTCCAGAGTATAAAGCCCCCCTCCAGTCTTGTGAAACACACTGCTTAAGATTTGAGCACACACACATTTTCAAAGTGCTTTAATAATTACTTTGTTAGTTTGGTCTAAGTTATTAAACATTTTACCATTTTTCTTTGCTAAAAACTGTAAACTGACAGAAGGACTACTTTGGGAATGATGTCACAGGCCACACGTTTTGTCTCCTTTTTGTGACTTCAGCAACGTATCCATGTAAAAAAAAATCACATTTACGGAATCTGCTGGTTTATCTTCCCACACCATTTAGAGAGCATCCCTAAAATGCAGCCAATCCAGTGATGCATGCAACCCCTTCATCAGTAGACTTTCATATCAGGTGTGCTTGACGAGCACTATCAATGCATGCAATGTTTCATTTCACTTTGGATTTTGCTGCCTGCCAACATAAAAGCAAATGTAAAAAGTCGTTTGTTTAGTGGAGCATGATTATTGGTCAGTGGGCCTGTCGCCAGGCCTGCTTTTGACCTTTATTAGAGTACACATAAAGACATTAATTCAAAGGGGATGTATGAAAGATAGCAGTTTAACTTCCCCTTGCATGCATAAACACATAAAAAACCCTCAAAGCTGATAAATAACTATTTTTAGATGTTTTATGTTTTTTTATATTCAATTGTAAAGTAACAGCAAAAATCCTTAAAGAGAAAAAAGATGTCCCCAAACTTTTGAAGGGCAGTGATTGTGCACTTGAATCATAATAATAAATAAATACATCATTCTTCTCTATCAGTGCCCTGTCTATGGTGGGTCTGTTCCTCATCGCCGTGGGAACAGGAGGCATCAAACCCTGTGTGGCAGCCTTTGGAGGAGACCAGTTTGGGGACCACCAGGTGTGTAAGCTTGCATTCACACACACACACACACACACACACACACACACACACACACACATACTACTTATGCACAGTTCTAATTTAGGAGCCCCCAAACTCAAGCGTTTGAATCCCACGTCACTTTATAACTGTACTTTGCACACTGGTACCACAGTATGTTTGAAAGTCCAGTAGGGTGGCTAGTTTCTGTGTGACTGTATCAGCACTGCTGACATTAATGGAGCTCAAGGTCCACAAACACATGGCTGATAAAGATTAGATACTGCATATTCTAAGACTATTGGTGATAATTGTGCTTGGATTATTGCTGATTATTGTCGTCTCCTCTGTTCTCTTTACAGTCTAGAACATGAAACAAGATTCCACCATAAATTCATTAGACCATAAAAAACTGTTAATGTCTGCAGAAAGTTTAGCGATTTGTGATGTGTTATAAAAACAGTGGCTAATTATTTGCTGCTGTGTTGTTTTGCTGTGTCTGTACAGGACAAGCAGAGAAGCACTTTCTTCTCCATCTTCTACCTTTCCATCAACGCCGGCAGTCTGCTCTCCACTGTCATCACACCCATTCTCAGAGGTGAGTGTGTTTGTGTTTAAAAGAATAGAGACACACACTTTTATCGCAGGTTTGCCAGAGATCTGTGTGTTTATTTCTCTGTCTGTTTCTCTTCCACAGCTCAGGAGTGTGGAATTAACTCCCAGCAGAAGTGTTATCCTCTGGCGTTTGGGGTTCCAGCTGCTCTGATGGCTGTTGCGCTAAGTAGGTTCAGTCAGCTCTTCATGAAATAGTTTGGCAAAAAAATCCAGTTTACCCAGATTTTCCCATAAGTTCAAATATGTTCAATCAGCCAGGACACGTTCGATGTCCAAAATTGGATTATTTAGTTTTGTGCCGGAGTTTACTCCGGTTTCCTCCCACAGTCCACAAACATGCAGTCAGGCCAATTGGACACATTAAATTGCCTCTAGGTGTGAGTGTGTGTGTGTATGTGTATGTGTCCGTCTGTCTGCCCTGCGATGGACTGGTGACCTGTCCAGGGTGTATCCTGCCTTCCGCCCAATGACCGCTGGAATAGGCTCCAGCTCCCCCCTGCGACCCAGCAGGATAAGTGGTTTAGAAAATGTGTGTGTGTGTGTGTGTGTGTGTGTGTGTGTGTGTGTGTGTGTGTGTGTGCGTGCACTGGAGATTTAGCATTACACCTAAATGAACACACCCTTGCCTCAAAACTATCCTACATTTTCCTTGTGTTTTAAGGTCAGCTTATGATGTTTGTGTGGTTTTATACACCAAAAACATTCATAAATCATTTTTACATGACTGTTTTCCAGATACAAAGTAATTCAGAGAGGTTTGATGTGAAATGGTTAATTGTAGAGCTGAGATCTCTTTTCTGTGGTGGTAATAGAAACCAGAGGTTGCAATGTCTGCAGTGCAAAAGGAACCATTTATTTACTATCCAAAAAGATCAGTGAATTTCCTCGTATCGAGTTTTTATATGATATATTGACAATGGTAAAATATGAAAAAAAATCTTTGGGAACTTTTTGGCCTCACAACGCCCTGCATGTACTTCTCCACCATGACTGGATCTAAAATGAAAAACAACGGTTTAGGCCAGAACCTTATCATAAAACTATCATCAGGCGACGTGTTCATAACCATTTCATATAGTAACTTTCTGAGAGGGAGATTTTAGGGGCATTAAACTCTCCACACCTTGTGAACAATTCTGACTCTGCAAGTTTCTCTAGAAGTGAACATTTTACATCAAACCACTCGGAATGACTGTCTCTAGTTGTTACCTCAGCCATTTAATTATGCAGACACTTTGATGCTGATATGGCTGGAATTCCCCTTTAAAACTGATGTATCGCTGCTGTCGGAAGAAAACCTTGTATCTCCATTTTTGTCGTTTTTCAGTTTTTGACATAATTTCAAAATGCCTGTTGGTTTTTACGTTGTATGTAAATTTCATGAAGAATGGACCAAACAAATCTCTGGTTCCATTGACTTACATTAAAAGTAAAGCAGGTTTTTTCCTTCTCCTGTAAAGTTACCATTTTGGAGACACAAGGTTTTGTTCTGACAACAGCGATATGTAAATGATCTCTATTCTTATTGGCTGTCCTGTATTATGCCTTATTCAAAAGGCTGATACACTTATAACCTCAAAGTGAGTAGAGAGATACATGCGAATAAATAATTTTTCAAGACAACACAAGAAAAATCATTTCAAAATAGGCCATTTTGGCAGCTTAGTGTGCATAAGTGGACCATATAAACTGGACAGTGAACTGTATGTTTTGAAACGAGCAGTGTTTACATAACATCAAAAGAGCTCAAAATTTGGTTTTCCATGGTATGGGCCTTTTTAGTAATTCTAAATAGATCATATTTATGCGCTTTCAGACACTGTATGAAATAATGTTATCTTTAAAAATTCAAAACACCACAGTTGAGGCTTGAAGATGGCTGCTCCTACGGTTTTAGCAATGCAATATACTTGTAAATGTAATGTTTCACCAAAGTATTCTTTTCACTCTGTACTTGCTATTCCATTAGTGGCCACAGGGTGGCAGGCTAGGTTAACTTTAACATCATCTTCTGTCTTCTCTCCACAGTTGTGTTCATTGCTGGCAGTGGCATGTACACTAAAGCTGCCCCCAAAGGCAATATCATGATGGAGGTGTGCAAGTGCATCGGAGTAAGTGTAATCTTTCAAATATATAAACCATGAATATTCACAAATGTGTATCAACAATATCTGATTGGTGTTGTTCGCTTTCAGCAGACGTATCATGTAACAAACCAAGTTAGGGTTGTTATAGATAGATAGATAGATAGATAGATAGATAGATAGATAGATAGATAGATAGAAAACCTTGGAAAAGATAGGTAAAAAAGTCTTTGTTGCTAATCTCACACTGAAAAACAAAAAACGTTATCTATTTAAGGGACATAGATAAATGTACTTTATTGATCTTCAAGAGACAATTTACTCGATACAGTAGTAAAAAAAATACATACTGACATTGTGCACATATAGTCAGGTCCATAAATATTTGGACATTAACAGGGTCATTGTTTTAGCTGTCAACCACATACAAATAGTAATGAGCATGAGCTCAAAGTGCAGACGTCCAGCTTGAATTTGAGGGTATTTACATCCAAATTGGGTGAACAGTGTAGAGATGACAATCATTTTCATACATAGCCCCCCATTTTTAGGGGCTCAAAAGTAATTGGACAAACTGACATAATCATAAAGTGTCATTCTTAATATTTGGTTGTAAATCCTCTGCAGTCCTGACTGCCTGAAGTCTGCAATCCATAGACATCACTATTGACTGAGTTTTCTCGCTGGTGATGCTCTGCCAGGCCTTTAGTCTGCTCATATCCATTATTTAACAATAAAAATGTTGGCGTCCAAATATTTATGGGCTTGACTGTATATGCATATTGTCAGTTTTATTTTTTGGTACTAATGTAGCACATAAATTGTCCCTTGAAGATCAATAAAGTACATTTGTCCATGTCCTTTATAGACTAAATATACTTCAGTTAAAGGTTAGATTTCTCAGTGTTAGATTAAGATACTTAACCACAAAGACATTTTAACCCATCTTTATCAAGGGTGCCAATAATTTTGCAGCTGACTGTATACTTGTTCACATATTGTTGGACATGACTGTAATAAACAGATCAATGCTTTCACATTTAATGGTGTGAATGTAAACAACAAAACATAGTAAGAATAATATGTGATTAAGTGGTGCTTTGGTTATGTGGCTTATTGTTCATATACAAGCTGTATCTTGAAATCATGTGCTGTGATTAAAATATTTTAAAAATAATCTTTTTGTTGAATGCAGTTTGCCATTAAGAACCGCTTCAGGCACCGCAGCAGTGCATACCCCAAGAGAGAGCACTGGATGGACTGGGCCAATGAGAAATACGATGTATGTCACATACACACGCACATACAGTCCGTTTCTGTTCCCACTTCTTTCAGTAAATAAGATACGACTAACATGTTTTAGTGTGAATGAACTATTTCTCTCTCTCACACATGCATATTTATCTAGACACTAAAGCTTCTCTTTCTGTCTGCAGAAACTGCTGATTGCTCAAGTGAAGATGGTGCTGAAGGTTCTCTTCCTCTACATCCCACTGCCCATGTTCTGGGCTCTGTTTGACCAGCAGGTTAGAACACACCCCCTCTACCCCCCCGCCCCATCATTCATATGTCTGTTTTAGTTTACATGCACTTGAGTAATCAGATAATGTGAAACTCCGGGTTTATATGAATCAGACAGTAGTCGGATTTCTGCTTTGCAACCAGCCAATAAACTCTCAGAAGAAGACGTGATGTAAACGTAATATTTGAATAATCGTATAACTGCAGAACTCAGATTACGATCGGATTATTAATGAAACAGGTAGATTTTGATCTTTTGTAAAGAAGCTCTTCACAGGAGTATAAAGAGTTTCATTTAAAAAAGCTGTATAGCCATTTAAATCATTTTTGGATTCATTAAGTTTTTGAAAAGCCTAACAGCTGACGTATAAGTGAAAGCACCGTTTTATTTCTGTAATAAAGTTGGTATTAATCATAGTATAACATTGATATTTGTATTGTAAGTGTAAAGCCCACTCTGAATAACATGCATCATAAAAAAAAGAACATTTTCAATAGTGGTCGATAATGTGTTTATGATTGAAACTCTTCAAGTAGAATTATGAACACTCATGGTCAAATTATGTTTTGTTGATTTTTTCTTAAGTAAAAAATAGTTAAGACAAGCCTTAAATATACAATGTAATGTATAATAAAGTATAAAATAAACAGTAAGTATACATTAAAATGTGCCAAGGTGTGTTTACCAATAGAGGATGCATATGATGTACGCTCTACCAGTATAGATGTAGTTTAAAACTTCCAACGTACTATTTATGAATCATATGTTACACATTCATGTGTTGAATTTGGCTGAACTGCACATACCTAGTTAGCAGTATTTTGTTAGGTGACCGTGTTTTCCTCTGGTTGTCCTACATACACATCTCCAAATGTGTGAAAGCAAACAGACACGCACAGTAAATGACTTTTTCACTGTATATTTACTAAAGCTTATTTTCTCTGTTCAGGGATCTCGCTGGACTCTCCAGGCCACGACTATGGATGGCAACTTTGTAAGTGTGCAATCCCAAGTCCAAAACAATCGAACCTCTCGCTCTAATAATGTGAATAAATATGTGAACAGAGAAAGTGCAGTTTAGTTCTAAAGTCTTTTTTCTTTCTCTCCTCCTCAGGGTGGCTTTGTTGTGCAGCCAGATCAGATGCAGGTGAGACCATTTACCGTTTTAATCTGGCCTGTGGTAATTTATGTCACCGTGTGGTAAATTTATTTACTTGAATTGTACATTACACTGCTGTATAACATGAACAAGCGGTGTGAATATCATCCGTATTTCCGGCTGTGTTGTTTGTAGACTGTGAACCCCATACTGATCCTGGTGATGGTGCCTATCGTGGACAGCGTGGTGTATCCACTCATTAAGAAATGTGGTCTGAACTTCACGTGAGTGCTGGCATTAGAGCAGCTTACATGACTATGTAGTAACATTGCCATTCATTCATTTATTTATTTGTTTGTTTGTTTATTTGTTTGTAATAATGTGTGTATATTTTTTAGATTCGCATATTTTAAGCCAGACATTTTAGATGTTTTATTCAATTACTTCAGAATTCAATACAGTTTTTAAGGGGGGCATCAAGAATGTATTAAATGATTGGTATCATAGGGTAAATTATGTATAAACATATTTTGTCACATTATATCCTTAAAGATCTTGTGTAGCTGAATTCATTATTCTGGACTAGGAGTGTAACGATACATAGATATCATGATACAATATGTGTTGTGGTGTTTGCACCACGATACATTTTCAGTACTAAATAGAGATGAAAACACATTTTCATGTTTGATATGATCTTCTGGTTCTGCTGTCAGGATGTAATTTGATTTTTGGTATTTTATAAAGTATATAAAAAATATAAAAAATCTTGATTCTACAGAGCTGTAATTATATAGTCATGTGCAAAGGTTTGAACATTCTGGTCAAATTACATATTTTGTTGATTTTCTGAAAATAAGTTACACATCCTCTACTTAGAACACACTTAAATATGAATATTTTCTGCTAATTTTATATTTCTATTCATGTCTGAGTTACATATTGAGGAAAAAACAAAACAGTAAATATAAAATGTGCCATAACTTTAGCTTTTATTTTTTTTCTAATATGTTACATTTAGCAAATAGATCGTAATTGTGCATTAAAATATGTTGAAGTGTGTCTTTGTAGAGGATTTGTGAAGCTATTTTCACTAAGAAAATCAACAAAAATTTGACCAAACTTTTGCAGATGACCTTTTTCAGGGCCTGTTTTGCTACAGTCTAACAAAATAAGCCAGAAAAATCACTACAGTATATAAGCTTAAGTCCAGACAGTTGAGTAAGGGTGTGTCTATAGCTGAAGCCCAGCCCCTCCCCGCCCATTTTACTCCAATAGGCTGCACCTAGATGCCCAGTTTTAACTACTTACAGTGGCTTCCAGAAATGTTGTAATTGAGGGGAGAATCGAGACTGAGGGGCTCATCGGCGATGCAGTTTTACATTCTGATGAATATGTATATGTCACTCTCACAGGCCTCTGAAGAGGATGACTGTGGGTATGTTTATGGCAGGATTAGCGTTTGTGGCCGCAGCCCTGGTGCAGATTCAGATTGATGTAAGTACGCATTCTTAATGCAGCTACTTTAGAAGATGCTGTCAGAAAGTGCTTTGTGATTTAGGTTCTACTGTTCTTCTCTCTCGTTTCCCAGCAAACCCTGCCCAAGTTCCCCTCACACACTGAGGCTCAGGTGAAGTTCCTGAACATGGAAAACAACCCGCTGTCTGTATCTGTGGATGGAACACCATTCGATATCCAAGCTTTCCAGGTACATGCAAACTCAGCAGCCCTCTGCATTCACTGATCTCACTCCATCTTTTATCTGTCCACACTGCTGTCAATTAAAACCAGATCAGGGCCGGTGTTTCTAAAGCTTCTCAGAGTAGAAGTGCTGATCTAGCGTCTGATTCCTCTCTTATTTATGATGTCACTTCAGTCCTCAGGTAACTACCTGAACCTTAATATGGAGACAGCAACAGTAGCTGTGAACGGGAATGAATTTGCGGTCAGTCTGATCAAAGGAAGACGCCAAACTGTCCTGCTCAGCTCCACCGGAATTTTAGGGAGCGTAAGTGCTGAGTTCGCATTATGTCACTGTATTGTCTTAATCTTCTGTTTATTAGAAGATGTGCTGTGACGAAATAGCAGCACATGAACTGTATGATCGGATACCTGTACTCTACCTTAAAGTCACTTTTAAAAGATAAACGATAAAAAATAAATGATAAAAGTTGAAGTGATAAACATTCTAATCATTTTCCTGCTTTGTTCTCAGAGTCAAGATTTAAACACCAAACCTGAACAAGGAAATAATGATATCAGGTCAGTTTGTCCTCATTTATTTGTTGGTATTTTGAATATGCAGGCTTGTACTTGCATAGGTCACAGATGGGTAGAGTGGCCTGTACTTAAGTAAAATATTGATGTTTCATTAAAGTGAAAGCATAAGTAGACTGGTAAAGCATATCAGGTCAAAAAAAGTTTCATATAGAACTGCAGTGGAACTTCTCGTTTAGCATAGAACATTTTCTTAGGTGCTGTTTTTCCTTTTTTGTGCAACTTTTGGTCTAAAATAAAAAGCTTAAGCTCAAAAGTGAGAGATATGAACAACAGCAAGACAGTACAGGAGCTGAACCGAGAGAAAGACACAGACTGTGGGAAGATATTGATGAAAATGTCATCTGGCTTTTTTATCTGGCTGTAGGTTTGTGAACGGCTTTGGCACAGTGCTGAACGTGACGGGCGCTAAAGACCTGGGCGCCGTCACTCCCAATAACTTCTCTGACTACGGCCTCATTCCACAGGGCAAGTAAGTGCTGACTGCCAACTACACAAGCCTGTGTTTCCGTGTAGGTGCAGATGATTTTACATGAATACTCATAGTTTCTTCTACAACTGATAAGCTTGATCACCTCTCTATTAAGCACTTTCAGTTGCCACCAGTGTGAAACATGCTCTATAAATAAAGATATTATTATTATTATTATTATTATTATTAATGAACAAGTTTGTTAAGGGTGTAAATATTTGACTCGTTTGCACTTCTTTAGGGAACAACTTGTATAACAATACGTCATCAATCTGGTAATGGTGTAATAAATGGTGGAATGTCAATTTATGGGTGTGTTTTTGTTTGAAAATGGCCTTAGGAATTTATTTTGGCTGAAAATGGGCCCATATTTTATTGAATTTGATTGTATTCGATAAAATATATACTTTATTCTATATTCTAACATTTCACCACCTATATTCTAACACCACCTTCACACTGATGTATCACAAAGCCTTGATTAATCATTGTGCGTTAGGATCTCACAGGGATTCTTCATCAGTTGAACATGATTCCTCTCTCATGTGTTGCAGAGCCATCTTCACTATACTAAATGATGAAGGACAGACGTGCAACTACTCCATCACTCTGGGCTTCGGAAGCTCCTACACACTCGTCATTCCCAGCACCTTCAGCTTCGGACCTAATGTAAGTCACCATTGGCCTTCTACCCAACCCCCACCCCCAACCCCACCCCCCAAAGAAAAACAAAGGTACACCGCATAAATTGTCACTGTCCAAAGAAAAACAAGTATACCCAGAATAGTTACTGAACAGGAGAGGACAAAACGTCCTTAACTATTAATAGAAGGAGATTTTATTCCAAGCAATTCTGGAGCTATTGGTCATTTCTGTTGGTCCATTCATTGTGAAATTTTCACACAATGTCAGAGGTCAGCTGCTGTGTTTAAATGATGCAGAAAACTAAAAATCACATGAAATGGAGATGCTTGTTTTTTTCTTTTGGACGATGACGATATGCGAATCTGTGATTAAATGTAGGCACTTTTTAAATCTACAAGATCCAGTGACCCAACGGAGAAAAAGCACATCATTCTTTTATTTTATGTATTGTGTTCTTGTGTTGCTCTTGTAAAGTGACCTTAGGTTTGAGAAAAGGCACTAAATAAATTAAACCCAATTTTAGTTTTAAACACAGTTTTAATGCCCCTGAAAACGGTAGCTGCCCTGAACATTTCATGACGAATGGACCAACCACAGATCGAGTAGATATGAAGAGTATCTTTCTTTGTCATATAAGGTTATTGTTTTAGATATATGACGTTGTCCTCAGACAGTCATGTTATGCAGAAATGATCGTTACATGTCCTTAATCTCACTGTGTATTGTGTTTGTACTGTCTGCAGTGTTGGACCACCATCCAGCAGATAGAAGACATCAAGCCCAACACCATCCACATGGCCTGGCAGATCCCACAGTACTTCCTCATGACGTCTGGAGAAGTGGTCTTCTCCGTTACTGGTCTGGAGTTCTCCTACTCACAGGTAGGGGGGCCGGTCTGTTCTGCTTCCCACACCACATTTAACATGAAATATGCTGAAAATGAGTATAACAAATATTTGTGACCTTTCAGGCCCCGAGCAACATGAAGTCAGTCCTTCAAGCTGGCTGGTTGTTGACCGTTGCTGTGGGGAACATTATTGTGCTGATTGTAGCAGAAGCAGGCCAGCTCCCTGACCAGGTACTGGAAACTGATATTAATACAGGAATGAGTGCTCAGAGTTTACCTCAATACATAATCTGAAGAAACAGTTTGGCAAAATAATCTCAGCTTTACACTACATTGGGTCAGCACTGATGTAAGGCTGATGTAGCTACCAAGTAATGGAAACGTAGAGCCTCCAGTTAACTACATCCCTAACGATGCCTTTCTTATGTGGTTTCTGATGCGTATGACAACTTGTTTTCTATAAAAATGGACAAAAGTACACTGCATAGCTGAAAACAGTAGTAGTAAAACTCTTTAAGCTTGAATTTATCCACTCTTATCGATAACAGAGTGTCAGTAACCACATTAGAAAGGCTAACAGAGGCACGTGTTTGATTATTTAGTCATAGTTTGTATTAATGGAGTTTCTTAGCTAACTAGATTAGCCCCATAGCTCCAGTGTCTGAATCCACATAAGCAAGTCTATGTGAGATCACTCAACATGGTTTGAGTTACATGGGAAGGCTAACTGTTGGGGTATAGCTAAGCTTCTGTTACTTGTTAGTAGAGGAGGGTGATAAGGCAAAGATATAATATTGTAGTACTTCAAGAAATGTTTACAATACATTGTATACTATTGTATATCTGATCAGTTGGAATAGAGAAAAAAGACCCACTAGTGCGACATTTTAAAAATACGGTCAAAAACTGTAAACACGTATTTTGCATACTGTAAGTCAGTTAAATGGGACAAATTTTACTCTCTTTATAATGAAACAGGCAGCTGGTCAGTGTTCTACAAGTACTCGACAAGATCTACAATATGTTCAGAAAAGCATATCGTATTGCATTGTTACATAATTTATTACCATAACATACACACACACACACACACACACATATATATATATATATATATATAGCTACATTAGCCTCTTTGCTCCAGTGCAAAACTAAAGAAGCCAACATTGGACGCCAAACGTCTTGGTTTATTGACTATATTTTGCGTAAGGAGAGAACTGAGCAAATTAGATGTTTCTCTGAATTATTCATTGAATCCAACATGACCCTTATTTGGGTACAAAATATCATTAACATTTGCTAACTCAACGCTCTGTGATCCGCAGTGGGCCGAATACGTGCTCTTCGCTTCTCTCTTGGTGTGCGTGTGCATCATCTTCTCCATCATGGCCTACTTCTACACGTACATTGACCCGGCTGAGATCGAGGCCAAGTTTACTGAGCAAAACCCTGAAGACAAGGAGGAGAAGAAGAAAGGTCTGGAGTTGGGCAACATGTACAGCTTAGCTGCTGAGAAATCGGAGCAAGTCAAACAAACCAAGATCTAAACACCCCGTCTCCGCTTCCTCCTACTGCTGCCTGCTGTACTAAAGGATGTTTCTGCTGGTCTGGAATTTTAGTGGTTCAGAATTAGGAGACATTGTGGGATAAGCTGCTCCTGGACCAGCACAGATGGACATAGTTTATATGAAGAAGAGTGTGAATAGGACCATTGCTATAGCCAGAGGGTTGAGGTTTGGGAATTGGCATTGCTGGCGTCCATTAGATGTGTCTGTTATTTCTGAGGCTTTGTTTCAGTACGGTGTGTTCGAACTCGTCTCCTTCGAGCAACTGATTGACCAAAAACATAGAAAAAAAAGAAAGAACCAGAGGAAAGAAATATTCTAAATACGATTTTTTCTTAATCTCGTTTACTTCCTAGACATGGTTAAGTCCTACTTGAAAACAGTGAGACGAAAGCAATTTCTCCTGTTTCTGAAATTCATCTCCCGAGAAACGGCCCTGGAATTTCTTTTTTCAGTCCAAGTATTCTCTCGCAGATCACATAATGTGCTAAGAAAAGTGGAAGATGTCACTTTATGTAGCTCTTTTTACGTCTCAGGAATCTTCCAGCAGTCTATCAGTGCAGAATTAAACCTCAAGCTTTTCTCTTTTGTCTCAAAAAGTTCTTACGATGTAATACTTATGTTAATCTGTCCTTTTCTTCTAAGGAGAGTTTAGGAGTAAGAATTCAGGGTAACATTTCACTGTAGGTGCTGTTCATGAGGCTACATAACACCCACATAAGCTTGTCATGATAACTGACATAACCCTACATAACTGTTTATTAATGCTTATTACAATACACATCACTTGCTATAAAGGTTAAATTGGCCAATTTTGATCAAGGTCAGCTAAAGTAGCCTTTATGACAGAGGATTCCTGTTGTAATAAGCCTTTATGAACAGTTATGTAGGGTTATGTCAGTTGTCATGACAACCTTATGTTAGTGTCATGTAGCCTTATAAACAGCACCCTACAGTGGAGTATTACAGAATTCGTAAACTGGTGATCTGTCATTATTTCAGTGTTGAAATCTGCTTTATTTCTCCCGAGACAGAAAAGGTGCTAGTAAGAAAGACACCGTTCCTTTGGGAAGGAGAACAGATAAAAACACCTTTATCTGAAACCAGAAATCTGGGATGATTAAATGTAATATTGTGGCATTTTATGTTGCTCTATCTACTAAATTCATGATTATTTTATACAATATGTCAAAATGTATATTTTTATAAGGGATTCCAACATAGAAAATGCTAATAATTTATCGTTTGTATTTAGTATGAAGCTGTATTATGTTTTATGATGTTTTTGTATGTAAAGCTGACCGGTGCTGTGTGCATTAATATGTACATCTGGTGCAATAATTGTAAAATACTAACAAAATGTACTTCAGTAAAGAACACATCTTACATGATTTTGTGTTTTTGTCATCTTCTTTTGCTTATAGAGGGTTATTTAAGCCCAGCGATGTAAAATGAGTAAGTATAATTTAGAGTGCACTTCATTTCTTTTGGTATTTGGCTCACTAGCCTCTGTTCATTTGTCTAGCATTAGACCAATTTTCTTTCTAAGGTCAAAACAGTACCTCTTTACATCTTGATTTTTGGAATTAACTCCATCATTTCCAGTCACTTGGAATTCTGGAGCTCTGCTGCAGATTTTGGGAAGGTGGGGCTTAAAAAAATTGCCCGCAAAGATAAGAAATGTGGGGGTAGTTTTACTTTGTGTAACATGACATGAAATTAGATTAGGCTGTGTAAATCTACACAGGCTAAATTTAACTTGTGTGGTATTGGGGGGGGGTCTGTGGGAACCCATTTTCAATGTTTACCATGGGAAAATTTAATGCAATTTATTATTATTTCAACCCCAGATTTTTGGTCTTTGTTCATTTTCTGTGAAGAACATATAAAATAACCTATTCTCAGTGTCTTCACTCTGTTCACCCCCCACACATTTATATTACACGTGGTGTTGGGTGAACCCGCCGGAGTAAAAGTGTGGAGGTGCTGTGTCCTTCGCTCTGTTCTCCTCCTACATGGCCTGCTGTTAGTGTGTGTGTGTGAGGGTGGACAACATGGACAGGCTGCTGACTGGCTACAGCTGCTAAAGGAGAACCCTACGCTGGACACGTGATATTTTAAACATAAATTGTTGTGGCTGTATTGATTTAAAAAAATAACGTGGTGGGTCCACCAGACCACTGAGTAACTAACACATCAACACCACACAGGGGTTAATTCAGCCCCATCTTAGCTAATTCAAATTTTTCTCATGACCTTTTGGTGGTGCTGTTCTTGGTCCACAGAAGTGCAAAGTAATCAGCTTCAAGTCAATCATTATCAGCAAGTAAGATAAAGTGGACGCCTAAAATTAAACCTCATTTTGACTCCTTTTTTCTTTGAGAGAGGTCTTGGCTGACTGACACTGGAATTTGGATTTGGGTCCAATCCCATTTCACCCGTTGCCCCTACCACTTAGCCCTTAGCCCTCTGTGCGTGTTCACGTCTAGGGTTTGGGTGTCCCAATTTTTGATGAGATAGAGGCGTAGGGTGAAGTGTTAGGGCTATATGAGCCTCTAAATGGAGGTTTTTCAGAGGCTCCAAACAGAGTGTTATGAGAAAAAAAGAAAAACCGGCAAGACGGCTGAACAAGAGACCAAAGAAACCCACAAATTTGAGTATTTTCTGCATTAAAAATTATGATAACCACTGTATTATCTTAGTTTAACGTCGTTTCAATGTTTTATGGTCGTTTTCTTCACAACAAGCATAAAAAAAAAAAAAATCGCTAATAGCATGCAAATTTCTCGGTAGCTAGCTAGCTACCTTTCCTGTTCCACCTTAAATAGTCAGCAGTTCTGACGCCTGAAGCGCCAGAATGTAACTGCTGCACCATTTTAGGTGGAACGGGAAAATTCAAACAAGAAGCTGGTGAATATCTGACTTCAGCTTCATATCACCAAAGAATCAGGGGTGGGCGATAATAAATAATTGTCCCCCTCTTTGAAAGCCTATAATGCCCTAAATGTAACTAAGTAATCTAATCTAACTAAAGCCCAGCAGGGAGGAGCTGAACTTTGCCCTTCTCTGCTATCACTGCAGATGGGCCGGGTCGCCTACAAAGCAGCGCTAGTAGCTGTTAATAAAGTAATGCTTGTTTTTTTGAGGGTCCCATTTCATATGGCAAGATTTCAACCACTACCTCTTGTAACTCAGTTCTAAGGGGTTAGGGAGACACTCGAAAACAAGGGGTAGGGGATAAAAAGTAGAAATGGGATTGAGCCTTGGACCAACAGTTGCTGTATTGTAGTGTGATGTGGAATAAAAGAAATACAGAGGTCAACTTCAACAGAATAAAGAGCATTATTTATGAGTAAAACCCTTTAATTTCATATTAAAATTAACAGAGCACCTCCAAAATGTACATTTGATAAAAAGGCAAGGCAATATCAGTAATGGCCATTTGAGAGGCTTGGTTTTTAAATATTTACCTTCTCACTGTAATGTTCTTAAACTAACAATATCTACAGAAGCTCGTGGCCATCTGTACACAGTGATTCATTTGCAAAAATCCATAATCCAAAGGTGTGTAAAACTGAGACTATATACATGTCTGTACATAAATCCAAACCGAGCGCTCTCCGTCTTCCTGGACACCTGTGTCCACTCAATGCACGTTACCTGAGATTTCAGCAAGACAACTGCAATCTCCTTTTGCGCGAGGGCTCAGATACAGATACGCAGCCGCCCATCCACACACATGCATTCATGCTGTTTGTTCAGAGCCATGCACGCTACTTCTTTATGGGTGCTCTTTAGGGTTGCAGCAGTGGCTTCTGCTCAGTGATGTCATGGCACCTGCAGAAGCTTCCAGAAGTTATGGGCTGCTCGCTTGGCAAGCGCGCTAATCCTCCGCCACACACTGTTCTCTGCTAAATGAGCTACAGCTGCTCTTTAGTCAGCTTGCTATGCAGTCTAACACACACACACACACACACACACACACACACTTTCACATCCATCTACACCCTCTCTCTCTCTCTCTCTCTCTCTCTCTCAGGAGTTTGTAAAAGAAAAGAGGAAAAACAGAGGAAGCTTGAGGAGCTTGAGAACTTCTGTTGAAGCGATTGAAGGACGAAGTGGTCCTCCAGGGGAGACGTCACAGAGGCTGCTGGTGTTGGGATTCGCTGAGCTGATGCCTTGGGGGGGGGGGGCTGCAGTGTGATGGACATATCCAGTGGACCAATCACGGATGGGAAGAGGAAGAGGTCACTGACCTAGAGAACCTTTGGGGAGAAAAGCATTTCTATTTAGGTAATCACTCAATGTCTCATGGCATCTACTCCAATTAAAAAGATCTTTAGAAGAGCTCAGTAGGCTTTGATAACAGTTCTTATCAAAATTAAACATTTTTTGATATTGTTCATGCCCCCTAGAGGTATTTTTGGTAAAATGATTTTTGCCATTATATTCCTTCATTCATAATAAGGCTTGAACTGTGAACAAGTGCTTCAGAAGGTGGTGATGTGCACCTTTTAATTGCTAGATGATGAAAGTGAAGAAGTCTAGCTGTTCACTCATGACAGCACTAGGCAGCAGGACAGTTAGCAGTGTTGGCTAGTGAGCTATTTTCTGATTTTATGGATAGTAAAGAAAAGCTATGACTTAAAAAAGAAAAAAAAAACATCTAAACACAAGAGGAGAACAAAAAAGGCTGCAAGTCCCCTCCAGTGTGGAACTGATTTGTTCTTCTTAAACCAGACAGCACAGAGCAACCAAAATAAGCTTTTATGACCTTTTATTTTTTCCCAGGATGCAAAATACTCATGTCATATGTAAACATTTAAATAAGCCCAGTCAAATGACAAAAACACAGGGAAAAAGCTTTAAAATGCCATTTTTCCTGCACGTTTCAGTGCACAGCTTCTAGCATATTGAGCAAAAAATGTGTGCCATAATTTTGCACAGCCCCCCAGAAAATGTTTAATCCCGCAAATATACAGTAAATTTGCATTAAAATCTGCGCAGCTTATCCACTGCAGTTCATACAAGACAACCCAGGACCTTGAGGCTTTTTGCCAAGAAGAATGGGCAGCTTTACCATCTGAGAAAATAAAGAGCCTCATCCACAACTATCACAGAAGACTTCACTGAAGTAAAAGGGGGCATAACACATTATTGAGAACTAAGGATATGCAAATCCAGTATTTTCTTTATTGTTATGTTCTGTTTAATGATTGTACTATTCTGTGATGCCTTTTAGTCAAATTTGAATTTCATTAAAATGAAAGCAATGTGTTTTGCCTAAATTCTCATGTTTTATTTAAAGAATGGTACACATCTTACAAATTGTGCCAAGGTATGTAAACTTATGGGCAGCATTGTATGGCTAGACATAAGTATCTTTTAAATGATTTTTAACCTTTTATGAGTTTATAATACAAATAATGTGCTACAGAAAATCATTCTGAATTGAATTTGTCTTGGGAACGCTCTGAGCAGTTGCGGTAGAGAAATGTCACTGTAAAGACACTCCCATCTTTTAGGAGTATAAATGGCAAACAGCATGGCTTGTTCCATTAGCTTTGGTAGATGACTTCTTATACATTTGTGTTAAACATTGTATAAATGTATAAATGCTTGAATAAAAACGATATAAATTACTGACCAACAACTGTATTTATTTAAACATGTATCAGACAATCCACTGCCTGAATCTCAAAGTGCCTGGACTGAGTTTCACCACTTTCACACAAATTTGTACTTAAGCTTGTGTTCTGAAGTCCTAACTTAGTTAATGCAAAATAGTTTCAGACTATCATTTGAGCAAAATTGGCTGCACCAAAAATTCTTAAGTCTCATATTAATCAGTAACAACTAATGTATGCACAGACTACCATGGAAACAAGACAGCAGCTTGACTTTTTCCATGGAAAAAAAAAAATCTTGTATAGAAGAGAACTATGTGTGTAAGCAACTGAACTAAATAAAACTGAATATTTTAGCCACAGTCTGTTTATTCTTTAATATTTCTTTGTGACAACCAAATACGCAGCTTTTGAAAACTTTCTGGCTAACCGACAGAACAGCAGTCCCACTGATCTGGAGTTGTGGGGTAAATTTCTGCATTTAGTGTTTTAAGTTTAGTCAAAGGTTTAAGTTTAATCAAAATATCATGCTTTTGTTCTTTTTTGTGTTTCTGCCGGTTTTCTCCAACACTTACTCCTGCTAAGGGGAGGTATAAATATTTAGTAACTACTAAAGTCAAAGTTAAAAACAGACTGTGTGGTGCAACCCATTTTAATTTAGTAAAGCGAATATCTGAACTTAAACAATTACATCACAACTAGCATACGTCTGAACTTGAGTACAGCTGGTACAACCAGCCACTGTAGTTTTCTGGCCAGACTGACCTCACTAGAGCTCACTTCCTTATTTGTGAACGGGTCTCGTAATAACAGCGAATGGTAGATTTACCGTTGGAGTCTCTGTATGAGCTGGGTCACCATGACGTCAGAGATCCCTGGATATGCCTCCTCAGCAAGGAAAATAGCCTCTCCCAACTCATCCAACACATCAGGCTTCACGCTGGCCTCACCACCCCTCTCCTTTAGCTGCAGAGACACACAGACAGGTTTAGTACACTTCAGGGAATTAGGGATCCCAAGCATCTCCCTACGGTTGTATGCAAAAGTTTGTCCACCCCTGTCAAATGACATGGTCAACATGAAAGTCAGCATCTCCTCTACAGCGAACACACTTCTGCACATTTTAATGCATGATTAGTCTTTATTTACTGTAAATAATATAGTTTGCTAAAGTTATGGGCATTTTATATTTTATATTATCCCAATATGTTAAACTCAAATAAACATACACTGTGCACTACAATTGCACAAAAATGGTATATTTTAGTTTGTTCCTCAGAGTTTGACCAAAGGCATTCAAGATTTTGCATATGAATATATCAGGGATGCATACAGCTGAACTGTCTTCAAAACTGGCTAACTGGCAACCATCAGCTATGTTTCCCTCTTTTTTTCTACTTCATATTTGTCCTGCCAATCATATTCACTCTACTGTATCACGTTTTGATTGGTTGACTGTGCAATGGTGGGGAAATTACTAGGTTTACACTCCTCTACTGTAGAACAGCAGTGTGTCCTACATAAGCATATTTATACGTACGCTGTTAAAAAAAATTATGTACTTATAACTTCATGAGTCTGATGATCTGAGCTCTTTGAGCAACAGCTAAGTTTTAGTAAACACTAACAGAGCCAAAAAAGTCACATACAACACGTTGAGCTCCACTGACTCGCACAGAACTGAGCGTTTCCTCCTGATTGTGTTTTTAGAAGGGTTTCAATGTGCTCCTTCATTCCAGAGGTCTAAGTACAAAAAATGAGCCAATAAACCACTGAAGTTACCAGGACATGAAGGTCTGAACGGTCAGCCTGGTGATGGATGCATTCAGCAAAATGTACAAACTTAAACACAGCACTGCAGTCTGTTACTTTCAGACTCCACATTAAAGATGGCATTAATACACGTGTTCGAAACTTGATTTGTGTTTCCCCCCCCCCATCAGTAAAAATTAGACTTGGTCTTAACCTCTGCTTAAAAATATGTGTTAAACTCGGCAAATAAGTAAAAATTGTGCACTAACATTGTGAAAAAATGTCAGATTCAAGTTTATAGAGGACGCGTTAATATTCACTTAGAAAATCAACAACTAATTTGACCAGGGGTGTTCAAACTTTTGCACAGGACTGTAAGCATGTATGCACATGTCTGTCAGAACAATGCACTGTATTTCCGAGCAGCCCGAGAGCAGTCCAGCAGGACAGGTATCTTACAGGTTTTACTTCTTTTTCTGTCTCTCTGTGCTTTTTCCTTGAGACTTGGGGGTGAATAACAAGATACTTCAGGTTCCACAACAGCCAGGCCAGGCAGAGTACAGCATGTTTGGGGGACAGCAGCAGAGAGTGGGGAATGGATTAGTGCAGCCATGGCTTTGGCCCGGATCCTGTTCCAACTCTCCTCCTCACACCCTTCATCCCTCTACACTGATTAGTCAGGGAGCCTGAAGCTTCTCTACACTCCTTTAAAAAAAAACCCCTAACCAAGTTGAATCAGCAGCTGGGGGAGTGATTTATGTCTTCAAAATGTGGCGGAACAGTGTGGCTATTAAAGAAAAGGTTCAGTAAAAATATCTAATTTAGACAATTTGGTGCACTGGAGCTACAAGGCTAATGAAGGTAACAAGTAACAGAAGCGTATGTGCACCAATTAGCTTTGTGCAAATTGCATGTCTATATTACTACATTCTTTCCTCACTCCATGTTGAGATGTTGAGTATCTCAAACAGACTTTGAACTGTATAACATACTGTTATCTATAAAAGTGGACAAAATATGGAAAAACTCAAACTTCTTGCTAAGCATACTAAACTAAAGAGTATAGGTGGGCAAATAGGGCTGAACGATATAAGGAAAATATCTAATAGTGATTTTTTCCAACTTATATTGCGATTTTTCTTTAGAAACTGAGATTCAGGTCTGATTTTTTTTGGCCAAGAAGAACAGAATATCCACCTTTTTTGGCTTGACCCCTGAATGGCCAAACTGCCAGTAAGTCGTGGCTGTGATGTCACAACCCATGGAGGTTTGGTTGCCCCTGATTGGCCTAACTCATCCACAGGTATTTCACAAGCTCTCTGTTATTAGGTTCAATTTCCCCTCTTAAAACTCAAGACAACGTTTTTGACAATCTTAAAAAAGATGAATCTTCAAGGGTTCTTTAGTAAAGACACGCTAAAACCCATTTGCGTGCTTAAATGGTTCTTTGCATGGTGAAATGGTTCTTCAGATTGATGGAGAATGTGTTGTATATGATCCTATAGAGCACCAAAAGGTTCTTCTATGATTACAAGCTTGACACCATAACAAGATCAGAACCCATTTTGGTGCTACATAGAACCATATATAACACATTCTCCATCAATCTGAAGAACCCTTTCACCATGCAAAAGAACCCTTTAAGCATGATATGGTTCTTTGAGTGTTCAGGGTTCTATATAGAATGATTTTCTTTATTAGAACCAACCTTGTAAGAATCTTGAGGTACCATCTTTCTTAAAGGTGTGAATTCTTAAATTGAGATTTTAATATAAAAACGATAAACGAAAAAAATCTTTCAGCCCTATGGGCAATATGAAAATACGTATTAAATATTTATTTAAAATGTGGCACTACTAGTGTATTTCCTTTGTTCTTTATCAAACCACAGAAAATAAAAACATCATGATGCATATATCTGCGTATCACTTTTACTTTTATGCCATACCTCCGTTAAGACAGGAGTGATGATGGTGGACAGACTCTGCGACAGTGGCCTCTTAGGTGTGTCCTGTACAAAGAGGAGGACAGAAAACTCAATGTAAAATCAGAAGGACTATTGAACATAACTGTGAAATATAATCTGTAGCTTTATTCTGTACCTGCTCTCCTGCAATACTGGCACCGTTTTGTAGCTTTTTGGGGTCTTTTTCCCGAATGGTGAAAATCCATTCATCACTGCCAAAATCGTTCCCCCCAGAGGCCTGACCGTCCGGCTCCCTGAGAGAGAGAGAGAGAGAGAGAGAGAGAGAGAGAGAGAGAGAGAGAGAGAGAGAGAGAGAGAGAGGTGAAGCCGCTGAAGAAGAGGTGTTAAGTAAGAATAAGCAGGTGTAAGCAAAAATTTTCTACTAGGTTTTAAGGCGGAGCAGTAAGTTGGAATTTTCCGGTTGAGTTTTAAGGATGGAGAGATAAGCCATAATTTTCCAGCTGAATTTCAGGGGACAGACAAGGTAGGATTTTTCCACTAGAGCAAGCAGATGTGGAAATGAGGTAAGAGTTAAAAACAGGTGGGTGAGGACAGAGAGCGGGATGGCAAGTGATGCGGAAGAGGAAGGGAGAAGAATAGTAGCAGGTTTGCAGCCAGTTAAAGGGCCCATATTCTACATTTCTTTGCATGAAGTCCATTTATAGTAACATTAGTGCGCATTTACAGTACTGTGCAAAAACTTTCAGGCAGAAATCTATATTTTATACGCTATTTATCTGGTCCTTAAATGTTTATTTGCTCAAAAAAACAATTTTACATTTAATTTTAAATACAAACAATATTAACACAGTCAGTCATGATTTTATGTAGGTCAGCGTATTCCAGAAGATATCTGGAAGCAAACTTTGTTCTTTCTACTAGCTCACAAGATATCAACTACATTTTTAAATAAGAAATCTTGTTACTTTTTATGTATTTGTTTATTTGCATCTATTCTAAATATGGTATTTTTCTGTACAAGCTCAAACACTGCCTGTCAAGACACACGGTTTTAAGTAATGAGCTTAGGTGCCTAACACAGGCATAATTCATATCTACACGACCATTTACTTCTATTTAACCACTAAACAGCTGTTTTTGTTACTGATACATGTAAATAATCTGTGTTCTGCCTTAAAAAAGTGATTAAAACCACATTCACAACGGAGGCCAAACTGTTCTAAAATCTCTACAAGTTTTCTGCAATATAAACACTTCAGAGTAAATGGGCAGGCTAAGCTGCTGTAGGCTGGACGGGCGGTCACATGTAAATGTGTCCATAGTTGCGGCATCAAAAGCATGAATAATTTAAAACAGTTGTTTTTGCAGTTCAGTTTACAATGTTTACATAGTAGATAAAAAGCAATGCAATTTCAACTTTTCACATTATTGTCTGTTGAACATTTTGAGAGGGACATACGAGTCGGACTCGTCTGAGCTGGACTCTTCTCGGGACTGCTCAGTCTTCCACTGCTTGTATCTGTCTATGAGATCGGTCAGGTAGGACGTCTTCTTAGCATGGCGCACGATCAGCTTGTGCTTCAGCAACTCTTTGGCTGTGGGTCTCTGAGGGAGAGAGAAAAAGAGAGAGAGGTTGTAACAGACTGTAATCCACTGTGTCTCTACATACTTCCTTACTCCCTTTCACACTGTTCTTCAATGGTCAAGACCCCCACTGAGCAGATATTATCTGGGTGACTGAACATCCTCTGCACTGCAGTGACACTGACGTGGTGGTGGTGTGTTAGTGTGTGTTGTGCTGGTGTGCTATTCTCAGTCCAGTGTCACTGCTGAGGTGTTTAAAAACTCCAGCAGCACTGCTGTGACTGATCCACTCATACCAGCGCAACACACGCTAACATACCACCACCACGTCAGTGTTACTGCAGTGCTGAGAATGATCCACCACCCAAATAATTCCTGGGGTAAGGTATTCTCAGTGATTTTAGTCCTGTCCAAACAGGCAACATCAGTAACTTGACGTAATTTTACAGTATTTTGGAGATGGATGCAGAAACACGTACGCAGGTACGTTAGTCTCAGGTCTCACTGCGTTTTTTGCAATCAGGACTTTTGTTTCAAAGTGTGCTTAAACGACGAACCGCATGGGGAAAAGAATACAGCAAAACAGAAGCAGAAAAGAAAGCCCTTGCTAGCACATCGATGCTACCTGCAGCCACTGTGTTTGAAATGACAAAAACACTTCATAAATGAAAAAAACGTTATAAATGACTGTGCAAAAGAGCTTCACTAAAAAGTGTAATTAAAAAAAAACAATTATAGAATTAACTGCCTTGGATGATCAACCATCTTCTGTCATGGATGTCAAACTCTATAGGCACATACTGTAATTTTTTTATTTTATTTGTATTGTCAGATCTTTTCAGTTTTAGTTTTTGCCCCAATGTTTCCTGAATTTCAGTTTCAACCAAGAATTTTCACTCTGATGCATCACAGGAATCCCAACCGCTCCCCATAGAGGACACTTACAAAACTGGGCTCCTTGTTCAAGCAGGCTTCCACAAACTCTTTGAGTGGTTTGCTGTAGTTGCCCTCCAGCGTAGGTGGGTTGTTCTTTGGGATGAGGAAAAGCACCTTCATGGGGTGCAGGTCTGAGTGGGGGGGCTCCCCTTTGGCCAGCTCAATCGCTGTGATGCCTAAAGACCAGATATCAGCCTACAGGCCACAGCAGAGAGGAATAAAGAGAGAGAACACAAATGAGAAGAACACCTCCAGTCCAGGATCATGTGCTGTAAGTAATATTCATGAGCTTCAGAATGTGACTCAGTGCACAAAATACTCAATACTCAGAATGCATTCACTGCCTGACAATCTATTTTTTAGGCATTTGTTGTAAAAACTGCAAAACTGAAGCATCAACTGACAAAAGTACCATTTGGGGGAATAAAACCAAACTATTTTTTCCACTTATTGAGATGTCAGGACCTTTCAGCTGTTTCAATCTGTGCCTTTAACAATAGTTTGGAAAAGAATCTAAAATCATTATTTGGGCAAAACATTCTCTTAAAAACAAAGTAATAGACAGAAATAGAATAGAAAGTGTTGCAGAAAACACCCAAAGTATAAGGCAAGAAAATAATTCTATGTTCTATGTATATTCTTCTTATATAAATGAAAGTCAACAGTGAAAATCAAACATTATCTGTAAATTTCAAAACAAGTCACAATATCCAAAAACTTTGATAGTCGATGCCTTTTAAGTGTAAAAAAAAAAATTGAGAACATCTACAGTAAAGGGATCTCCCCAAATACAAGGGCTAGACTTAGAATGGAAAATAAATCACTCTGTCCTTAAAAAACAATTCTGCCAAATTCATGACTAAGCTTAATCCATGTCTGGGAATGTAGCCCAAAACTAAGTGTTCACTGAAAGTCAGAAGACTACAGAAAATAATGGTGATAATACTGGGACATAATACTGAGTCAGACTTCTAAGTGACTACCCTCAGCTCTGTGTCCAACCATGCTGACCTTTGAGTCGTAGGCTGACTGTTTGATGACCTCGGGTGCCATCCAGAACGGCGTGCCCACGAACGTGTTGCGCTTGATTTGCGTGTCCGTCAGCTGGCCAGCCACGCCGAAGTCGGCCAGCTTGACCTCACCCTGCTCAGACAGCAGCACGTTGGCCGCTGGACAACATACATACAGAAGGAAGAGGTGCATCAAAACATTATGATATCAAAACGTGAGGTTTGTGTAAAGTTTTGTAATACAACCACCAGGAATAGCTCTGTACAATCACCTCTGGGATGAAGCATTTAAAATCGCATTTAACAGATTAACAGCACAAAACACCAATGTCCGTAATATTAATATGCATTATCGCTGCTGGGACAAAACCTTGTATTTCCACCTTTGTTGATTTTACATACTTTGAAAACAACTTTTCGCTGCGTGAAAATTTCATGAGGAATGGTCCAATAGAAATGGTCCCATATTACTTGGAATAAAATGTTTTTAGATTAAAAGTTGAGGATGTTTTTCCTTCCTCTGTAAACATTTACAAGGTTTTGTTCTGAAAGCAACGATATGCAACTAGGTTGCCAAAGACTGTTTAGTCTACCAGTCGTCTCTGGAACAGCACTGGAAGGATGCAACACTATTGTTCCAAAGGATATTCCCACAACTGGGGTATTGCTGATGGTGGCGGAGAATACTGTGCAACACGTCAGTCTAAAAAAAGGTGTTTAATTGGGTTGAAATCTTGTGGGTGTTAAGGCCATAGTATGTAATTTACATCATTTTAATGCTCTTCAAACCATACAGTGACATCTTGTGCCCTGTGAATAGAGGTACTGTTGTCCTGGAAAAGACAAGAACGGTCAGGACAAAAATGTTTCATCAGAGAATAAAGGTGATCAATCGGAATAACTTTGTCTTGATTTGCAATGAACCTCCAATCTAAGAGGACAAGTGGACCCAAACCATGCCAGCAAAATGGCCCCCACAGCATAACAATACCTCCAGACACCCTCACTGTAGGGCTAAAGCATCCCTTGGTGTACACCACACATGCACTCTCCCACTTGTGGAGAATATAGTGAAGGACGGCTCATTTGACTACATTTTATCTACATCTTTGTAGACAAGTGCCAATGGTCTTTACACCACTCAACTCTCAAATGTGCATCTGTCTTTGTAATGAGGGGTTCATGCACTGTAACCCTACAATAATATCCCTCTCTGCATAGTTGTGTCTCTGATCATGTTCTGCACTGACAATGTAAGTCACCTGAGAAACAGCTGCTCTTTTTGAGATGATGCCCAGTACTGAAGATTTCTCTGTATACCACAATCCTCAGAAGTGTTCACGAATGTGACAGAGAGAAAGGAAATTCAGACTAATTTGCTTAATTTTCTTGCAACATTTCAGTAATTCGCTTGAATTTAATTTAACGGCTGGATGAAAACTTGGCTAGAGAGAAATAAGCTCCCCAGACAAAAATATTAGTCACCTTACGTGTTTAAGGTGGTAGTAACTTCAGGCTCCTGCAGATGGCATTGCATGAGGATGATCGGGCTATAAATACCTGCGGGGTGTGCAACGGGATTCACAGATTGAGAAGAGGTGGTACAGTGCAGTAAATGTCTCATTCGATGTGTGGAAAATGGGTCGCAAAGCAGATGTTAATGATTGGCAAAAAGGAGTGGTTGCATTTGGGCGTGCCAAAAGCCACAGCGGGAAAAAAGTAACTGAATTGGCAGGTGTATCGAAGTGTACGGTCATAGGGGTCTAACAGCAGTGGCAGAAATCCCAGTCTACAGGAAATTCTCGTCAGCATTGTGGCTGAAAGATGAAACAGACGGACAGGGACCGCCAGCGTGTTTCACGGCTTGAGAATAAAAATCGCTTTACTTCCACTTTCACTTGAAGTCAGCGCAGGCCCGTCACAACCAATTTCTGAAAGAACACAGCCTTTTGCTCATCTTCTTACCAAGGAACATAATATTCCTATCCCTGTCTTCCAACATAACAATTCTGGTGTTCACAGGGCTGCAAATGTGACTGCTTGGCATGATGAACATCAGGAGCATTCACACATTTGCATTGGCCTGCAAAGTCCCCATATTTGAATCTTCTTGATAATCTGTGGGACAATGAATAAGATGCCGGGGAAGGCATCCACGAAATATGCAATTCTTTGATGCAAGAGTGGCTGAATACTGAAGTCACCTACATCCAGAAACTTGTCCCATCCATAACAAATCGAAACACAGCTGTTACACGCTATTAGGTATGTTTTAGTCACAGGTCACGATTTTTTTTCCAGTGAACTTATATAAGAATAGTTCGTGCCCTTGCTGACTGAAGAAGAAACTGCTGAGTCATCAACATATACAACACCTGGGGCTGCAGATTGTGCTCATATTTAAGCTGGACAGTCTCTGGCATTGCTACACTTGTGGCATAGGCTGCCTGTAACTGACTGCGCTTTCCTTTGCAGGCGGGGAGACTACTGTAGAAGATCGGGAAGTTGTACCTTTGATGTCTCTGTGGATTTTCTTCTCAGAGTGCAGGTACTCCAGGCCCTTCAGGATCTCCCGGAGGATGGTGGCAATCTGCGTCTCATCCAGAGCACCAGGCTCCATCTAAAAGAAGCAGTGCCGAGGTCAAGGATTCGGCCGAAGAGGCAAGGATACACACACATAGCGTGTAACAATTTAATGGTGCTTATTTGTTCATTGCACGCAACTATTGAAGCAGTTAAATGTGAAAATTGTTTCCTAGCTGTTGATACCCAGCAGCTCCCAGCTGACGACAGACAAAGCTCAAGCTCAGTCTCAAATAAACAATCATTACTCGATGCTGACCCCTAATGGTGTTAAGCCAAGTCAAGTGGTCTTTGTCATTCCTCAATAAAACTTATATATGTTGAAATGAAATGTCCGACAGCATCATATCAACCCAAGACTACATAGAGTGCAGAATAAACAGCACCAGTCAGACATCAGAACTTTTGCTATTTTTTTCAGACCCATGATGTCTTAGTAAATGCATTTTCTGCTTTCTTTTATTTAAAGAAAATGCACCCAATTCATATTCTGTTTGTTGTGACATAAATATATGATTATGGAAAATGACTGTGGTTAGTTTAAATAATTGCGATCAGCTCAAAAAAAAAATGTGTTCAGGTGATTTATGTTTATATTTGTGACAAGCTTGAATACAACTTATTATAATTACACTATAAAACTTTCAAAAAGAACCACAAATAGAATAGAAACTTCGATTAGGTAATAGACCGACACCCCCAGTAAGCATGTAAAGTAAAACACAGAAAGGTTATAAGAGAAGTTTATTTAGTGCATGCTTGGGTTTTATAGACAGGTTCCATGGGGTTAAGAAATGTAGCCCATATCTAGAGCTGGGCGATATGGCCAAAAATGTTATCACGATAAACAAAATTCATATCGTTCGATATCGATACATACCACGATAAATGTCAAATCATTATTTCTTTCAAGTTTGAAGGCTGATTTTTGCTCCTGGGTGGTTAATTGCTGTTTTAAACTATCCTTTATGGTCTGAACACGACAAACACTCAAACAGTGGAACATTTCACAAATCTGTCATGGGAGAGTGGGAGAAAGTGTCTGGTGAGCTGTTTTTACCAGCTGGAAATGCATGGCTATTTTGTAATAGTCATAATTTAAGAAAGAAAATTATTTTAGCTGGTGCCGAGCGCTCGGCTACCCGTTACAAATAACATCACAGTATTCAGACACCAGCTGGCGACGACTGGATTTCTCTATACTATCGTAGTAGTTTAAGGGGTGAACCGCAAAATATCAACACCAGACAAACAGAGTCCTCTTTTTAGGTACGTTTAAACTGAAAGCGGTGCTTTTCTGTCGTGTTTGATCTACAGTATCACCAGTTCTCCATGCTGTGTGAATGACAGAGCGCTGCTTCAAGTTAGCCAGCTGCTAAAAACAGCTAGCCTGGAAAGCTAGCGCTCTCCCGCTCTCCAATGCCTCACAGCTTCCTCAGTTTACTTTCCTTTAAATCACGGCTGTAATTTACATGAACTCACTTCTTTCTTTCACTTTTGTTGCTTGCGAACGCACCAATACTTAAATATGACTGTCCGAGTTGAGTTTAGTTGTGAGGATTGTGATTGTGATTTAACGCTGCTAAAGAGATGAGTTCGCTGTAGGACAGTATAGTTACACCACTGACCTCGTCACTCACACTCGGTCACAGAGAGCAGATCGCCTGTCGCTCCGCTCAAACAGGGAATGTATAACTCCGTGTTTCAGCCGTTGCTAAACTCATCTTACTCCTGGCCCCCTCCCTCTCTACTCATGTAGAAAAACTCGGAGGTGCGCCCCCTCCTGGCGACAGCAGAGTAGTGTCGCTTTCCTTGAAGTAGAAAACGCCACCAAGGCTTCCACTGAACGTGGAAGTGTAAGAGTGGTGTATTATATCGAACATTTATCGAACATGTCGTATCGCTCTATCGAGGAAAAGTTATATTGCGATAATTATCGTTATCGTTTTATCGCCTAGCCCTACCCATATCAATGCAAAACACATCCATTAAAATGCTTTCTACCCTCCGAGACTAAGCTTAGAAACAGATTATTACTCACCAGATCCAGTGCGGATCCTCCACCCAGATACTCCATAATGATCCACAGCTTTGTGCCCTGAAGAGGGGAGAGACAGGGCATCAGAGGAGCAAAAATCCCATCAACATTCTTACAAACAACAAACAACTTCCCCTGATGCTCAAAGTATGTATGTCTAATCCTAATCCCTGTTTAATGTGGGATTAGCTGCTGATATGAGGGTGGGGAAAAAAAGCTAAAAATCAGGTTATATCCCAGCTCACACAAGGGTGTGAGAGAGAGTGAGAATGTGCACATTATGAGGCTTGAAATATAATACGTATTTTCGTTTGGTGGCTAACCACGAGTGTATGAGAAGCAGCACATTATGTGCTTGAAATGCATGAACTTCCTCTCTTAGGTTTGTCTCTCAGGACTCAGAGCTTCAGCTGCTTCACTGCTTACCATCTTATCGTGTTGGTGGTTCATTTAGAGAAATCCACCTCACGCACTTTATTCTATTCATGTAGTGTTGACCCCATCATACTGAGCGGTCAAAGTTCAGATGTGTTCAAAACAAACAGACTAGACCCCTTGAAATTAGTGTGTTTGCAAACACACTCAAATTAAAATCATTATCGAATCTTCACAGTTATTCAACAGGTCTTTCAAACCTGTTTAGAAACCTACTAATTTTCTTCAGATTAAAACAAAAAACATAGAACAATGAAAAAAAACACAAGTTTTCAAAGGTATTCCTCTGCTCGCTGCTAAATGTTTGTGCTACTGATGCTTAGCCTCAAGCCCCATGTTAATTTCGGCCAAAGTATCTTGTCAAGTCAAGTCAAAGTTTATTTATATAGCGCTTTTTACAACAGGTGTTGTCACAAAGCAGCTTTACAGAAAAATCTGGGTCTGAGCCCCCATGAGCAAACCAGTGGCAACAGTGGCAAGGAAAAACTCCCTAATAGCGAGAGGAAAAAGAGAGGATTTTATTTTATCTAGTTTTTTTGGTCCATTTGCTCTTGCACCTAAGCTACCAACTAGGTAGAAAACTAACAAAAGTTAAGCTATGCTTAGATATCTAGCACACAAGCCATGTAACACCATAAAATAAGCTAAAATGAATGTTCACTGGCGTTTATTTAACTAAGTGTGGTATTACTTTGTGGTCAGCATGCAAAGACAGCAATATCAATCACACATGGTTGATGTTAGTGGAAAATAAACTGCTCGTACAGAGAAGCGTCACCACTTCTGATGAAAAATTGAAATGCTGGATACGGCAATGCCTGAAGTCTAGTTTTGTACCCTTCAAGTCAAATCAATCAGGCTCTTGTGAGAATCAGAACGCCCTTCAAAATTCTGTAGGGATTCCTCCATGAGGGGAATGTGGGGAAAGTCTGGAAGTGCTTTTCTTAAACAGAATCGGAAAGCTGGGTTTGTCTCTTGGAACTTCAAATGAAGGAGAGGAACCAAAGCTAAACAGGTGTAACAGTTTGGTAATCGAACAACAGTTTGTATGTTAGTCAACTAAAGAAATAACCACTAGATGCAGCTTTACCACCAGCACATTTTCTGCCCCATCTCCTATATGAGCAGTAACAGAGGCACAACTGCTGAGCTGAAAGTGGGTGACGCCTGAGGCGCTCCTCGTTTCCCTAAAGCAGCCTAAGATAACTCGCCCTGAAGCGAACGAACCTCCTAACAAGCGCAAAAAAGAACCTTTAAACTGCAATCTCCGTGGCTGATTTAATACGCCGGCTACATGGGGGAAAAAAGTAGTCTTTGATCATAAGACACACGCCCACACTTCTTTGCTTCCCATCCTAATGCTCGGGTGAGTTAGTTTCGTAAATTATAACCACAAATTAAACATCAAAAAGCTCGGAGATCCAGTGCTTGCCGCGGTCGAGGAGAGAGGTGAAGACATCGCTTCGTTAAGTCTGACTTCAAGCATGCCCATGCCGAATATTTAAGAAGGATATATTAAATGTCGTGTTTGACTACTCGCTTAGACCACAAAAGAGGCTTTAACAGCCTCACTGTGTGGGTCTGATCTTGTGTGTTATCTCTTTCTATTCTTTAATGACTTTAGAAGTGAATACTGACTAGAGTAGCTTAAATCCAGCACATGGGCTATTTCTAAATCCTCACTGCAGGAGAGATTCCAGCAGCAGGTTGCCATAAAAGGGAGAGTCTGCGTAGTGTAGAGAGCACTGCACTTTGTCATGTATTTAGGAGGGGTGGTGATGGCCTAGCTGCTACCAAACTCTCCTGAGAGAGTTCTGAAGTTCAGAACAGAAACTGCCAAATGGTAACAGGATTTTCACAAAGCAGGATTTTCACAGTCTCAAATAACCCAAAGTCAAGCCTGTAGGAGGAAAGCTGAGATTAATATGTTACTGTTGTATGCGAACGTTTGAATAACCCCAGTAAAATTATAAATGTTATTGAAGTGTAAATAAGCAAACAAATCCTCTACAATTAAACTTCAACATGTTAGTGCACAATTTCTATTTATTTGCTACATTTAACAGGTTGGAAAAAATAAAACATAAAAAATGAAATGTGCATTGTATATTCTTTTCAAATATGTTAAATTCAGCAAATAAACAGCAGTTCTGCATTAAAATGTGCACAAGTGTGTTGTCATTCAAGTACGTCTTAACTTCTTTTCACTTGGAAAATCAACAAAACATGTAATTTGACCAGGGGTGTCCAAACTTCTGCATACAACTGTTTTTGCTGTGTTGTGCAGTATTCTGTAGCGTAGCATCTTTCCTCTCAGCCTGAACTAATAATAACTAAAAATAATGATGTTATATTATTTTCATCATTTGTTAATACATGTTCACTCACCACAATACTCTGCATGCATTATGCAAAGAGATCATACATTCACTGGGAATCCCTGTGAGGTCAACAAATCCTGACTGCTAGCCTAGCAAATGATCTACAGGCTAATAAATACAACCAAGCTAGCAATAATATAACTCTTACCTATGCACATAAATAAAATTATAAACAAACAAACAAACAAAAAAATAATAAAACTGCAAATCTGGATTTGTTCAGGATGTCAGAGACAAGTGATATTGACTGTCTCAAAAAACAAGGCCTGCCCCCAAAAACCCAACCAAGAGCAGCTGTAGCATTTCAAAAGTTTCTCCCACCTTCAAGATACTTCATCACAAGGGGCTTTTCTTAATCTTAAAACTGGAAAATATTACTCCAGAGATTACTGCGGTACCAGTGTACGATGCACATTTACAACAGATGTAGCTAGAGTTAAATTTTTCTTTTTGGCTGGAGTGTGTCTTTAATTCATCCAGCAGCGTTATGAAATAAGGCCTGGGTCCAGGAGTACCACTTTCAGTGTTTTCCAGCTGTAACACACCCACTTTAATTCAGGAATGGTTTTTGTTTTGAATCAGGTGTGTCTGAAGAAAACACTACACTTTCCAGGTTACACTTGAGCAGTAAGATTACATTAAGTGCATTAAGAACAGTTTGCATAAAAATCTAATTCACACAATTACAACCAAGACACGTTTGGTGTCTGAACTTTCTTTAGTTTTGCACTGGAGCTACGAGGCCGATGTAGCTAACAATTAAAAACCTTTCTGGGTGACACAGATTTCTATGATGTTAGTCTTGCAGTTTCACTGCAAAACTGAAGCAGTAAACCTCAAACACCAAACATTTCTTAGCTGATCGACTATGTTTGAGGAAAGGAGGAAAGCTTACCCTGTGTAAAATTTTCTGGTAAACTATTGTTTTTCATGCTCTATCATTATCTGAAAGCCTGTGTTGTTTGCAAAATGCATGACTGTTTTGTAGAGTGACTGAAGCTTTAATGAACACTTGCTGCTCACTTTAAGGTAGGATCCGTAATACTTGGTGATGAAGGGGCTGTCGCACTGGCTTAAGACAGTAATCTCCTGCTGAATGTCCTCGATCTCGTCCTCCGCCTCCTCCAGGTCAATGATCTTGATGGCCACCACCTTCTGTGTGCGATTGTCGATGCCTTTGAAGACCTCGCCGAATGAGCCCTTGCCGATGCGCTCCAGCTTTGTGAACAACTGCTCAGGATCTGCTTTCAAATTCTGGAACAGGGAGAAGGAAAATTAGATCAACATCTTTGAACACAATTACAGATTTCACACAAAAATATCATAGTATAAAAGGACATGGCTTATAGTAAAATGCATCTTTTTGAACAATTTTCCCACTAATAAAAACACTTTTGATGCTTTTGGGAAAATAGGCTCAAGGCATGAACTCAGTAATTTGTGTCTGCTGGTATAGTTGCAATTATTTAGGCCAAAGAAAAAGTAAAAAACCAAACAAAAAACAAACGCATTCTCTTCAGGGCGGTCACTTCAGGATACAGTCTTGCAATCTTTACACAAAAACAACTGACAAAAAAAAACACATAAAATCAACCGTGAAACCGCATCTTAACCATAAAAGTAACAGTCTGTCTCATATCCAGTTCCATTTAGCCTAGTTTCTCAGCTACCCTGGTGTCCCAGCTTCTCCCAAGTGAGCAGCTTTGAGTTTGTTTGAGGACGGAGGCACATCTGGAAGAGGATAAAGGTCAACAGCATGACCCCGGACATCCACGACCCCTAAGGGTTTCTCAAAAAGAACATTCTGAAAAGCCGAAGCTGGCGAGTGAAGCAACACAGACAGTAGAACTGAACGTTATAAGGACAAAGTCACACTGCAACACAGCAGGTTTTTTGTGGTAAGATTTCCAACAGTTACCCTGATGAACTATTCACAAATGGAGATAATCATCACTCTACCCATGGAAAGGATGAATTTTAGAGGGAGAACTGAAGGAGCAGCTGAACAATCTGGTTAGGGCTGCATGATATGGACAAAATTATGGCCCAATAGATATATCAGCTGACTGATACTATCAGCCAATGTTGAGAACCAACGGTTTATACAAAAATATCACTGGTAAAATGGTGATAATATGCGATAATCAGTTTCTGAAACCTTTCTGCTCACACAGTTTAGTGATTTCTAATTAACTTAATAAGTAAGAGGTAATTAACAGAAACTAAATCCTGAAAAAATTAAGCTCCACTTCCCAATATTACAATATTTACATGAATTTAGAACTAACAAGAATCATATCTGTCAGTGAAACAACTGCAGTATTACAATAAAATCTAAAACATAAACATTCATTTATATCAGATAGTGTTATGGGTTATCTAAATTTTTAGACCCTTAAAATCGGTACTGGCCACAATTTTCACATCAGTCAGGCCCTAGACAAAAGACTTCACTATGATTATGCTGCTACATACTGCAATTGTGATATGCCTTGCAATATATCAAAAACACTGGTGAACCTTTAGGTGGACAATATGACAATATTGCTGTATTGCTGTACAGTAATGCTGCAGCACTGTGAATTTCCCTGTTGTTGGACTAATAAAGGTTTATCTTATCATATTTATTGTTATTTTTAGGCATGCATCGATACCGATACTGGTATCGGATATTGGCCGAATATCGCGCTCATTTACTCATACAAGTACGAAATGCACCGATATCAATGTCAGGTACCCCCGATACCATGTGACATAAGCCAAGTGTACGTTGCCGCACTAACAAACATAACTCAAGATGGCTGTGAAGGACGGTCTGGTCACACAGCGAAATGTTGCTGACACCATGGCAGTCGGACACTTTAAATATTCTGCCTTGGCATATTTCTGCCAGACATGCTCTGTGTGATTTTAGTCTGTTTTTAAACACAAACAAACACAACCACTTCCCTAATACAAGTTGGCACACGTAGGCTAGCAAAACAGAGGCAAAAAAGTTTGCCATAGTAAAGTCCGTATATGCCTACTTTACTCTGTGTGACTGAACAGAATTGCGTAGTATAAACATTAATACGTGGATTTGTTTGAATTGTCTTCGCAAAACAGGTTGTAGAGAGACTGTACTGTGCTACTCACGTACGTCATCACCTGGTTTTACTTTCAGGGCACAAGTTTGCAAAGCTGCTGTAGCTCAGTTTCTCAGAGCGTTTGCTCAGTACTCGGTGCACAGCTTGTTAGTTTGAATGAAAGCTTTAGTAAAAATTGTCCACAGACATAATTGTCTGTAGAGGCTGCATTTCACTTAGCATGTCAATCAGACCAACATTTTCGTACAGTGTGAGTACATAAATCGTAGGCTTTGCCCGAACACAGCAGTCTATTCATATGTACAGTGTGAGTCACTAAAGCACAAGATTTCTAAAATCTCAGTGTGTGCCTGGTTTTAGAGGACATTCAACTACAGCTCAACCAGCCAAACAAAGTCTGCAACAACATGTAAAACTCAAAATGTGAGCTCCTCAGATTAGCCTAGGTTGCTGTTGAAAGAGACAGATGAGGATCAAAGATCTAAAATTGGTGAGCAATTAATAATTTGTTTGTTAAGTAATCTGCACAACTGCACTAACACCTACTTTACTCTAAGGACTTTACTCATTATGGTAATGATACCAGTCCAAAAAAAATGGTGTCAATACATCCCTACATTGTATACAATATGCTTTTCTGAACATATCATGGCTATAATCAGTACTTAAAGAACAATAACCAACTGCATATTTTTGTACAAAGACACTAGTATATTATATAATATAATTAGGCCTATTTAATTTAATTTAGTGCAGCAAAGTACGTGAAACATTTGATAAAGTCACTAAATTCATAGTTTTTGATAGTACTTTATGCAGTGTAGCACTACTGGTGTCTTTCTAATTATCAAACCTGAGAAACACCAAGTACTGTGACGCACATCGTGTATCGTGAAAATCTCTTTAGGTATTGTGGTTATAATTTTGCTAAAGTGCCCACCCCTAGGTAAACCTCAGATGAAATGGCTAAAGATTGGAATTTATTATATGACCAAAATTTCTTCATTTATTGATGATTGCAAAGACTGATTCACAGCAACTTTGTTACACTTGCAAATATCAAATATCACAATAAAAATTAACAAATTATATATTGCCCTATCAGATATCTTACAGCTTTTATGCAGATTATTGCAGTACTTGATTCTGAGAAAGGGACTCCAAAGAGTTGTTTCCTCTCAATTAGCCTTAAGCACCAATGCTCCTTTGTTGACAATATGAAAGAAAACTCTTGATAAGCTTTTACTGTGACTTTCTCTTCAGCTGACATGACCAGAAAACGTCATCTCCTCAGGTGAAACGATGTGCTCCAATGGTCCAGTAAACCTCAAGCGTTCCAAAACAGACACTATACACTTTAATGAAATCTACCAGGCTTTAAACTTCACTCAAAGCAAGCTTAGATAAACCAGTGTTTTGTAACTCTATTTCGCACCATTTGTGGTGTTAGGGAGGGTTCTGCTGTGGGTGTACCATGGTGGCATGAAATCAAGTTAAAAGCAATGAATGATTATCTCTCCAGAATCTAAACAGCGCTGTTCTCAGATGAAAGGAAGCACATTTGCTTAAGCTGTGAACACCTCCAGCACACAGTGCTTCATCTTCTGCACATATGTTTCACAAGACTTTGGTGATGCCCAGAGCAACGAAACAAAGACAAACACAGGTAAACTGCAATTCCATTAAGCTGCAGCATTTTTGTCATTAATAAGAGCAGTGATGGTTGTTCCCCACCTTAAAAGTTTAAATTGTACCATCTTTGTAGAATAAATTGTGTTTATAGCTTCAGAGTTCTCCAACGTTTTCAATCTAATCTCTAGAAAATGTAATGAAAATGTTGTCCATGGTAATAGAATGTATAATATAGATGCTACAGTTAAAGATTAGAATGAAAAACGCTGGAGTTCTTCATCCTCATCCAAGATGAAAAACGCTGGAGGACCACATCTACATGAGTGCAAGCGTAGCGCAAAATGTGCCTTAATGCAACTGCGATTTGCATTCAAAATGCATCTAAAATGAACGCTCAGTTTAAAGGTGTTGCTAATCACGCATACAGTTCATAGAACTGGCTACTATCTGCACGCTTGTGACGCACAGGGTTTAAAAGACACCGTGAACTAGGAGCTTCAAACAAGCTCAGGACAGGAGAGAAAACATTGCTAATCAGGTGTAAAGCTGCACCATGACACTGTGCAGTCAATGTGTTAACAGAACAATGTAATTAAAGTCAAACTCAATTCACTTGAATATTTAACCCCTCACTATGCAAAAAACCATATCTACTCGCATGTCCAGTCAAAACAAACCAATCGCATTATTTGTTGACAAACAACGTCAGAGCGACGTGCGCAGGAAAAGTCTAATACAAAGTGAAACGTGTTTTCATGGATTGATTCTGGTCCCTCCAAACCTGAGAAGTTCTGCAAAGTTTGTAGGAAACATCCAAAAAGTGATCAAAAAGACAAAAGACAAAGACAAAAGTGATCCTTTTTTCAGAACTACTACTTTTACAAAACAGTCACTCAGGTGTCAGGACAGGTCTCTCTCATTGCCTGAACGTCTGGACCACTGGGCATGTGCATAAGATGAATGAACAATGAAGCAGATTCTGAATTCACCAAGTTAGTCTCAGTAGCACATCACACGGTTAGAAGAGAAAAAAAAGTGGACAGGGAACTTTGTGGGTAGGACTGTTCCAGCGTGGCTTAGAAGGTAAGGTAATGTTCGCTAACTTAAGCACGCAAATACTTCAATTAAAGCATCCATGGCAGCCAATCCTTAACCTCTGTTTTTGTTTTCCAGTCTGGGAATCCTGGCTTTTTGAAGAGCTCTGTTTTTAAAATAACATGGCTCGCTGAAGGGAAGGTCATAATATCTGCTGACTTGCATGCAAAAAGAAAATAAGTAAAAGTTAAGCAAAAGTAAAAAAAAAGTGAAAAAAAAAGAAAATAAGTGAAAGTGTAAGAATGCACGCTCATTCTAATAATAAGTAATCTTGCCTAAATATATTACCGTACATGTGCTCATTTATATTTGAGCAATGCTTTAACATACAAAGATTTGTTCAGGACAGTAGAAATTTGGTTTGGGACAGTGAACATTCGGGACGCTTGCCTGACTGAGCAAGTTGGGAAAAAGGTTAATGCTGAACCCTGTTGAGCATCA